AACGTGTCAAAAAAAATGACGGAATAAAGAAATACAAAACCAATGGTTGACTGCGGAAGGTTCCGCAGTCAATCAACTAGAAACCGTTGCAATGGCTGAAGCCATTGCGATTGACTGCGAAACAGATCTAATGTGGAATTTAGCTGAAAAATCCTTGCTGAAAAAAACTGTTAAAATACTTTAAACATCTTTGAAACTCCTGAAGTATTTGAAGCTCCTGATATCCTTTAAACTGTTATCCTTTATACTGGTTTACATGTAAAAACCCCTATTAAGTTGCATTATACTGGTTTACATGGAAAAATCCCCATTAAGTTGCATTATACTGGTTTACATGTAAAAAACCCTATTAAGTTGCATTATACTGGTTTACATGTAAAAATCCCTATTAAGTTGCATTATACTGGTTTACATGTAAAAACCCCTATTAAGTTCCATTATACTGGTTTACATGTAAAAAACCCCTATTAAGTTGCATTATACTGGTTTACATGTAAAAACCCCTATTAAGTTGCATTATACTGGTTTACATGGAAAAATCCCCATTAAGTTGCATTATACTGGTTTACATGAAAAAAACCCTATTAAGTGGCATTATACTGGTTTACATGAAAAAAACCCTATTAAGTTGCATTATACTGGTTTACATGGAAAAATCCCTATTAAGTTGCATTATACTGGTTTACATGGAAAAAACCCTATTAAGTTGCATTATACTGGTTTACATGTAAAAACCCCTATTAAGTTGCATTATACTGGTTTACATGGAAAAATCCCCATTAAGTTGCATTATACTGGTTTACATGTAAAAACCCCTATTAAGTTGCCATTATACTGGTTTACATGGAAAAATCCCTATTAAGTTGCATTATACTGGTTTACATGGAAAAAACCCTATTAAGTTGCATTATACTGGTTTACATGTAAAAACCCCTATTAAGTTGCATTATACTGGTTTACATGGAAAAATCCCCATGAGGACGGTGCTAACGGCTTCTTTCATGGGGCTGTAGAAGGGTTTGTTTTGCACAGTATTTGTTGCTTCTACTTGAGTGGATACGTGCGCTGCGATCCGTGCTTGTCTGCTTGAACTCTCTGAAGTGTTGTGTCCGTCCTTTAACACACCGGGTGGGTGGGAGATTTTATTTTTTTTTATTTTTTTTTAAAATTAAATATATCATTTATTTTTTTTAATTTTTTTTTAATTTTATATTTTATTTAAGGATATTACCTATTTGTTTTTTTTTTTCTGGATATTTTTTTTTTTTTTGGAGGGGATTTAGGGATTTGCGAGATTTTTTTATGGGATATTTCGTATTTTTTTATTTAGGATTTAATTAATTTTTTTTTATTTATTTTTTTTTATGATTTTTTTGATTTTCTTCTTTTTTTTTATTTTTTGTTTTGATTTTTTATTTGGGGGATTTTAGGAGATATTTTTTGAATGGATTTTTGAATTTTTGAAATTTATTTTGGGATTTTTTTTTTGGAAATTTTTTTTTTGGATTTTGATTTTATATTTTATATTTAGGAAGTTTTTTTTTTTTCTGTTTTTTGGGGTTTTTTATTTGATTTTTTTTATTTTTTATTATTTTTTTTAATTATTTTATTATTTTTTAGAAAATTTTATTTTTTATATTGTTTTTGATTTTTTTGATTTTATTTGGGAATTTATTTTTTTTTTTTTTTTTTTTTTTGGGGATTTTATTTTTTTTAAATTTTTTTAAGATTTATTTTTTTTTTTTTTTTCTGATAGATTTTTGGGATTGGATTTTAAATTTTTTTTTTTTTTTTTTTTATTTTCATTTTTTTTTTATATCTTTTATTTTTCATTTTCATTTTGGGGTGCCCAAACCTTTTGCTTCCAAGGGCCAAAGTAAAAATTTGCCAGTGGGCCGCGGGCCAAATACACCGATATTATGCATGAAACACAAATAAATGTAGATTTGATCAAGTTCTTTTAAATGCATTAATTATTGTCCATCACGAATCACAGCTGAATGAATGAAATCAACACAGTCTTAGTGAAGTGGAGGCTCCAGGGAAATATGCAGGTTTGAGGAGACTACAGTACAGAAAGATTCCGGTCGGGTAATCAGGGTCCAGAGGAGGGAGATTTTCTGTCATGGCTTATTTAAAGGTTAAAATCATATAATAAAACCTCAAGAGAACAGAAACATACATTTTGTGTGCACCATGTGCACTTGTATATTGTAAGTAGTAACTGTAACTCTATTTTAAATTTAAATGTATTCCTTAGAAGTGTTTTTTATTCTTTATTTTTATTATCTCTGTTGCACTGAGCCAAAGCAATTTCCAAGTCTATTTTCATATATTTATTTTGAACAATACTTTTTAACTACATTGGAATCATATTACTTTATCTTAGCTTTTATCAAAAAGGGGAGACATCACTGATCAATAGATCTGGTTTTAGCACACTTTTAAACAATACATTTTAACATTAAGTAATGAATTTAGGAACATAATTGCTAACTGCATTTTCTAAACATGATCAGGTTTTAACTCTGTTTTAACTTAATATTTTTAACATAGGGCAAGTATTCTCAATTAGTAGTGAACTGAATATTAAACTAACAAAATCAGACTAGTTAACCATGATTTGTTCCTGGAGTTTTGTTTTGTTTTGCCTAAACACAGTACAACATTTATAAACAATCAAAACAAAGTAACTGTTAAAGAGTCCGAGTTTCCGCTCCTCCAAAGGGCTCTTGAACGCATCATAAAACTCTAAGTTCTGACATTCAATGATCGCGAGTGAGGACGGTGCTTACCGGCTTCTTTCATGGGGCTGTAGAAGGGTTTGTTTTGCACAGTATTTGTTGCTTCTACTTGCGTGGATCGTGCGCTGCGATCCCTGCTTGTCCTGCTTGAACTCACTCTGAAGTGTTTGTGTCCGTCCTTTTTAACACACCGGGTGGGTGCGGATTGCGCAGGTGAATAGTTCCACTCGCCATTTCCCTCCGGTGAGGAGGGGGAGTGGCAGTTCGGCAGCACAATCCTCTCAATTTGATAAAACATTAAATAGCTCTAAAAAATAATAATAGTAGGCTGAAAAAAAGAACATAAAGGGGCCTTGCACCCAATTGTTTTGAAAGATGTGTTTGATTTTAAAAGACATTTTAGTGCAAGTTGATGTGAACCATGAGTGAGGAGTGTATCTCGATACAATAGTTAAGTACAGGACAGTTGGAGATCGGAGGGCGACTCTGCGCCCGCGCGACCTCAGACATGTCACTATTTGTTCAGCGAGGCTGAGGGACGCAGATAGAAACTTACAGCGGAGGTGGGCAATGTTTGGCGGGCCAACTGAAATGGTCTGGCGGGCCAACTTTGGCCCGCGGGCCCCACTTTGGGCACCCCTGGTTTATAGAATTCAGGAGGATAACCATCAGGACCGGGGGCTTTATTATTTTGCATCTGAAGAAGAGCTTTATGTAGCTCATGTAAAGTTAGAGGGGAATCTAAGAAGTTTACCATATCTGTAGGAAGTTGTGGTAGTGTAAAGGTTTTGAAGAATGATTGCATCTCAATTGGATTAGGTCTATTTCCTGAAGAGTACAGTTTTTCATAAAATAACCGGAATGTATTATTTATTTCATATTGATCATGAGTGAGCTGCTGTTCTGAGGTTTGTATTGATACTATCATTGATTTATCTTTTTTGCGTTGAACATAAACAATAAACAATAGATTTAAACCCAAAATGGTGAGTGTGACACATGGTTACTGAGCTGGAGGAGTTTAACCCATTAAGGCCTGACACACTTGGTAAAACAGACCTGTGAAAACCTATGGCCGACTTTAGAACCACCTTCTAAAACCTGAAGTTTTCCTGAAATTCAACGTCTACTAAATTATTGATATCTCGGCCTCTAACATAATTCCTAAAGAATTCTAGAGCTGATACTTGTGGCATTCAATAAGAATGGCTAGAATTATTATAAACCTTCAGCAGAATAATACAAAAAATACACAAATTCCACACAGGAAAGATAATAAAACAACTAAAAATAATGTGAGAATAACAGATGTTTCTCAATACAATAAGCCAAAAAGAGTTTAGCAATAAAGTGGCACTAACCATATGGGGGAAAAAAATGAAAAATCCACTCTCAGCCCAAAAAGTCAAATAATGACTCACAGGGCTCTAAAGTAAGCAACATTAAAAACAAGACTGTTTTGGTTTGTTCCGTTTGATTTGTTCACAACATTTTACTTTTGTTCACAAATAACATGCATTGTCAATGCAAGCAAAAATGTAGGTACCTCAGCTTTAATTCAGTTAGTTTTGACTGCGCTTCGTGAGGAGACACGGGAGAGAAACATGGGAGAGACATGGGGGAGAGACGAGGGAGAGACGAGGGAGAGACGGGGAAGACAGGCATGACCTGCATGTGCAACAAGATGGGGATGGTCCTGTTCGCGCGTTTATGGTTCTATCCGCGTGTCTATGACCAGGTTACGGCTGCGCTTGGTTAGCTGTTGTCAAATCAACTACCAGTACAAAGCCCCTCCCGGAGTCAGAGCGGAGGATGTGATCCTCCTTGGTATATCCCTGGTATATCCTGATGCAGTTCATTGGTCCAGAGAATTGATCAAAGATAAACAGATGTTTCCGCTTTCTCGGCCTTAAAGGTAGAACAGCGCTCACGTAAGGTAGAAATGCGGGAATGCGTTCCCGGCCTCAATGGGTTAAAGTGAATGGAGCCAAACTCCCCATGAGCACTTTCCCATTGGGTTTTAAAGAGGTTGGTGATGTCTGGTACTCTCTGCGGTCAGTTAATGTAGAAGTGGGGGAACAGTATTATGCTGAGGGTCTGTGGAGGACTCTCTCTGTCCACCAGGGGGCAGCACTGTGGCATGTTCATCATCCTCCTGGTCCATAGTCTCTGCTGTTTGCTGGTCCTTAGATTCTGCTGGTTGCTAGTCCTCAGTCTGTGTTTGCTGGTCCTGAGTCTCTGGTTGCTGTGTTCCAGGTCCACTTGAAGTTTGAGCTGAATCCTTACGACCCTGTGATCGTGCGGCAGTTGCTGATGTGCAGTGGAGAGCAGACCATGGTCGACACTCGGCCCCCGCTCTGGGTCCAAGACAGCTGCAGCGACCTGCCCAAGCTGGAGGGCGACAGGTACGACCTCTGACCTCCGACCTGCCCAAGCTGGAGGGCGACAGGTACAACCTCTGACCTCCGACCTGCCCAAGCTGGAGGGCAACAGGTACGACCTCTGACCTCCGACCTGCCCAAGCTGGATGGCGACAGATACGACCTCTAACCTCCGACCTGCCCAAGCTGGAGGGCGACGGGTACGACCTCTGACCTCCGACCTGCCCAAGCTGGAGGGCGACAGCGACGACCTCTGACCTCTGACCTGCCCAAGCTGGAGGGCGACAGGTACAACCTCTGACCTCCGACCTGCCCAAGCTGGAGGGCGACGGGTTCGAGTAGAGGAAGCTTACAGTCACTAGCCTGACTCTCGCTAGACCCTTGTAGTTTGCTGAGCTTCCCCCAAAGGTCTGGCACACGATTCAGCACACAACTGCCATGGGTTGCCAGATGCTGGAAAGATTTTCCAGCCCAAAACCGTTGTTCATTCGTTCATATTTTATTTATTTTTTTAAATCAAAGACTTTATGTCTGTTATCTTGGTTTGCTCCGGCTGCTGTGAGACACGCACGAGAAGGCGGTGCAAACAGACGTTACACCGACGATCCTGATTGGTTCATTATTTTTTTGATATATTTGAAGGAGTTTTTATTGCGCTCGATCCCAGACCCTTGTGTTCAGCGAAAAACCTCTGGTGGAGCATGGTGGAACTACTGTTAGTAATAAGACTATAACAGTGGAAAAGACCCTGGAGCTGACTGTTGTTGTTGTTGCAGTGACGATCAGCTGGAGGACTCCGACAGTGAAGATCATTCCAGATCAGAGTCTGTTACAGGTAATGTCGCATTTCAGTGTCCTGTTTAGAAGTCTTCATCCTCTCTGGTTTTCTCTCTTCTCTCTCTCTGGTCTCTGGATCCCTTAATCCTAATCTCCTCTCTCCTGTCCCAGGCCCTCAGTCTCAGTGGGACAGCATGGACGTCCACTTGTCGGTGTCTGCTCTGTCCATCCTGCAGCAGCCAGAGAAGCTGCAGTGGGAGGTGGTGGCCAGTGTCCTGGAGGACACAGTGAAGGACCTGGAAGAGCTGGGAGCTAACCCCAGTTCTCTCCCCCATCCCCCAAAACCCTACGGCCAGTCCAACAGCTCCCTCCCCCAACCCCCCAAACCCTATGGCCTGCCCAAGACCGCGCAGCGCCCCGCGGAGCACAACATTCCCTTCCCCTGCCTGCTGGCGGGCGGCTTGCTCAGCTACCGCTCTGCACACACTAACACTCCGGTGACCTCGGCCTCATCTCCGCGCAGGGCCGAGGCGTCTCCGGACTTGGGTGCCATGGAGATCGAAAGCGCCACGCTGGAGCCTGCCTTCCCCGCCCCCAGCCCCTCCCCCTCAGGCCCCAGCGCGCGCCGCTCTGTGCCCGTGCTGCTGCTCTACAGCATCCGGGAGGCGGACGACAAGTCCACGTGTCAGGTGTTCTCTCAGATGAACAACCTGATGAGTAACCACCACGAGGACGGCTTCACCGTGCCGCAGATCATCGAGATGGAGTTTGACTCTCATGAGCAGCTGCTGCTGCAGGACCCACCCATCACCTACATTCAACAGTTCGCAGATGCCGCTGGCGGCTTGGCGCTGGACGCACATGTAGACAAGTGGAGCACCCTAGCATCCACGGCTAACGCGTCGGCACCGTTCCCCAAGCCCGGCTCACTGGTGCAGTGCCTGCGTCTGCCTAAAGCGCTGGAGAACGAGCCGCTGTGCGTGGACTCAATCACGCCGTGTTTTGATGGCGTGCATTTACTGATCGGTCTTCAGCCGAGCTGCGGCGGCGAGTCCCTAACTGCCGCTAACCAGGTGGAGGCTCTGAACAACCTTAACCGTCTGCACTCTGCACTCAGTAAAGACAGTCTCCACAACGGCGTGGAGCCTCTCCCCAAGAGCCAATCACAGCTCATCCTGCCGCCTCACGAGCAGGACACCCACCGGGCGCACAGCCACGGCGGCGGGTACCTGGCACTTTACAAACTGAACTACTCCACGCGCATCGTGACACTAGACGAGGAGCCGGTGAAACTGCAGCAGATCAGTGAGGCGGAGGACGCCATCACATCTCTGATTCTGCTGCCTCCTGACGTGTTGGACAGTCGCGAGGAGGATGGCGAGGAGCCGCAGGACGATCAGAGCACAGCACGCAGCGGGAAGAACTCGCCTCAGACGCAGAGGCGCGCAGAGGCCGCAGGTGCCGCGGGGCTGGGCCACCTGGTGGTCACCACACGCTCAGGCTTCATCATGATCCTGGACCTCAGCTCGCTAACGGTGCTCGCCAAAGTAGAGCCGCCAAAGAAGGAGGAGTCTGACGAGACCGACCCCTTTGTGTCTGTGACCTACTGCTCTGGGACAGACCGCCTGTGCGCTGCCACCAGAGGTCAGTACGTTTTAAAGGTCAGGGCACAGACCGCCTTAACAATTTTCTAAGCGATTATTCAAATCCTAAAATCCATCGGAAAAGGCATTAGGAGCTGAGGAGAGATGCTATCAGAGGGAACTGATGAGTGCCACTAGCACTGGGATGATGTATAAACCAGTGATAAGTCTGAATCCAGGTGGAGGTAAAATGAGAGAGGAGAGGATAGAGACATCCTTCGGCCAGAGTCCACAGTTCCTATAGGTTCTCAGGTGAGAGCAGCAGTCATTAGGAATGTCCGAACACAGAGGAGGCAGTATGAACACTGCTGCAATGTATTTATAATGGTTAATATCCCATCATACAACAACTGATCCTGTGTTTGACCCCTGACCCTGTGTGCAGGTGGTGAGCTTCATTTCCTCCAAATTGGAGGAGTTTGTGACGAAGTGGACGATGGAGACATGTTCATGGATGGCTCCCTGTCCAAAGGATCTGAGGTTCTGTTAGAAGGAGCTCGACCTTGCAGTAACCCCTCCAGCCCCGGGATCATGGGTACGACCAGTGTACCTGTTCTCTGGTCTCTCTCTCTGGTCTTTCTCTAGTCTCTCTCTCTGGTGGACATCCTCCTGGAGCAGCCTCTATCCGCCTCATGTCTCCTCCTCTCACTCCTCCTCCTCTCTCCTCCTCAGGGGTGGACCTCCTGGTGGAGCAGCCTCTTTCTGCAGACTGCCTCATGTCTCTTGTGGAGCTCACACGCTTTGAGACGCTGACTCCTCGGTTCTCCGCCACGGTGCCTCCCTGTTGGGTGGAGGTGCAGCAGGAGCAACAGCAACGAAGACATCCACAACATCTGCACCAGCAACACCATGGGGACGCCGCTCAGCACACCAGGACTTGGAAGCTCCAGACAGACAGGTACGGCACCGTCGGCTTAAGGACCGTTTGAGTGTAGACTGGTGAAGACCGGCGCAGACATCTGCAGACTGCTAGAGACCAGTGCAGACTGGAACAGACTGGTACAGGCCGAGATGAACAGTGGTTTATTATCAGTTTCTGCTGAATTTGTGCTTGATGTCTTCTCTGTATTTGACCCATCCTTCACATCACCTTCCCCTCTCCTCCCCCTCTCCTCATCTTCACTCCTCCTCTCTCCCTCCTCTCTCCCTCCTCTCTCCTCCCTCTCCTCCTCCCACAGTTCCAGCTGGGACGAGCACGTCCTAGAGCTGGTCCTCCCAAAAGCCTGCTTGGTGGGACATGTGGACTTTAAGTTTGTGCTGAACTCCAACATCGTCAACATTCCACAAATTCAGGTCACGCTCCTGAAGAACAAGGCTCCAGGTCTCGGCAAAGTCCAAGGTGAGTCCAGGCCAGACCAGAGAGAGAGACAAGAGAGAGAGACAAGAGAGAGAGAGAGAGAGACAAGAGAGAGAGACAAGAGAGAGAGACAAGAGAGAGAGACAAGAGAGAGAGACGAGAGAGAGACGAGAGAGAGAGACAAGAGAGAGAGACCAGAGAGAGAGACCAGAGAGAGAGACCAGAGAGAGAGACCAGAGAGAGAGACCAGAGAGAGACCAGAGAGAGAGACCAGAGAGAGAGACCAGAGAGAAAGACCAGAGAGAGAGACCAGAGAGAGAGACCAGAGAGAGAGACCAGAGAGAGAGACCAGAGAGTGAGACCAGAGAGTGAGACCAGAGAGTGAGACCAGAGAGTGAGACCAGAGAGTGAGACCAGAGAGTGAGACCAGAGAGTGAGACCAGAGAGTGAGACCAGAGAGTGAGACCAGAGAGTGAGACCAGAGAGTGAGACCAGGGAGTGAGACCAGAGAGTGAGACCAGAGAGTGAGACCAGAGAGTGAGACCAGAGAGTGAGACCAGAGAGTGAGACCAGAGAGTGAGACCAGAGAGTGAGACCAGAGAGTGAGACCAGAGAGAGGAGACCAGAGAGTGAGACCAGAGAGTGAGACCAGAGAGTGAGACCAGAGAGTGAGACCAGAGAGTGAGACCAGAGAGTGAGACCAGAGAGTGAGACCAGAGAGTGAGACCAGAGAGTGAGACCAGAGAGTGAGACCAGAGAGTGAGACCAGAGAGTGAGACCAGAGAGTGAGACCAGAGAGTGAGACCAGAGAGTGAGACCAGAGAGTGAGACCAGAGAGTGAGACCAGAGAGTGAGACCAGAGAGTGAGACCAGAGAGTGAGACCAGAGAGTGAGACCAGAGAGTGAGACCAGAGAGTGAGACCAGAGAGTGAGACCAGAGAGTGAGACCAGAGAGTGAGACCAGAGAGTGAGACCAGAGAGTGAGACCAGAGAGTGAGACCAGAGAGTGAGACCAGAGAGTGAGACCAGAGAGTGAGACCAGAGAGTGAGACCAGAGAGTGAGACCAGAGAGTGAGACCAGAGAGTGAGACCAGAGGTGAGACCAGAGAGTGAGACCAGAGAGTGAGACCAGAGAGTGAGACCAGAGAGTGAGACCAGAGAGTGAGACCAGAGAGTGAGACTGGGTTGTTGCACACTGTGTGACACTTCTGTTTTATGTGACCTGACCTGTGACCGCGACCTCTGCCCCTGTCCCTCAGAGACCCCTGTGGACCGGCCCATCTCCTTCCCCCTGTCCAGCCTGCACTCTAATGGAGAGAGGAATGGACCAGTGCTCAGCGACTGCAGCGAAGACATCCAGTTCATGGACATCGAGGACACTGCAGGTGACAAACTTAAAGCTGGAGTCTTGAACTTCAAAGGTTGGGTCTTTAACTTTAAAGCTGGGGTGTGTAACTTTAAAGCTGGAATCTGTAAGTAAGACCACAACAGAACACTGTATTAAACCCATGTCTCTAGTTCAGACAAACAGCTGCCTCTGTCCCCATGTTTTTCTTAGGGCCGGGACTTTAACGCGTTAATTACAATTAATTAACACCAAAAAAATTAGCGCATTAAAAAAATTGACTAATTTTAATCGCATTTCTACCGCGGAACGTTCCTCACTGGAGGATGAGTTTCAGACGGACCGATTATACTGGAGCGCCAACTGAGCTCTGTGACTTTTCTTGTTCAAAAGTACATTATAACAAGCATAGACCAACTTTAGCGGTGTCTAAATCTGAGTGAATTAGAGACGGGAAAGAGCGCTTTGTGTGGACTCACAAACACAGCGACTCCTGTGTGTGAGCCAGTGTGAGCGGAGGAGGAGGAGGAGGTGTGTGAGCTGCTCGTGCTGATGTTTTAGTTCTAATGCACACATCAAAAACGTATTATAAGCTTTAGTGCTCACTTTGAGTGCAGTGGATTTTGGGCTTAAGAAGCGTATGTTGTGGACAGAGTGTGTGGAGGCGATGACGGAAACGTTATTTGATGGGAAAGAAGTCCGTCTGATCCTCCATAATGAACATGTGTTGCTTAAGCTTATGTATTCAGTCATTTTTCAATGGTAAACTAAAAATCCATGTGAAAAAAAATTCTCACTGTTCTCAGGATAAATATTTATATGCGATTAAAATGCGATTAATTTTGATTATCCATCCATCCATCCATTTTCTTCCCCTTAATCCATTTCTGGGTCGGAGGGGTGGCAGTCAGAGCTGCACCCAGTCCACATAGCACCAGCCCCTCACTGATCCTCCTGCAGGTGGTGAGTCCACAGGAGCTGAGATCTTTCAGTTGGGGCTTTGGGCAAAGTAGGGTTAAGTGTCTTGCCCAAGGACACAACGACAGCAGTCATCAGTGGGAGTCGTGAAGTAGGTCTTACGGTGGGCTCGAACCCACGACCTTCAGGCCCAAAGGCCAATGCTCTACCAACTGAGCTACTGTCGCCCTTAATTAGATTTTTTTTTTATCGAGTCTCAGCCCTAGTTTTTCTGTCTCTGTCACATCTTTGTTTTTCACTTCTCTGCCTGAAAAAAGCTGATCTGGAGGACCACCCTGCCTCAGCCAATCAGCTCTCAGTCTTCACAGAGCTCTGTCATACACACAAGATGTTTTCTAATGAGATGAAGACGATATGTTGTAGTCTGAAACTCTGTTGGAAAAACTACGTGTTATTAATGAAGCAGTAAAGTTACATACCCCACCTTTAATGGTTGTATTCTTGCCCTTGGTTTCCTGGTCCCTAACGCCTGGTGTCCTCCTCAGGGTCAATGCTGTGTCCGTTCCTGGAGGAGCACCGTGAGGACATCCTGTGTGGTCCTGTGTGGGTGGCCAGTGGACTGGACCTTTCTGGACACGCAGGAATGATCAGCCTCACCAGCCCCAAACTGGTCAAAGGTACCAGATGTAATACTATCAGACATACCAGGGACTCCCTCTCTCTGGTCTCTGTATGGTTACTCTCTGGTCTCTCTCTTGTTTCTGTGGCCTCTCTCTGTGGTCTCTCTCTGGTCTCTATCTGGTCTCTCTCTGGTCTCTCTCTGGTCTCTCTCTGTTCTATCTGGTCCTGTCTTCCCTGTGGTGAAAATACTGGCTTAAATGCAGTAGTTGTGTAGTGGTGGATGCATCCTCTCTGTGGATTGCTGGGAAAGTCTTTTATGTGTGTGTTTCAGGGATGGCCGGAGGGAAGTACCGCTCCTTCCTGGTACACATCAAAGCAGCGACGGATAAGAGTCTGGAGGACAGTCCCAGACCAGTGGTCCGAATGCCCAGCTCCAAACCTCAGAGCTCCAAAGGACACTCCCTGTCCACACTGCTACAGAGAGCACAGGCCTCCAAAGTGAGTCTCCAACCAGACTGGATAAAGATGGACCATGCTAACACTCAAGGAAGCCTAAGAGAAAAGTGCTCTGCTCTCTCTCTGGTCTCTGGTGTCTCTCTGCTCTCTCTCTTTGCTCTCTCTCGCTGGTCTAAGTAAGTGAGTAATTCATCTTTATTTATATAGCTCCTTCACAAAGCGCTTTACATATTTACATAGCGAGCCACAAAGCGCTTTACAATTGTGCGCATTTGTCTCTCACTACATACAGAGATGGAAGTGAGGTCGCCGAACAGGAGACGCGGGCCAGACCTATTGTACATGTTTTTAGTGGTAGGGGAAACCTACGCAGACACGGGGAGAACGTGCAAACTTCACTGTGATTCGAACCCAGGACCTGCTTAATGAGAAGCCAGAGTGCTATCCACTCAGCCACCGTGTCGCTCTCTGGTCTCTCTGGTCTCTCTCTCTGGTCTCCCTCTCTGGTCTCCCTCTCTGGTCTCTCTCTCTGGTCTCTCTCTCTGGTCTCCCTCTCTGGTCTCTCTCTGGTCTCTCTCCCCGGTATCTCTCCCTGGTCTTTGTCTGGTTTCTTTAGTCTCTCATAGATACCATGTGTTTCAGGAGAAGGTGACAGGGGTGAAGTCTGATGCTGCGACTCCTTCAAAGAAAGTGGAGAACCTCCGTGGCTGCGACCTGCTTCAGGAGGTGTCCATCACAATCAGACGCTTCAAGAAGACGTCCATAACCAAAGAGAGGTAATAAAGCTGCATTAAAGCTGATGGCTGTAAGTTTCACACCACAACAATAGAACTCTAATAAAATCCATGTTATGAGTTATTTCTCTTTGGTCGCTCTCTGGTCTCCACTTTCTGATGTCTGGTCTTTCTATGGTAAAAGTTTAAAACTTATTTATGAGACTAAAGTTACAGTCCACAGCTTTAGTTGGAGTCTTGTTCCAACCAGTTTTATACCAATACAATACTAGTATGACAATATCGCGACTGTAAAGATGCTTCAGTTTGACCTCTGTCCTCTGACCTCTCAGGGTGCAGAGATGTGCAATGCTGCAGTTCCCAGACTTCCACGACCGCCTCCTGGAGACACTGTGTCGACCCGTGGAGGGCGTGGCCTGTTCAGAGCACGCCCAAAGCCTCATCCTGGATGTCCTGTGCTGGCTGGCCGGGGTCTTCACCAACGGGCCCTGCAGGTACCTGAGGACTGAAAATGGAGACCCGCAATTGAAGCTGGAGACCCAGGACTGAGGCTGTAGACCCAGGACTGAGGCTGTAGACCCAGGACTGAGGCTGTAGCTGTAGACCCAGGGCCGAGGCTGTAGACCCAGGACCGAGGCTGTAGACCCAGGGCCGAGGCTGACGACCCAGAGCTGTAGCTTTAGATCCAGGACTGAGGCTGTAGACCCAGGTCTTGGTCTCTGATTCTCTCTTGTGCCTCAGTTTGAAGGAAGGGAAAGAGGCTCTGCTGCTGAAGACTCGCCTGCGCCTTAACGACATCGTTCGAGTTTGTTTCTTTGAGGCCGGACGCAGCATTGCGCACAAATGTGCTCGATTCTTAGCACTTTGTATCAGGTGAGAGTCTGCTTTAGCACTTTGTATTGGATGAGTAGTGAACTGTAGTGACACGTATTACAGTGCTGTAATTTCCGGACAATAATCAGATGGTATTTTCTAGTTCTTTGGCCCAGTAGAACCCTAACCCTGTGTGTGTGTGTTTGTGTGCGTGTGTGTGTGTGTGTGTGTGTGTGTCTTTCTTTCTCTCTCTGTGTTTGTGTCTCTCTCTCTGTGTCTGTCTCTGTGTGTTGCAGTAACGGTAAAGGGGACTCCTCGCAGCAGGGTTTTGGACTGTGTCTCCTCAAAGCGCTCATCGAGAATATGCCTTATCTCCCGGCAGCCGCCACCGGGGGTCAGTGTCTCTCCTCTCTCTCTCCTCACTCTCCTCCTCCTCTCTCGCTGCTGCGCCTCTCTCTGCTCCTCTTCTCTCTGCTCCTCTTCTCTCTGCTGCTCCGGTGGTCAGTGTCTCTCCTCTCTCTTTCCTCACTCTCCTCCTCCTCTCTCGCTGCTGCGCCTCTCTCTGCTCCTCTTCTCTCTGCTCCTCCGGTGGTCAGTGTCTCTCCTCTCTCTCTGTCTCCTACTCTCCTCTTTCTCCTCCTCCTCTCACCTCTTCTCTCCTCCTCAGGCTCAGTCTTCTGGTTTTTCGTGCTCTTGAACTTTGTGAAGGAGGAGGATCTGGCTGGATGCAGTTCAGCTTGTGCCTCACTGCTCACTGCAGTCTCCAGACAACTGCAGGACCGTCTCACTCCACTGGAGGCACTGCTGCAGACCAGGTACTGGGGTCAGGGGTCAGAGGTGTCAGAGCAGGCACAAAGGTCAGGAACTGGGGTCAGAGGTCACAGACCAGGTACTGGGTCTGTTACCTGTACCTGGTCTGTCAGAGGTTTCAGATCCTTGTGTTCCTCAGGTACGGTCTCTACAGTTCGCCCTTTGACCCTGTCTTGTTTGACCTGGAGGTCAGCGGCTCGTCCTGTAAAAACGCCTACAACAGCAGCATTGGGGTCCAGTCCGACGAGATCGACCTCTCCGACATACTCTCAGGTACTACTTCTACTACTACTACTGCTTTGTGCGTGTGTGGCTCTCACGCACGTGCACAGAAGGGCACAGCGCGTCCTGACCAATCAGGCGCTATTGATCAGAGCTGAAGGAAAACCAGCTGAGTTTGTTACACTAAAGTGTGGATTTATTTAGTTATAAAGTTCAGGAACACTAAAATCCCCACAAAATCTGACCTTTATGAAAGCTGTAGGTTCTTTGTCAGCTGAGGTTGAGCTGTTTTAATTTACATTGAGTTCTATTGTGAAAATGTTTGTGTAGCCTAGGGATGTAAAAAACTATGCATTTTCATGACCGACCACCGAGCCTCATTAACCGGTTGAAACCGGTTAACCGCGTAGTTTAAAATAGTCCACGTTCTTTGAAATAACAGCCATTTCGAGCCGCGTACTTTTCATAAGTGCAGCTCTGCGTTCTACTGGATCAGAGTTGAGACAGCGGCGCCCAAACCCGCAACAGCTTCGGCACCTTTGCGCACAGAGAACTGCTTTTTTAATCTTCCCATTCTGTGCTGCGGGTTAAAGCATTTTTAAGCAAAAGACGGCTCGTTCACATGGTCAGAGCAGCGAGTTACACGCCGCGTCTCGCAGGTCTCCGCTAAAGTTTAAAAGTGATGTGTGTGGATCTGATCTAATGACAAGGACCAGCAGCACAAACATGTTTCATGTGTTTGACTGGGGCCGCGTATTTGCGAGGATTCTTTGGGCTGCGAGACAGACCGGTATGTGTGTGTGTACAATACATGTATGTATGTGTGTATATATGTGTGGAACTTTGGCGGTAACAGAGGGGAGAGATGATGCGTGTGGATGTTACGTATGGAGAGGGGGAAGTGTGTGTGTGTGTGTGCGCGCGTGCGTGTGCGCGTGTGTGCATATGTGGAGCGTGCGCCATGAAAGTCGCCCGTAGTCTACTAATGCATTGGCGCACACAGCTAGATACGGACCCGCTCGTCACATCGTACAAATAGGGCTTAAAATAGCCTTATTAAGAGACCTCCCCTCTCCGCTTTTTCTTATTTTTAACCGACAGCTTTGACCGGTTAACGCTGTGACGGTCAACCACCGGTTAACCGGTCACCGATTTACATCCCTAGTGTAGCCCACATGAATTTGGTCTTATTTAGTCTGCAGTACAATCTCCCGAGCACGTTAGTCCTTCAGCTCTAAACTAGTAATACCCGATCCAGATGATATTATAAATCCATGGGTATTACTGTTACTGTAGTACTGGTGTACTACTACTACTACTGCTGTAGAACTAGGAATGTCTGTCTGACATTCTTACTTCTACTACTGTAGAAGTAGAAGAGATTCCTTATTTGTCCCACATTCGAGAAATTTCAGGTACTACTATACTACTAAAACTGTCCTACTACACCCAGGACTTGAATGACTCTCTCCCCTCTCCCCCACAGGGAATGGTAAGCTGGGCAGTTGTGCAGCCGCAGAGGGCAGCTTCACAGCTCTGACCGGTCTCTTGGAGGTGGAACCGCTTCACTTCAGCTGCATCTCCACCAGCGACGGCACCAGAGTGGAGAGGGATGACGCAAGCATGTTCACCGGTGAGTAATGGGACTATAGACCCAGGACTAAGGCTTTAGGGTTAAGGTGAATACTGAAGAGGTTCCCAGTCCTGCGTGTGTCTCACATGCCTCTGTCCCCCACAGTGAGCTCCTTTGGGGTCCCCCCCTCAGTCCCCATGTCCTCAGCCTCAGTGGGGGAGGCGTCCACAGCTCTGAGCTCGGCGGCTCAGGTAGCACTTCAGTCTCTGTCTCACGCCATGGTGTCAGCGGAGCAGCAGCTCCAGGTGCTCCAGGAGAAGCAACAGCAGCTGCTTAAGCTGCAACAGCAGGTCTGTGTGAGTTTGTGTCTGTGTGTGTTGTTTCCTCTCGTCTTTGTGCTTTGTGTGTGTCTGTGGGTTGTTTGCTTACTACTTTGTACATTGCAGAAAGCAAAGCTTGAGGCCAAACTGCACCAGACGTCTTCAGCTGCAGCCGCAGCTGCCTCGAGTCATCTTCATAACTCAGTGCCTTCAAACTCGTCCACGGCTCCTGGTTTCTTCATCCACCCGTCAGACGTGATCCCGCCCACTCCCAAGACCACGCCCCTTTTCATGACTCCGCCCCTAACTCCACCCAACGAGGCAGTGTCTGCCGCCTTCAGCGCTGAGCTCGCACACCTGTTTCCCGGATCCATGACTGAGGCCAGTCCTGTTAATCTGGCAACCCACAAGGGAGCGCACAGGAGCAAGCAGGTGAGACTCAAGAAGGTGCACCAAGTCCAAATAGAGAGAGGCCAGAGTGAGAGGCCAGAGTGAGAGGCCAGAGTGAGAGGCCAGAGTGAGAGGCCAGAGTGAGAGGCCAGAGTGAGAGGCCAGAGTGAGAGGCCAGAGTGAGAGGCCAGAGTGAGAGGCCAGAGTGAGAGGCCAGAGTGAGAGGCACAAACCTTTTCTTATTTCATTTACCTGTTATGTTATACTAGCGGATATGAAGGGTGAACCATGTCTCAGCAACAAACCAGTGTAGATATTAAAGGGGCGTTCACACCGGACTTAACTTCGGCGTCAAAAGCGTCAGGTTTGCATTGAAAGTGAATGGTGAAGCGCGTCAGGTGAAGCCGAGGGGCCCGGCGTCACTTGGCGCGCGTCAAAAGCTTCAAAGGTTGCGCGTAATACGCGCTCACTTGAAGCTTTTGACGCTCGAAACGCTCGCGTATCAAAACAATCCCTTTGACGCCGAAGCTGAGCAAAGCTGAGCTTTTGAAGCTTTGACGCGGGCTTCAACCAATCAGGAAACGAGCAGCAGCAGCAGCAGAGGGTCTGTCTCTGTCATGAAGAAGAAGTCATGTATCTGCTGCTGCTGTTTTATTGTCATTATTGTTATTAGTAATATTATTTGTATGAGTAGTAACGTTCTGAGTAACAAAAATCATTGTACACATGCTGTGTAGTAAACGTAGTTTATTTAAAATAAGAACAGGCTGACGATGAGTCTGGCTGAGAGCAAGGCAGCTCCGGGCGGGCGAGAGCCGGGGAGAGGTGAGCGAGAGCCGGGGAGAGGCAGGGAGAGGTGAGCGAGAGCCGGGGAGAGGCAGGGAGAGGTGAGCGAGAGCCGGGGAGAGGCAGGGAGAGGCGAGCGAGAGCCGGGGAGAGGCAGGGAGATGTGAGCGAGAGCCGGGGAGAGGTGAGCGAGAGCCGGGGAGAGGCAGGGAGATGTGAGCGAGAGCCGGGGAGAGGCAGGGAGAGGTGAGCGAGAGGCAGGGAGAGGCGAGCGAGAGCCGGGGAGAGGCAGGGAGAGGCGAGCGAGAGCCGGGGAGAGGCAGGGAGAGGCGAGCGAGAGCCGGGGAGAGGCAGGGTGAGGCGAGCGAGAGCCGGGGAGAGGCAGGGAGAGGCGAGCGAGAGCCGGGGAGAGGCAGGGAGAGGCGAGCGAGAGCCGGGGAGAGGCAGGGAGAGGCGAGCGAGAGCCGGGGAGAGAGGCAGGGGGAGGCAGGGAGAGGCGAGAGCGAGGCGGGGAGAGGCGAGCTCCGGGGTTTGAGAACTCAGACTGGGCGAGTGACATACGGAAGTACCGCTGAAAGCGAAACTCCTCCGTACGCAGCTCCTGGAGTAAATGACGGAACTCTGCAAACACTGCAGCCTCTCAAGTCTGTGGTGAACCCAGAACATGTTTTGTTGAAGCCCTACAACAACGTTATTTTGCTTTATATAACAAATAAAGGCTCGCTGCTCATTGAAAAATCCACCGCTGTCCTGACTACAGACAACAGAGAAGCTCCTCCCACCGGCGTCACTCGCGTCATTCGCGTCAAAAGCTTCAAGCACCAAAATGACAAAACTATCCCGGCGTCAGTTGAAACGCGTCAAAAGCTTTTTGAAGCTTTTGGTCTGAATGCGCCTTAAGTGTTTATCTCATTTGCATATTCACAATAATGTTCACAAATAACGTGAGAATAACGTTCTTTCCTGTGTCCAGGGCGCCATGGGCAGCGGTCTGGCTCTGGCCATCTCTCAGGCCTCACACTTCCTGCAGCCTCCTCCCCATCAGTCCATCATCATCGAGCGCATGCACTCAGGTAACAACAAATTGATGTCTTTGTGTCTCGCCCCACAGCAGCAGTTGTGTCAGAGGACTTTAGAAAGTTGTGGATTCACCAACAACAAATCAAGAATCAAACCATAATTAAAACACAGGAAACACAATGATAACAAATACATGGGGAGCGGGATGACCACATTTGTGCAACATGAACAAACTCTGGTCTCTCTCTGGTCTCTCTCTGGTCGCTCTCTGGTCGCTCTCTGGTCTCTCTCTGGTCTCTCTCTGGTCTCTCTCTGGTCTCTCTCTGGTCGCTCTCTGGTCGCTCTCTGGCCTCTCTCTGGTCTCCCTCTGGCCTCTCTGATCTGCCTGGAAAAACCAGAGTGACGGAGACTCTCTCTGAACATAGAGACTTAAACCTGCTTGTCTTCAGGTGCGCGGCGGTTTGTTACGCTGGACTTTGGTCGTCCAGTGCTCCTCACTGACGCTCTGATCCCGGTGTGTGCGGACCTAGCGTCTCTGTCCATCGACGTGTGGACACTGGGAGAGGAGGTGGACGGGCGCCGCCTGGTGGTGGCCACAGACATCAGCACACACTCACTTATTCTGCACGACCTGCTGCCGCCCCCTGTCTGCCGCTTTATGAAGGTGAGCTCTGTCCACACTGAGATGATGGGATGTCGGCTGGTTTGCATTAGGTAGGATTTAAACTGACATAGATGGGAAGTGTCAGCTCGAAAAACGAAATCTTCATCGCGACCAACTCAAAAATACATTTAGAAAGAGGCGTGGTTCGAACTGTCATTGGTCTTTGGTCCTGAAGTTTGCGGGTTCAAGCCCAGCATGAGACCTACTTCACGACTCCCACTGATGTCTGCTATCGTTTTGTCCTTGGACAAGACACTTAACTCCACTTTGCCTCTGCTGAAAGATCAAGGCTCCTGTGGACTCACCACCTGCTGGAGGATCGGTGAGGGGCTGGTGCTATGTAAATTGGGTGCAGGTCTGACTGCTACCATCCTCCCCCGACCCATAAATGGATTAAGGGCAGGGCTGGACTGGGACAAAAAAACGGCCCGGGCATTTTTCCTTCTTACCGGCCCAGGCATGTTTTTGTCACTTTTTTACAGTTTGTTTATACCAAGGATCGGCAACTCAAAAGGTTCAAAGAGCCATATTTGACAAAAAAACTAAAAACATCTGTCTGGAGCGGCAAAAAAATAACAGCCTTGTATAAAGCTTATATGAAGGTTACACAATGTACCTACATTAGCTACATTAGCCTAATATCTAAACAAGTAAAGGCTACAAATACATAATAAGCATTCATGATTATCAAATGTGTGTTTTCACTGCAGCGTGTCCTGGAGAGAATGACGCACCATGTGATGACTCTGCTTTAACTTTGACATTTTTTTGCCTTCATGCAACTATAGAAATACAGTAAATAAATCTGCTTTTTGGCTCAAAGGTCACACACCTGCACTGTCCACTCATATCGATCACGTCACAGGCTGAAGTTTGCTGAAGCTGAATGTCCTTAATGGCCTTTTCTTTCACAGTCTTTGCGGAGGTTTTTGAAGTCTGAAAAAGGTGCTCTGGATTTTGTATGAAAGAATCCTTCACGTAATCCCTGTGAACGGTATTTAGTGCTTCATTGTTCCTCGTGTTGCAACAAAACTTCCTATTACATTGCAAACATGGAGCAGTCTTTCCTCATTGACTAAAAGCAAATGTTCAGTCTTGTCCTTAGTCCAGTCTTATTATCGACTCTTTCTCTTTTTATCTTTGGGATCCGTGCGCACACGCCGGTTTGTTCACAGCAGCGGCCGCCTGGCGCGGGGCTGCGTCACAGGATATGACGCACTACGTTAACAGAAATGTTGAAATTGAATATTACTTATACACATTTTTACAGCATTGAAATACGTTAGGAATGTTTTTCCTCCTACAGAAACCACATTCAAAATAGGAATAAAATATAGCCCTCCCACTCCATTTTCAGACATTTTTGAAAAGGCTCCAGGAGCCACTGGAGGAGCACTAAAGGTTGCCGACCCCTGGTTTATACAGTATGTAGAAGCACACTGTAGAGGATGAGGATGTCTGTAGTTTCAACAAAAAAAGAAAGTGCAATAGTCTACATTACAAGAGAGTAATAAACATGTCTCAGAGTGAGGGAGGTGGGCACAGACATGAGAATTGGTCAAAAAAGTCTGAAACGCATAATGTCAGCCATTGGCTAGCTCTAAATCTGTTTAATTTGTTCACAACATTTTACTTTTGGGCTCAAACATTAACTTTTAATGCAATGGAAAATTTAGGTATCCGAGCTTTAATTTAGTCGCACTTCGAGAGGAGAGGGGAGACGCGGACTTTTTCCTGCAGTGGTGTATTTATTGGGTGCACAAATTACGCAAAGACATGCATGGTCCTGTGCGCGTTTATGGTCTTGGGTATGGTCACGTTGCGGCTACGCGCTCACCGTGTTGTGTTGTGAGCGGTTCCCGGTGAGCGGTTCCCGCGTCCAGCTCAGAGCTGCTGGATGCGGGAACACTGCGGCCGCTGAGGTGGTGGAATCCCGTTCCAGTACATACAGCAGGTGCCCCGCGGACACTCGCGCCCCCTCGAACAGTTCTCAACGGATTTACACTTTTCACAAACATTTTTTTTGTATGAGGCAAACAGACCGGCCCAAATATGGGTATCGGCCCTTCGGGCATTGCCCGGTACGCCCGATGGCCAGTCCAGCCCTGATTAAGGGGAAGAAAATGAAAATGGAGGGATGGATAGATGGCGTGGTTCAAACTGTCTGGTAGTCTACTCTGGTTGCAGAAGTAAAGTTCCCAGAGGAGCAGAGAAAATTTCAACAGAGGACACACACTCGACCTGGTCCACAACAGAGGACACACACTAAACCTGGTCCACAACAGAGGACACACACTAGACCTGGTCCACAACAGAGGATATACACTAGACCTGGTCCACAACAGAGGAAACACACTAGACCGGGTCACAACAACTATTTTCTTCCCAATGGAATGGTTTGTGATATTTAGTAATTTTTGTAAGGAGCTTTATCAGATAAACAGTTATTGGATTTGTATGTAACTAAAACGTTGTAATCCTGCCGCTCTATCCTCCGTCATTGATTCTACATCCTCTTTGATTGAACACTAACAGAACATAATGGACGTCCTCATGGTCCCCTTGTGTCTCAGATCACGGTGATCGGCCGATACGGTAGCACAAACGCTCGGGCGAAGATCCCTCTGGGGTTTTACTACGGCCACACATACATCCTGCCCTGGGAGAGCAACCTGAAGCTGAGCCACGACCCCCTGAGGGACGGAGACTGTGGCCCTCAGCCTGATGTGGAGCAACATCTGGGCATGATGATGGCCCTGCAGGAGGACATACAATGCAGGTCGGACTTTAAACCTGTTTTACTCCTGTTTTAGACCTGCTTTAGTCCTGTTTTAGACCTGCTTTAGTCCTGTTTTAGACGTGCTTTAGTTCTGTTTTAGACCTGCTTTAGTCCTGTTTTAGACCTGTTTTAGACGTGTTTTAGACGTGCTTTAGTCCTGTTTTAGACGTGCTTTAGTCCTGTTTTAGACCTGCTTTAGACCGGCTTTAGTCCTGTTTTAGACCTTCTTTAGACCTGCTTTAGGCCGGCTTTGAAAGTCTTTTAATTCCTCCTCACAAAGAACCTATTCCAATCCCAGACTGAGTCTCTCTCTCCCTCAGGTATAACCTGGCCTGTCATCGGCTGGAGACGTTGCTCCAGAGCATAGACCTGCCTCCTCTGAACAGTGCCAACAACGCTCAGTACTTCCTGCGTAAACCGGACAAGGTGGTGGAGGAGGACCAGCGAGTCTTCTCTGCTTACCAAGACTGCATCACACTCCAGCTGCAGCTCAACCTCTCCCATCATGCAGTACAGCGCCTCAGAGTGTCTCTGGGAGCCTCTCGCAGACTGCTTTCTGACTGCGACAAACCAAAACCTCAAGAACTGGTCAGCAACTCCTCCACTGAGCAGCTGAGGACAATCATCCGATACCTGCTGGACACACTGTTGAGCCTGCTCCACGCAAACAACGGTACCATGTGACACCTGTGTAATACACCTGTGTAACACAGTCATTGGTTATAGCACCCCCACAGTCTAGGTCCTTCAAATATTGTTGTCTTATTAATCTGGACCGTCTCATTATACCAGACGTGTGACTCACCTGGTCCCTTTGTCCTCAGGTCCTTCGGTGCCATCCGTCCTCCAGTCCACGTTCCACTCAGAGGCCTGTGAGGAGCTGTTCAAGCACCTGTGCATCAGTGGGACCCCGAAGATCCGTCTCCACGCAGGGCTCCTGCTGGTCCAGCTCTGTGGAGGGGAGCGATGGTGGGGCCAGTTCCTCTCCAACGTCCTACAGGAGCTCTACAACTCCGAGCAGCTGCTGATCTTCCCACAGGACAGGTCCGTACGGGGGTGGGGGGGAGCAGCAAATGTCTATGTCCCACAGAGATGAGAAAATATCTAATCTATGTCCTCAAAAAAAGAGTTCAGAAGGATTTATCAGAGAATAGACTAGCAGAAAGGTTGACTCCTCATGTTTAGTCCTGACTTTAGGGCAGCAGGAGGCCAGTCCTTGTGTCCTCTCTTGTGGATCAGGTCTCACTCCCTGTTGTCTCTTCAGAGTGTTCGTGCTGCTGTCTTGTATCGGTCAACGCTCTCTCAGTAATAGTGGGGTTCTGGAGGGACTCCTGAACCTCTTGGACTCTCTGCTAGTCCCTCTGCAGCAACCTGCTCCATCCGGCGCCCACCGCAGGACGGAAGGTAAGGACACGATTAAACTGGACATAAACTGGGATTTCCTCTAACTATGTGTTTGTCTCAGGAGTGCTGGACATTCCCATGATCAGCTGGGTGGTGATGCTGGTCTCCAGACTTCTGGACTCTGTGTCGAGCATCGAAGACGAGGCGTCAGGAGCCAAGAAACATCTCGGAGGAAAGGAGCGAGACAGGAGCTGCTCAGGTGAACATCTGAATGAAACTATAGATACAGAACTGAGGCTGTAGATCGAGGACTGAGGCTTTGTTGTGTGTGTGCAGGGATCCAGTGGAGCTTCATCAACAACAGTCTCCAGTCTCAGAGCTCCTGTCGAGCGTCCAAAGGAAATGGCAGTTTGGATCGACTATACTCCAGGAAGATCCGTAAGCAGCTGGTGCACCATAAACAGGTGACAGTACTCAACATGTGGCACCAACAGAGACCCAGGACCTGGTCTCTTTCTGGTCTAGAACCGGGGCTCTCTCTGGTCCAGAACCTCGGCTCCATCTGGTTCTAAACCTGGTCTCTCGCTGTCCAGAACCTGGTCTCTCTCTGGTACAGACTATGGCCCGACCCCTGGCTGCCCACAGATTTTGTCCATAATCACCGGGGCCCTGACTGAGGTCATTCTCTAACGGTGGCGCTGTTTTGTGTGCAGCAGCTGAACTTGCTGAAAGCCAAACAGAAAGCTTTGGTGGAGCAGATCGAGAAGGAGAAGATCCAGAGCAACAAGGGCTCATCCTACAAACTGCTGGTGGAACAAGCAAAGCTCAAGCAGGCCACGTCCAAGGTATGCGCTATATATTATTAATCTTTCGGTGCCCCTGATGGGGCGCCACCGGGGCTTGGTTAACCTCTTAACACCTCCCCTTCCCACCCGCGGGCCGTTTTTATTTTTAAAATGTTTTGCTGGCAATAGAAGATGTATTTTGAACACCAAACCAACAAGCGGTATGTCATTTTAAAGCTTATTTTCTGATCTACATGTATATACAAGTGTAAACAATATCAGACCTTGCATTCAAAAGATATAACAAAAACATGTACCTTTTCTCTTGTGCTCCATAAATAAATCGGATTTCCTCCCAGCTTCCTATGGCTCTTTCACTTCGTAAATGTCCATGGAAAAAGAATATCCACTTGTATTTTCCAAAGTATAATCCATTCTGGAGAAATATTTAAAAATGTACATTTATCTTTAGCGAAAAAAAACTTTCTGAAAGAACACAGACGCTGCTCTTCACTGTTTGCGGAGTTTCAGCTTTGTTTATAGGCCAAACACAGGGTATGCGCGTGTTCCCCAACTTGTTAGCTACAAAATGAGACCTTCCCTGAAGAGATACGTGCTCGAGTTCGTCTGCAACACCCCCGGGAATAAAACAGGTGGCTGCCTTTTGCGCCTGGTCACTCCGTATTTGTTGGAGTGACTCCGTATGTGTTCTTTTGCCGAATGATTGACATGTCCGTGTAGCCAAGAAGGAAAGCTTTCTAGCAATGGGTGGGACATGGCGTAAAGTGTGCGTAAAGACAGCGAGAGACACGCTGTTTGGAGAAGCGCATATTTTATATGCATTTACAATTTGGCACAAAGTGTGCCAAATTGGTTCCGAATGGCACTACTTGATGAAAAAGAGAAACTGCATAAAAAACTATAAAACTTAGAAGTCTGAAACTTTAGACAGGTGTTACCAACAACACAATGATCATTGGGTTTGAATATTGTGAGCTTACAATGAACAATGCCTTTGTTAGAGCCTTTACATAAACTAGAAGGCTCTAGCTTTAATATGATGCATCACACAAGCATGTGACATGTTTTTAAATAAGCAAAGACATTTGGGCATGCCCAACTTTTGTGCACACGCCAAAATGAGGCGGGTGTTAAGAGGTTAAAAATCACTCCAAACTCACTCTTGCTTCTCAGTAAGACAGTTCTGTTTATCTGCAAAAAATTCCTCCAGGTACACCGATTTTCTTAGCACTAAAAACATCCCACTCTGGTCCTGAACATCACCAACACCTGTAGAAATAAGATTAGATAGATAAGAGATCCTTTATTCGTCCCACAATGTTGCAGCGCTCATACAGGACAGTAGTAAGAGCACACAGGGAGCAAGAAACATAGCTACAAAATAAATAGTAGCTATGTTTCTTAACTAGCTGTAAATGCTGCGTGTAAATTTACATGCATCTCTGGTCTCTCTGGTCTCTCTCCCTGCTCTCGCCATAGTCTCTCCCTGGTCTCTCTCTGTTCTTTCTCTGCTCTGTCTGATCGCTCTCTTTCTGGTCTCACTGGTCTCCTGGTCTGGTCCTGACCTCCATGTGTGTGTATGTTGTCAGCACTTTAAAGACCTGATCCGGCTACGGCGCACAGCAGAGTGGCCTCGCTCGTCCCTGGACTCTGAGGTGTCTGCTGTGAAGGAGGCGGGAGACGTGGAGCCCCTCCCCTTCACTCTGTCCCATGAACGCTGCATCTGTGTGGTCCAGAAGCTCTCTCTGTTCCTGCTCTCCATGGACTTCACCTGCCACGCTGACCTGCTGCTGTTTGTCTGCAAGGTGTGTGTGCGCGTCTGTGTTTGTGCGCGTGTGTACATATGTGTGTTTGGAACACAGGTCTAATACGAGGTCAGATGCAAAACACTCAGCTCTAGCACTGCCTCGCGGTCCTCTGGTCCTCTAGTTTTTTGTCTCTGGTCTTCATGTTTTGTGTCTCTGGTCCTTATATCTTCTGTGGTCCTCAGGTCTTGGCTCGGATCGCCAACGCTACGCGGCCCACAATCCACCTGTGTGAGGTGATGTCAGAGCAGCAGCTGGAGAGACTCCTGCTGCTTCTGGTTGGAACAGACTTCAACAGAGGAGACATCAGCTGGGGAGGAGCCTGGGCTCAGTACAGCCTGACCTGCATGATCCAGGACATTTTGGGAGGTAGGCCTACATTAGTCCTGCCGTAGCAGGAGGAAGGCCTACATTAGTTCTGCCGTTGCAGGATGTAGGCCTACATTAGTCCTGCCGTAGCAGGAGGAAGGCCAACATTACGGGCCTTTCACACTGCCAACGCTGAAACGCTGAAGCCCCGCTCACCAGACGTGCATTCTCTAGTTTTCAGACGCAGAGGACTTCACACCAGAACGTCCTGACGCGAGCCGGAAGTACCAGAAGTAGCCGGCTCTGATGCTAACAGAGCTATGCTAGCGGCTTCTTGTGCATCTTCTCCAATATGCAGCTTTGCAGCGTGTCTTTGAACAGAGACTTTCCACGGGCTTTATATAACAGCAGTATGTGTTCACAGTGACTTTATATAACAGCAGTATGTGTTCATGGAGGTGACTTTATATAACAGCAGTATGTGTTCACGGAGGTGCGCCATACGTTTTTTCATATTATTAAACAGTATTTCCGCATCGGTGAACACACTCGAAGCAGTTGCATAAGGTCACGGGAGCATGACAACGCATATTTTCACAAGCACAGAGTCCCCCATTGTCAGCCCTGGTTTGAGTTCTGGTGAAGTCTGGTTTGGGTCCTGTTTTGGCTGTTTACAGTATTTTCAGTCTGCTCTCTCAGTCCGCTAATGTCCCCGTGACCACTTTGCTGCTCTCTGATTGGTTGAGGCACAAACGTCCCAAGGAAAGGATGAGCAGAATCCATCTCCTGTGGGCGTTGATTTTTCGCTCCTGCTCCTTCCTTTTCACTTTCCCGCCAAGTCCGTGCGTCATTATTGAACAGTCCGTTCGTGCGAACCGAGCGGTCGGTGCGTTGTGACGGTTGAACGCTCGCCACCATAGATTTTGCATTGAAACCCGACGCAACGCATGATCCGGTCTGAAAGCACCATTAGTCCTGCCGTTGCAGGAGGAAGGCCTATATTAGTCCTGCTGTAGCAGGAGGAAGGCCTACATTAGTCCTGCCGTAGCAGGAGGAAGGCCTACTTTAGTCCTGCCGTAGAAGGAGGAAGGCCTACATTAGTCCTGCCGTAGCAGGAGGAAGGCCTACTTTAGTCCTGCCGTAGCAGGAGGAAGGCCTACTTTAGTCCTGCCGTAGCAGGAGGAAGGCCTACTTTAGTCCTGCCGTAGAAGGAGGAAGGCCTACATTAGTCCTGCCGTAGCAGGAGGAAGGCCTACTTTAGTCCTGCCGTAGCAAGAGGAAGGCCTACATTAGTCCTGCCGTAGCAGGAGGAAGGCCTACTTTAGTCCTGCAGTAGAAGTAGGAAGGCCTACTTTAGTCCTGGCGTAGCAGGAGGAAGGCCTACTTTAGTCCTGCCGTAGAAGTAGGAAGGCCTACATTAGTCCTGCCGTAGCAAGAGGAAGGCCTACATTAGTCCTGCCGTAGCAAGAGGAAGGCCTACATTAGTCCTGCCGTAGCAGGAGGAAGGCCTACTTTAGTCCTGCAGTAGACCTCATGATCCAGGTTTCTCACAGAAATCTCTGTTCCACAGGAGAGCTCCAGGCTCCAGTAGGCCTGGACTCCATGGATGACATGGTGGCTCCAGAAGACGCAGCATCTACCTCGTCAGCAGGGGGCAGTGTGGAGTCTGATGAGCCTCTCCCTCCCTCAGTGGTGCCCCTGGTGGAGAGCATTGACGACGGGCTTGTACCAGACATCCTGTCAGGGACGCAACACAACAACTCAACTGTGTTTCAAAGTGCGTAGCTCCACACATACAAACACACACAACCACAAACACGTGCACACACACATGCATACACTCTCACATACACTCTCACATATGACACACACACATGCATACAGACCGTTGTTAGTTGATGTTAGCTTGTCTCAGACCTGAGAGCAGGAGTCCTCAGGTTTCATGAATATTGGCATCTTTACATTTCCATATTGTGACTCTGTCTAGCACAATGAAAGTGGAAAGAAAAGTGTGACATCCCCACAGTCTGAGCTGGGCTTCCTGGTGTTTACTGATCATGTGACCGTGACAAAAGGAGCAGGAAAAATTCTGTATTGTTTCCCAAATACTTGACCATAGACCCGACCTAAGACCTGACCACATACCCTGGACCGTAGACCCTGGACCGTAGACCCTGGACCGTAGACCCTGGACCGTAGACCCTGGACCGTAGACCCTGGACCGTGGACCCTGGACCGTAGACCCTGGACCACAGACCCTGGACCGCAGACCCTGGACCGCAGACCCTGGACCGCAGACCCTGGACCATAGACCCTGGACCATAGACCGGCACTCTCTCCATGTCAGTCGATTCCCAGAGAAGCGCTTAGATCCGCTGGTGTTGGACTCCTGCTCTTGTTGGTTTTAAGTTTAGTTTAGAGTTTTAGAGTTTAGAACTATTCTGCTGCTTTGTGCCTGTGCCAAAGTGAACTGTTCTGTCCCGAAGGCGCTCCTCCTCTGGCCTCTTTGGACAAAGATAAAGACATTGATTTTGACTTGCTACAAGACCTGATGGATGTTGATATTGATCCTTTAGATATTGATTTGGAAAAGGATCCTCTCGCCGCTAAAGTCTTCAAGGTAAGACCCCCCTCCTCTTCCTCATGTCCGTTACTGTGTTTGTCTCTACATCTCCACAGCGCCCCCTATGGTCAGTATTATACATGGAGACCAGAGAGCGAGACCAGAGAGCGAGACCAGAGAGCGAGACCAGAGAGCGAGACCAGAGAGCGAGACCAGAGAGCGAGACCAGAGAGCGAGACCAGAGAGCGAGACCAGAGAGCGAGACCAGAGAGCGAGACCAGAGAGCGAGACCAGAGAGCGAGACCAGAGAGCGAGACCAGAGAGCGAGACCAGAGAGCGAGACCAGAGAGCGAGACCAGAGAGCGAGACCAGAGAGCGAGACCAGAGAGCGAGACCAGAGAGCGAGACCAGAGAGCGAGACCAGAGAGCGAGACCAGAGAGCGAGACCAGAGAGCGAGACCAGAGAGCGAGACCAGAGAGCGAGACCAGAGAGCGAGACCAGAGAGCGAGACCAGAGAGCGAGACCAGAGAGCGAGACCAGAGAGCGAGACCAGAGAGCGAGACCAGAGAGCGAGACCAGAGAGCGAGACCAGAGAGCGAGACCAGAGAGCGAGACCAGAGAGCGAGACCAGAGAGCGAGACCAGAGAGCGAGACCAGAGAGCGAGACCAGAGAGCGAGACCAGAGAGCGAGACCAGAGAGCGAGACCAGAGAGCGAGACCAGAGAGCGAGACCAGAGAGCGAGACCAGAGAGCGAGACCAGAGAGCGAGACCAGAGAGCGAGACCAGAGAGCGAGACCAGAGAGCGAGACCAGAGAGCGAGACCAGAGAGCGAGACCAGAGAGCGAGACCAGAGAGCGAGACCAGAGATGTTCTGACACACCAGCCTGTGCCTCTCAGTGTGGAAGGAACCCAGGGTTTTTGGTCCAAGCCCCCAAGTTTGTTTTAAATCTTGCCATACACATACATACATCCTGCCCTTTACACTACATCTCTTAAGTTGACAATAAGCAGATTTATGTGCTAAAGGTATAATAATGAGCCGTGGGTGTCGACGTATCCCTGCAGAGACAGAAGCACATACTTTCAGTCTGATCAAAGGTTTAAGTGGTCCTCATAATGTAATGACATGTTATTGACGTGGAGCAGTGTGTCTCTGGATGTCAGGTATGCGTGTATGATCCATGATGGCTTTTTGGTTGGCGTGTGTTATCCTGTGTTCACACTCTGCCTGTCCTCAGCCCATCAGCAGCACCTGGTATGACTACTGGGGCGCGGACTACGGCTCCTACGGCTACAACCCCTACATCGGGGGAGTGGGAATCCCAGTGTCCAAGCCTCCAGCAGCTGTGGAGAAGCAGAGCAACCAGGGACTGTCTGTATCTGTGTCTCAAGGTAAGAACCAGGGACTATCTCTGACACAAGGGTAATGTGAGGTCCTTTATTGGCCTGGTCTTATTATGTGATTGAATCCTGTATACATATGATCTTATTTCCCTTGTGTGTGTGTGTCTCTGTCTGTGTCTGTCTCTGTCTCTGTATGTGTGTGTGTGTGTGTCTGTGTGTGTGTCTGTGTCTCTGTATCCTCAGCTCTGGATGCTCGTCTGGAGGTGGGTTTGGAGCAGCAGGCAGAGCTCATGTTGAAGATGATGGCCACTCTGCAGGCGGACTCCATCCTGCAAGCTCTGACCTCCAACACCAGCACTGGTACAACACCACAGCTTCAAACATGTGCTATTTATGAGTCCAAAGTTACAGACCCTAGCTTTAAACATGTGTTCACAGTCTCACAGTCGTCCAATGGCACGGATGACTCCCTGCTGCGCGCCCTCCACGGAGGCAGCTCGTCCCCTGGTTCTAGCCTCTGTCTGCAGCCCTCCTCTGTACCTATGCTAAGCTCCTGCTTCAACAAGCTGTTTAGCCTCCTGCAAGTGCACCACGTCCAGGTCTGAGATCCGCATTAGTCTGATGTGGTTGTGTGGTATGTGTGTAGTGAGTGTGTTTGTGTGTCCTCAGCTGGAGTCTCTGCTGCAGCTGTGGCTCACTCTGAGCCTGAACACAGGGTCTGTATCTGCAGATGAGAGCGGCCCCGATATCTTTATGTTCAACGCCAGCAGAGTCCCCACGATACCACTGAACCAAGGTCTCACACACACACACAGTGTCTCCAGAATACCACTGAACCAAGGTTTCGCACACACACCAGCAGAGTCCCCATGATACCACTGAACCCAGGTCTCACACACTCACACATACCAGTGCCTTTCACTGACCAGAGTCACAAAGCGCTTTACAATTGTTGTGGGCATTTGTGTCCCACTCCACAGAGATGGGAGTGAGAGTGCGGGGGACGCACGCCAGATCTATTGTACATGTTTTTAGTGGTAAGGAAAACCAGAGCACCCAGAGAAAACCTACACAGACACTGGGAGAACATACAAACTCCACTCAGAAAAGCCCTGTTCCGACTGGGATTCAAACCCAGCATCTTCTTGCTGGGAAGCGAGAGCGTTAACCAATCAGCCATCGTACCACTCTCTCTGGTCATACACACAGACAGACGCACGCACACAAACGCACTTATGTATGTTGTGTTTCCAGCCTCCATCAGCAGCTTCCTCAGTGTCCTTGCCTGGTACCCCAACACTTCTCTGAGGACCTGGTGTTTGGTTCTACACTCTCTGGCCCTGATGACCAACATGCCCCCAACACGTACGTACGCGCACACACACGAGCTGTGGCGCTGTGTTTGAGTGAATGAAATTCTTAGTTTGGTCTGTTAGATGTTCTACTCTATCCTTTAGAAAGTCATCCTTGTGTCTCTCTCTGGTCTCTCTCTCTCTCTCTTTGGCCCTGTCCACACGTAGCCGGGTATCTGCTAAACTGGAGATATTTTCTTTGTTTGCACCTGTCATCCACATGACAACGCATCATAAACGATTATATAAAAAAAAAATTAGGCAAAGTGAAGATTTTTGAAAACTCTGTTTATGCATTTGTGTGTAGACGGAGATAACCAGAGTTTTACATTTTCACTCCTCACAATATGCGCCCGAAACAACAACAAAGGAAGCATGGATCTTACTGCCATGAAAACTGCGGCGCCGCAGCGGATCAGCGGAACAGCCTTGCTCCAGATCAGAGAGCAGCGAAGTGATCACAGGGACTCGTGCTCGAAAGCAACCAAAACATGAACTAAATCAGGATTAAACCAGGGCTGAGGACGGGGCACACAGTGTTTGTGAACATATGTCTTTACCCTGAGTTTCACTTTTACTGTAAATAAGTGCTACTACAGAAGTACCAGCGTTGGCATCATAGCTCCGCCCACCCCTTCTGTATTTTTTCCCAACGCAGGATAAGACGTCAGAGGACGTTATGAATGTGATTGAAAACGCAGATGTTCGGTCATGAGGGGATGAGGTTTTTTTTTTGAGACTGAGTAATGTGGATACAAATCATTTTATGAATAATATAATATTCTGTCTTTGTTCTTCCCTCTCTACAGCTTCTTTCTCTAACCTGCTTGCTTTACACTAGTTTCTCACTCTGGTCGTCTCTTACTTCATAAATCCTCTCCTCTGCAGCCTCTTCGTCCGGTCTGCCTGCTCCGGACTCCACAGCTCACCAGATGGTTTCGGATCCCGCTCTTGTACATGTCCTGGTGCGGTTTCTCTCTGGTTCCAACCCAAACGGGACAGGGCAGCACAGTTCCCATGTGGGCCCCACAGCGACGCAGGCCATGAGTGAGTTCTTGAGCCGGCTGCAGGTGCACCTCTCCTCCAGCTGCCCTCAGACCTTCAGCCACTTCCTGCTGCGACTGCTGCACCTGCTGTCGTCAGAGAGGTCAGAGGTCACACTGTTCATTACCTCTGGGCTAATTTTCTCTCCAGGGTCATTTGGTTTCTCTCGTGTCCCTCATCTCTGTTCTCTAGCCTCTCTGGTCCCTCACCTCTGGTCTCTTTCTGGTCTCTCCTATTGTCCCTGGTCTCTCTCTGGTCCCTCTCCTGTGGTCTCTCTCTGGCCCATCTCTTCTGGTCTCTCTCTGGTCTCCTTCTGGTCTCTGGTCTCTCTCTAGTCGCTCCCCTCTGGTCTTGCTCCTCTGGTCTCCCTTTTGTCTCTCTCCTCTGATCTCTGGTCTCTCTTGTCCCTCTTCTCTGGTTTCTGGTCTCTCTCTGGTCTCTCTCCTCTGGTCTCTCTCCTCTCTTTATCCTCTGGTCTCTCTTTATCCTCTGGTCTCTTTAGTATAACCGTCTCTCTCTCTCTCTTCAGGGGCCCATTCCAGGCTGGCCAGGGCCCTCTGGATGCTCAGGTGAAGCTCCTGGACTTCACTTTGGAGCAGAACTTTGAGGTGGTTTCTGTGGCGACCATCCTGTCCGTCATCGAGTCGGTGACGTTCCTGGTGCACCATTACATCACATGTTCCGAGCGCCTGGTGTCGCGCTCGGGCTCCGACAGCTCGGTGGGGGCCCGTGCCTGCTTCGGGGGACTATTTGCAAACATCATCCGACCCGGGGACGCCAAAGCCGCTTGCGGGGACACCAGCCGAGACCAGCTCATGTTCGACCTCCTAAAACTGGTCAACGTCCTGGTCCAGCTCCCTCTGTCCGGGGACCGAGAGTTCAGCGGAAGACTGGCCTCTAGTGGCACCAGCGCCGAGAGTGTGTCTGATGAAGAGAAGGTGAGACTAGAGAAGGATACAAGAGAGACCAGGAAGGGAGATCAGAGAGCCTAGAGAGAGCCTAGAGAGAGCCTAGAGAGAGCCTAGAGAGAGCCTAGAGAGAGCCTAGAGAGAGCCTAGAGAGAGCCCGGGGAGAGCCCGGGGAGAGCCCGGGGAGAGACCGGGGAGAGACCGGGGAGAGACCGGGGAGAGACCGGGGAGAGACCGGGGAGAGACCGGGGAGAGACCGGGGAGAGACCGGGGAGAGACCGGGGAGAGACCGGGGAGAGACCGGGGAGAGACCGGGGAGAGACCGGGGAGAGACCGGGGAGAGACCGGGGAGAGACCGGGGAGAGACCGGGGAGAGACCGGGGAGAGACCGGGGAGAGACCGGGGAGAGACCGGGGAGAGACCAGGGAGAGACCAGGGAGAGACCAGGGAGAGACCAGGGAGAGACCGACCAGGCAGAGAGAGAGACCAGGGTGAGAGAACAGGCAGAGAGATCAGAGAGCGAGACTAGAGTACAATGTTCTAAATGCAGACTGAGCTGCAGGAGGTGCTGTAGAGTCTTAGATTGATTAGGAAAATCCTTGGACCCGGAGGTCACATGTTTGAATACTGTTCTGTTGCAGGTGTGCGGCAGCAAGGAGGGTGCGTCCAGTGGAGGCTCCTCGTCCAATCAGGGCCCAGCGTCCGGAGTGGCAGACCTGGTGTTGGCCAATCAGCAGATCATGAGTCAAATTTTGTCTGCGCTGGGACAGTGCAACAGTAGCGCAATGGCCATGATAATCGGTGAGACCCCCCTCACAGAACACTCTGACATCACACCCCCTCAGCTTTCCTGTTGAAGGTCCTATTTATTTTCTCACGTGTTTCGAATGTAAGAAAATGTTTTGATTTTATTCTCCGTTTTGCGAACTCGCTCTCCTCCCTCTCCCCCCTCCCCCCTGCAGGAGCCAGTGGCCTCCACCTGACCAAACATGAGAACTTCCATGGGGGTCTGGATGCCATCTCCGTGGGGGACGGTCTGTTCACCATCCTGACCACTCTGAGCAAGAGGAGCAGCTCTGTGAGCGTCATGCTGCAGCCCATCCTCACCTACATGGCCTGTGGATACATGGGGCGCCAGGTCTGTCTGTCTGTGTGTGTGTGTGTGCGTGTGTGTGTCTATGGTGTAGACTGCCCGAAGTTGATTTAGGTCTTGGTTGAGATAGGAAACTGTGTCCCAATTCATATGGCTCTTACCTGCGGAGTGCCACGGGCTCGATCCTCAGGCCTCTTCTGTTCAATATTTAAATGCTGCCATTAGGTCAATTAATAGGCACTAATTACGCTGACGACACTCAGATCTATGTCTCACTGACAGCAGGAGAACATGGACAGAGGACTCACTCCTTCACTACATCCCACAGATCAGCGAGTGGATGCAAAATAACTTCACCCTTTCCTGAACACAGAGAAAACTGAAATGATTGTCTTTGGTCCCCAGAAACAAAGAGATAGCGTAATTTGTCACCCCCAGTTCTAATGGTGGTGTAATAATAATAATAATAATAGTAATAATGGACTCAGAATTAAATTAATACAAATAAAACATCAGTTTTTTGGACACTCAAAGACTCTTCACATGTCATTATTCATTCACTTCATACACAGAGGTGATAAGCTACTACTGTAGCCACAGCTGCCCTGGGGCCCACTGACCGAAGTGAGGCAACCAATATGTGCCATCGGCCCCTCCCACTACCACCAACCATTCACACACACACCAGACTCATTCTAGGCAATGGGGGTGAAGTGTCTTGCCTAAGGACACAACAACAGTTTGGCACTTTACAGCCGCACACCGGACTTAACTTTGGCGTCAAAAGCGTCAGGTTTGCATTGAAAGTGAATGGTGAAGCGCGTCCGGTGAAGCCGAGGGGCCCGGCGTCACTTGACGCGCGTCAAAAGATTCAAAAGTCGCGCGTAATACGCGCTCACTTGAAGCTTTTGACGCTCGAAACGCTCGCGTCATGTATCTGCTGCTGCTGTTTTATTGTCATTATTGTTATTAGTAATATTATTTGTATGAGTAGTAACGTTCTGAGTAACAAAAATCATTGTACACATGCTGTGTAGTAAACGTAGTTTATTTAATATAAGAACAGGCTGATGATGAGTCTGGCTTAGAGCAAGGCAGCTCCAGGCGGGCGAGAGCCGGGGAGAGGCGGGCGAGAGTCGGGGAGAGGCGAGCGAGAGGCGGGCGAGAGTCGGGGAGAGGCGAGCGAGAGTCGGGGAGAGGCGAGCGAGAGCCGGGGAGAGGCGAGCGAGAGGCAGGGAGAGGCGGGCGAGAGCCGGGGAGAGGCGAGCGAGAGGCAGGGAGAGGCGGGCGAGAGTCGGGGAGAGGCGAGCGAGAGGCGGGCGAGAGGCGAGCGAGAGGCGGGCGAGAGGCGGGCGAGAGTCGGGGAGAGGCGAGCGAGAGGCGGGCGAGAGGCGAGCGAGAGGCGGGCGAGAGTCGGGGAGAGGCGAGCGAGAGGCGGGCGAGAGGCAGGGAGAGGCGAGCGAGAGCCGGGGAGAGGCAGGGGGAGGCAGGGAGAGGCGAGAGCGAGGCGGGGAGAGGCGAGCTCCGGGGTTTGAGAACTCAGACTGGGCGAGTGACATGCGGAAGTACCGCTGAAAGCGAAACTCCTCCGTACGCAACTCCTGGAGTAAATGACGGAACTCTGCAAACACTGCAGCCTCTCAAGTCTGTGGTGAACCCAGAACATGTTTTGTTGAAGCCCTACAACAACGTTATTTTGCTTTATATAACAAATAAAGGCTCGCTGCTCATTGAAAAATCCACCGCTGTCCTGACTACAGACAACAGAGAAGCTCCTCCCACCGGCGTCAGGTGCGTCAAAAGCTTCAAGCACCAAAATGACAAAACTATCCCCGTCAAAAGCTTTTTGAAGCTTTTGGTCTGAACGCGCCTTAAGTGTCTTGCCAATGACACAACGACAGAAGACGTCAGTGGGAGTCGATGTCTTGAGGTGGGCTCGAAACTTCGACCTTCTGGCTCAAAGGCCAATGCTCCAGCAACTGAGCTACTGTCGCCATCGACCCCTCCGACCACCACCAACCATTCACTCGCACACACTAGACTCATTCTAGGCAATGTGGGTGTCTTGCCTAAAACTGCCACATAAAATCAAAAACATTGCCAAAATTTGTAACATAGTGCCTAAGGCCCCGACTCCACCGGGCGCGTAAAACGAATGACATATCCGTCCAAACGTGTCCGTTTCATCTCCCTCTCCGTTATCTCCATGAGAGTGAATGGAAGTGGCTCCACTGCCTCCAACGGAGGGTGCAACGGACGTGGACGGGCGAAATAGAAATAATCCTATTTGTTCCGTCCATCGACGCGTGTCGGGTCCGTTTTCCATTGAAAATGCAATGGAATAATATATTTACCACATTATTAAACAATGATTATTAACAAATGTGTGTAATTTTTTTCATGTATTAAATTGAAATAACTGTTTCCGGATCGTAAATCTACCATCATTTTTCGCGTAATGTTAATACGCTAATCTTTACATACACCTCGCTCTTTTTCCTCTCGCTCTGTCCCCTCTACCTCCAAGGTAGAGGGGACACACACACACACACACACACACACACACACTTATGAGAGACAGATCTCACAACACTGGATATGTTTTTCCAATTGCTTTCAATAAGTTTTGCCTCATCCATCGCGACATCCTCAATGCTTCAATATGCCGGGCTTTGCACTGATCATAGCACATCACACACCGCTTCGTCTATTTAAAACAATTCCTCATGGGAGCTGTTTAACGCACAGCCAGAGCTCCGCGCTGCTGCAGCCGGTTTGGCCACTATTCCGTTTTACGGACATCTGACGGGCAGCAGCCAACGCGCGTCAACGGAGACGCGCCCGGTGGAGTCCTGGCCTAATGCAGACCTGGAGATTCTTATCCATGCATTTGTCTCCAGTAGGTCAGACTACTGCAAGGGCCTGCTCACTGGGCTCACCAAACAATATGTCCAAAATGCAGCAGCTCGAGTCCAGACTAGAACCAGAAAGTACGACCACATTAGTCCAGTCCTCAGGTCTTTGCACTGGCTTCCTGTGGCTCGGAGAATAGACTTCAAACTGCTTTGCTTGTTACAAGTCTCTCCATGGCCTCGCACCAAAGTACACCAAAGGATGCCGAGGAGCACAGGGAGTCAGAACTAGACATGGGGAGGCAGCGTTTTATATTTATGCAGCCAAAATCTGGAACGGTCTTCCTGAAAATGTGAGGCAGGTGTCGACTCTGGCTGTTTTCACATCCATGTTCAAGGACTGAAGGATGTTGGTTTATCTATTCTAAAACCACATCCTTCAGTAAAACCTGTATATTTGAATATGTCACTTTTATTTCTGTGCAGCACTCTGGAAACTTAAATGTGTTATATTAATAAAGTAGATTGAATTGGAACTGAAGGATTTTATCTTTACCCTTTTATAATGCACTTTGGCTATTTATTATTTTAATCCTGGGTGTTATTTCAATGGTTTTAATTATCTTTCTTGTGATCATAATGTATATGTAGATTTTAATGTTTATGATTTGCTTGCTGTGAAATGGGTTGTGAGGCACTTTGTGTTGCCTTGTGTAGGAAATGCGCTCTAAAAATAAAAGTTTATTGATTGATACTTACAGTAGTGTTGTGTTGCAGGGCTCGCTCTCCACCTGTCAGCTGTCAGAACCTCTGCTCTGGTTCATCCTCAGAGTGTTGGACACCAGTGAAGCTCTCAAGGCTTTTCACGACATGGGTGAGATACAACTGAGTGTGTCTGTCTGTGTCTCCCTCAATCTGTGTGTGTCTCTCTTCCTGTGTCTGTGTGGGTGCGTCTCTGTATTTGTGGGTGTACGCCCTCCTCACCTCTCCTCTCTCCACCTTCACCTCCTCTGTATCCCCCCTCACCACCTCTCTCGCCCTCAGGAGGAGTCCAGTTGATCTGTAACAACATGGTGACCAGCACCAGAGCCATTGTGAACACGGCCCGCAGTATGGTGTCCACCATCATGAAGTTCTTAGACTCTGGTCCTGGAAAGTCGTCCGAGGGGAACCTAAAGAGCCGTGTCATGACCTCTGAACCTGACAACGCAGAGGGGCTGCACAACTTCGCCCCGCTCGGTAACCACAGCAGCAGCAACAACAACACCCAACTTCACTCTACTCTACCCTACACAGACCCACACATGCGTACACACAGACACAGACACACACATGTGAGGTGAAACCCCTAACTGTGAGTCCTGTGCTCAGGCACAATCAGCTCTAGCAGTCCCACTGCTCAGCCAGCAGAGGTGCTCCTCCAGGCCACGCCCCCTCACCGCAGAGCCAGGTCTGCAGCCTGGTCCTACATCTTCCTCCCTGAAGAGGCCTGGTGCGACCTGACCATCCACCTGCCTGCCGCTGTGTTGCTCAAAGAGATACACATACAGCCTCACCTGGCCTCGCTCGCAAGTGAGTACACCTGGACTGAAGCAGGACTGAAGCAGGTCTAAAGCAGGACTAAAGCAGGACTAGAGCAGATCTTAAAGCAGATCTCAAAGCAGATTTTACAGCAAGACTTAAAGCAGGACTTAAAGCAGGACTTAAAGCAGGACTTAAAGCAGGACTTAAAGCAGGACTTAAAGCAGGACTTAAAGCAGGTTTAAAGCACTTTTTAGGGCCACTTGAAATGGTTATGTTTCAGTGGTATTTGGCATCAGTCTACAGCGTGTTTTCAGTCTCTTGTCTTCTGCAGCATGTCCCTCGTCCGTCTCGGTGGAGCTCTCGGCGGATGGCCTGAACATGCTGCCCCTGTCCACTCCGATTGTCACGTCTGGTCTCACCTACATAAAGATTCAGCTGGTGAAGGCGGAGGTGGCATCGGCCGTGTGTCTGCGTCTGCACCGTCCTCGAGACGCCAGCACCTTAGGCCTGTCTCAGGTCAAACTGCTAGGACTCACGGCCTTCGGGAACACCTCCTCCGCCACAGTCAACAACCCCTTTCTGCCCTCTGAGGACCAGGTTTCCAAGACCAGGTTTGTACCACTGTCAAAACCAGTTGTGACCTATTCGGGACAGTCAGACAAATGATGACCTCATTATTGCAATGCAAGTATTGACAATAATAGTGTCTGGTACAAGTCTGGTCTCGGCTAGGGTCTGGTTCTTGGCCAGGGTCTGGTCTCGGCCAGGGTCTGGTCTCGGCCAGGGTCTGGTCTCGGCCAGGGTCTGGTCTCGGCCTGGGTCTGGTCTTGGCCAGGGTCTGGTTCTCGGCCTGGGTCTGGTCTCAGCCAGGGTCTAGTCTCGGCCAGGGTCTGGTCTCGGCCACGGTCTGGTTCTTGGCCAGGGGCTGGGATCGGCCAGGGTCTAGTCTCGGCCAGGAACTGGGCTCATCCCGGGTCTGCTCTCGGCCCGTGTCTAGTCTCGGCCCGTGTCTAGTCTCGGCCCGTGGCTAGTCTCGGCCCGTGGCTAGTCTCGGCCCGTGTCTAGTCTCGGCCCGTGTCTAGTCTCGGCCCGTGTCTAGTCTCGGCCCGTGTCTAGTCTCGGCCCGTGTCTAGTCTCGGCCCGTGTCTAGTCTCGGCCCGTGTCTAGTCTCAGCCTGGGTCTGGTCTAGGCCCAGGTATGGTCATGATCCGGGTCTTGTCTTCAAGTAAAGTGTAAAAGTAGTTTGAACTCAACGAGGAAACAGTGAGATCAATTATTCAGGTCTGAGTGTTTTTAAAAGTGCACTTAGGCTGCGGAGGATCCAGGTCTGGACTCGGTGTCAGTCCAGGACTCAGTTCGTGGCGTGCATACACACACCAGCAGTGAGTACAAAGGTGGCTGTGTCCTCTGTGAAGGAGGACAGAACAGCTTCTACTCAGGGGACGTGTGTCTGAAATCAGCCGATCCCCAACTCTCCCTCATCCTGTCCCCTCACTCATGTCTCTCCTGCTTCACTACAGTCTAACCCTCCCTCATCTCCCTCAGTATCGGCTGGCTCCGCCTCCTCCACCACTGCCTCACTCACGTGGGGGACCTAGAGGCCATGATGGCGGCGGCGGCGGCACCCACGGCGAACCTCCTGCAGACGTGTGCTGCTCTGCTCATGTCTCCGTATTGTGGGATGCACTCCCCCAACATTGAGGCAGTGTTGGTGAAGATCGGCCTGCAGTCCACCCTCATCGGCCTCAAGCTGATTGACATCCTGCTGAGGAACTGCGCTGCTTCTGGCACCGACCCCGCAAGTACGACACTGTCATTAAAGGGGGGGTCCCTATCTTAGAATCCACATTAGAACTCCGCAATAAAATCCATGTCACTTGCTCCTGGTTTCTCTCAGTTTCAGTCTTTTTCTGGTCTCTCTAGTGTCTCGCTGCTCTCACTCCCTCTGTTCTCTCTCTGGTCTACCTTTGGTCTCTCTCCCTCTGTTCACTCCCTCTAGTCTCTCTTTCTCTGCTCCCTCTCCCCGGTCTCATGTATTTTTTGGACAAAAGTCAAATAGTGACTCACGGGGCTGTGTCCTACACTAAAGCATATACATGCAGTGATTTGTTCACAAGAACAAATCTGTATGTGACAGAGGATGCAGGGATCTGAACCAGTCTTTGAAAAGTTCACTCACAGAATCAGAATCAGAATCATTTTTATTGCCACGTAAGTAACAGGAAGTCACAGACTTGGAAATTGCTTTGGCTCAGTGCAACAGTCAAAAAGAGATAAGAAAAATAAGAATAAAAAACACTTCTAAAGAATAAATTTAAATTTAAAATAGAGTTATAGTTACTATTTACAATATACAAGTGTAAATCCAGTTTCTGTTAATTTTAAATGTACAACTCCCGCCTCTGAGACCAGCAGGGACGCACCATGTGTTGGGATGCATCATGTGTGAATAATGCTCTTTCTGGTTTCTGGAAACGACTAAATGTGTGTTTGTAAAAAGAACACTTCTCTGTTCTCAGACCTGAACAGTCCTCTGCTCTTCGGACGCCTCAACGGTCTGTCCTCAGACTCCACCATTGACATCCTGTACCAGCTGGGCACTACGCAGGACACTGGCACCAAGGATAGGTATGTCAGACACATTGTATCTGTGGGAGGAGGACAGTAGGGACAGAGGGACAGGAGAGCCAGGAGGTGTCAGCAAACACACATTTATGACACCAATATGGCTTTCCCTGCGCTCTTAAATGCATCGGCTGGCCTTGTCTCAGATCCAGCTTCTGTGCTTTGTAAATGTACTCCACTCTCTGCTTTCTTGTAGACACATTTGTTTATTCATATTCAGCCCTGGGCCTGTGTCCCTGTGGTCACTCTCTCTGTCCTCTGTGTTTCAGGATCCAGGCTCTGTTGCAGTGGGTCCAGGACTCTTCTCGTGTGGCAGCTCGCAGACTCACCTCCCCGGTGGGCGTGGGTGCCTCAGTGTGGGCCTCTCCTCAGAGCTTCAACTACTCCCCCTCTCCTCTGGGCTTTGGTGCCTCTGCCTCAACCTCTCATATGGGCTTCGGTCCCTCGGCCTCCTCCTTGGGCTTCGGTTCCTCCTCTTCCCTGGGCTTTGGTTTGTCTGCCTCAGCCTCTTCTCAGGAGTATGGGCTGCTCATGCCTTCACCGTCTCACCTACACTGTGTGGCCGCCATCTTGTGGCACAGCTATGAGCTCCCGGTGGACTACGACCTGCCTGCGCTGCTCAACAGGGAGCTCTTTGAGTGAGTCTTCATCTCAGATTATCATCTTCCATGTTCTCAGGTTTACCTATGGTGCAGACAGTCTGAGCAGACACGCTCAGACTGTAATGGGTGAAATCTGCCGACATTACTGATGCGATGTGGCTGTTCACATTGAAGTCTGAGTCTAGTATTACTCTAGTCTCTTGTGAGGACCACCCAGTCCTCTTGTCTCTGAGTGAGGACCTCCCAGTCCTCTTGTCTCTGTGAGGACCACCCAGTCCTCTTGTCTCTGAGTGAGGACCACCCAGTCCTCTTGTATCTGAGTGAGGACCACCCAGTCCTCTTGTCTCTGTGAGGACCACCCAGTCCTCTTGTCTCGGAGTAAGGACCTCCCAGTCCTCTTGTCTCTGAGTGAAGACCACCCAGTCCTCTTGTCTCTGACTGAGGACCACCCAGTCCTCTAGTCTCTGACTGAGGACCACCCAGTCCTCTAGTCTCTGACTGAGGACCACTCATCTTGTGTCTGTGAGGACCACTCAGTCCTCTTGTCTCTGTGAGGACCACCCAGTCCTCTAGTCTCTGACTGAGGACCACTCATCTTGTGTCTGTGAGGACCACTCAGTCCTCTTGTCTCTGTGAGGACCACCCAGTCCTCTTGTCTCTGAGTGAGGACCACCCAGTTCTCTAGTCTCTGTGAGGACCACCTGGTTGATTAGAACTCTTAGCATTGACAGACACAAGGTGCAGGGGAAAGCAGGTGAGGGTCTTAATGGAGTTTAAAGAGATATTCTAGTAGGTGAGCAGTCTATTGTTAATATTTTTCTTTCTTCCTAATGTATTGAAGTGTGTCTTGATGACTTCTTCCCCCAGACTGCTGTACAACTGGTCCATGTCTCTGCCCTGTAACATGGTTCTGAAGAAGTCTGTGGACAGTCTGCTGTGCTCTATGTGTCACATCCACCCCACGTACTTCTCCCTGATCATGTCCTGGATGGGCATCGAACCCGCACCCTCCACCAGCCAACGTCGCCTGGCCATGACAGACGATGGCAAGAAGCAGCAGATCGAGCAGATAGAAGACTCGAGCCGGCACCATTACCGATCCGAAGACCCAAGTCGAAACTACAGAAGCGAAGACTCAAGGCACACACCCATGTGAGTCATGTCTCATGACTCAGTACCACACCAGAGATTGCCTCAGCCCTCAGCAGAACAGAAAGATGGACAGGTACCAGAGCGCAGTAACCCCTTCCTCTCTCTGTGCAGGATCCCGAGCCGACACTTCCGACCCCCCACGGATCTCAGCGAAGCGCAGCTTTGCACATTAGCCGCTGTGTCACAGTCTCCTGAAGCCATCGAGCAGCTGCTGGAGTCCGGTCTGCCCTCGGTCCTGGTGCACAGCCTCACACAGCTCTGCCTGCACCTGCTGGCCAGCCACGACCTGCCCCTCCCCACGTCCCAGGCCAGGCCCCACAGCTCCACGCTAGCCCCTGACCTGGCAGCGCCCGTCTTGAGGTTTCTGACTGAGGTGGGGAGCAGCCACGCTATGAAGGACTGGTTAGGGGGCGCGGACGTGAACCCGCTGTGGACGGCGCTGCTCTTCCTGCTGTGCCACTCCCACGCCAGCCGCGGCACGCAGACACCCTCCAAACAGCGCTACACATTAGCCGCGCGCGACGGTGGTGGCCTCAGCACGCAGCAGCGGACGGCCCTCGAGAACGCCACAGTCGCATTCTTCCTCCAGTGCATCTCCTGCCACCCCAACAACCAGAGGCTCATGGCTCAGGTGAGAAACACCCCCCCTACACAAAGATACAATGGACAGAGAGACGACAAAAAGATCAACATTAAACGTATTAGTACTTACTCTTGGGAAATCTACCTTGGCATTTTGCCTCGGGCTGAAGAGTTGGCCATAAGGTAAGGGTTTGTTTGCAATGGGACGAAATGCCAAGATTTTAGTGTGTCCCAATCATTTATGTAGACCAAAGTTCAGATGACATTATGAACCTCCCGTGACCTCCCTCTCCCCTAGACTCTCTAATCTCTCTCCTCCCTCTCCTCTCTCTCCCCCTCCCTCTCCTCTCTGCAGGTGCTGTGTGAGCTGTTCCAGTCTGCTCCACAGAGGGGCGCTGTCCCTGTTTCTGGAAACATCTCAGGTTTTATCCGAAGGCTGTTTCTGCAACTGATGCTAGAGGACGAGAAGGTCACAGTGTTCCTGCAGTCTCCCTGTCCGGTACCTACACACACACTACAGTCTCCCTGTCTGGTACATACACACACAGTCTCCCTGTCCGGTACCTACACACACACTACAGTCTCCCTGTCTGGTACATACACACACAGTCTCCCTGTCCGGTACCTACACACACACTACAGTCTCCCTGTCTGGTACATACACACACAGTCTCCCTGTCTGGTACCTACACACACACTACAGTCTCCCTGTCTGGTACACACACACACACTACAGTCTCCCTGTCTGGTACACACACACACACTACAGTCTCCCTGTCTGGTACACACACACACACTACAGTCTCCCTGTCTGGTACCTACACACACAGTCTCCCTGTCTGGTACATACACACACACTACAGTCTCCCTGTCTGGTACCTACACACACAGTCTCCCTGTCTGGTACATACACACACACTACAGTCTCCCTGTCTGGTACACACACACACACTACAGTCTCCCTGTCTGGTACACACACACACACTACAGTCTCCCTGTCTGGTACATACACACACAGTCTCCCTGTCCGGTACCTACACACACACACTACAGTCTCCCTGTCTGGTACATACACACACAGTCTCCCTGTCCGGTACCTACACACACACACTACAGTCTCCCTGTCTGGTACATACACACACAGTCTCCCTGTCTGGTACCTACACACACACTACAGTCTCCCTGTCTGGTACACACACACACACTACAGTCTCCCTGTCTGGTACACACACACACACTACAGTCTCCCTGTCTGGTACCTACACACACAGTCTCCCTGTCTGGTACATACACACACACTACAGTCTCCCTGTCTGGTACATACACACACACTACAGTCTCCCTGTCTGGTACCTACACACACAGTCTCCCTGTCTGGTACATACACACACACTACAGTCTCCCTGTCTGGTACACACACACACACTACAGTCTCCCTGTTGGTACACACACACACACTACAGTCTCCCTGTCTGGTACCTACACACACAGTCTCCTTGTCTGGTACATACACACACACTACAGTCTCCCTGTCTGGTACACACACACACACTACAGTCTCCCTGTCTGGTACCTACACACACAGTCTCCTTGTCTGGTACATACACACAGTCTCCTTGTTTGGTACATACATACACACACAGTCTCCCTGTCTGGTACACACACACACACACTACAGTCTCCCTGTCTGGTACCTACACACACAGTCTCCTTGTCTGGTACATACATACACACACAGTCTCCTTGTCTGGTACATACACACACAGTCTCCTTGTCTGGTACATACACACACAGTCTCCTTGTTTGGTACCTGCACACATTGGTCTCCCTGTCCGGTGCCTGAACACATTGACAGCCTCAGTCCTGGATTTACAGCCTCAGTCACATTTCCTGTGTTTGAACCGTTTGATTCTCCAATCCGCTGTTGGTGAATCCACAACTTTGTGAAGTCCTCAAAGACGACTGCTGTTGTGATTTAGGACGAGACATAAATACATTGAACTAAATACAAACGTTTGCAGTACCCCCTTTTAGGCACAAAACATAATAGTTTTTCCTCTTTCAAAACAGCTGAGTGTTTGAACATGTGTGTGTGTGTGCAGCTCTACAAAGGACGCATCAACGCAACGAGTCACATGATCCAACACCCCATGTACGGAGCGGGCCACAAGTATCGCACCCTCCAGCTGCCCATCTCCACCAGCCTGGCCGAGGTCCTGGACCGAGTCTCCGGTGAGTCTGACCTCTGACCTCAGCCTGGCAGAGGTCCTGTGCCAAGTCTCCAGTGACCTCTGACCCCAGTCTTCTTCTGCATTAAGGTTAACTCTATGGTGATGTCACACACTGTTTGGGGTAGAGTCATGGATCTATTTGAATATCTGGATAGAGTGTTACTAGCTTATAGCTTTCCCACTAGCAGGCCCATGGGGGCGCCCGTGGTACTGCAGACTAAATTCACGTGGGCTACCAAGAAAAAGTCCCATAGAACTCAATGTAAAGTAAAACAGCTTGACCTCAGCTGACAGAGAACCTACAGTTTTCATGAAGAAGGATTTTGTGGGAATTTTAGTGTTCCTTGTCGTCCTGAACCCTTTTTCTTAAATCCATCAGTTTTATATAAATCTACTCTTTAATGCTACAAACTCTGCTCGTTTGGCTCTGCTCTGATCACCGGCTGTTGATTGGTCAAAGCGCGACCGAGCCCCTCTGTGCACCTGCGTGAGAGCCAAACACGCGTATATGACGCAAATCTTCATGGGAGCTCGTTCACTACGCTGAACCAGGAGGACCAGACAATGCTCATATATGGGTGAGGTCCGCTATTGAAATTTCCTCTCTGTGGGGCGGATAAAGGCACAAGCACAATTTGAATAGGGCACCATTTTGGATCACCAGGGCTTGGGCAGACCCCGCTCCTCGCTCTTATCCTGTAATAATACTACTCCCCGTTTCCTGCAGACACCCCAAGCATCACGGCCAAACTGATCAACGAGCAGAAAGAAGACAAAGAGAAGAAGAACCACGAGGAGAAGGAGAAGATGAAGAACGACAACGGCTTCCAGGACAACTACAGCGTGGTGGTGGCCTCAGGTCAGGGGTCACACAGGGGTCAGTTACAACTGTAACTTACACCATCGACACACATAAAGTCTAAACAGAAGCTGTTTCCACCAGCTCTATTTCCAGTACCATGTTCTTTTTTAGTCCCTCCTGGTCCTGGTTCTATCTATCCGAGGCCGAGCTGGTATTTTCGTCTGACCCGGTCCTTGTGTGCAGGTCTAAAGTCCCAGTCCAAGCGGGCCCTGTCCACTCCTCCCAGACCTCCTTCGAGACGAGGACGAGTTCTGAGCGACAAACTGAGCTCCGGCTGCAGCGCTGAGGCCCAGAAGACCATTAGTGTACCAGTGTTCCACCTGTACCATAAGCTTGTCCCAGGTACTGCTACTGCTAGTACTGCTGCTGGTTCTCCTCTCACCTCCTCTCTCCTCCTCTCATCGCCTCTCCTCTCCTCCTCATGTCAGCCTCTGCCTCCCAAGATGACTCTGGCTAAGCTCCCCTCTCCTCCTCTTCTTTCTCCTCCTCTCTCCTCCTCTCCTCTCACCTTCTCTCTTCTCTCCTCCTCAGGTCAGCCTCTGCCTCCTGAGATGACCCTGGCTCAGCTCCTGACACTACTGTATGATCGTAAACTTCCTCCTGGATATCAGTCCATCAACCTGACGGTGAAACTGGGCTCCAAGGTGATCTGTGACCCAGGCCTGTCCAAGACCGACTCCTTCAAGAGGCTGCGCACTGAGAAGGGTAAAACCAGAGGCCGGAGGGAGAGGCCGGAGGGGGGGAGACCACAAGGGCCCACTGTAATGCGGACATGGTTTATGAAGTTCATTCCTCTTGACCCGCGACAGTGATTAAATAATATCCTAAAAAAATATTTATTTTTTTCAAGCTTAATCTTTGATGGTTTTTTCCTTACTGGAACCTATTTTAGGGTTCTTTTTCTTCTACTCTTAATCACTGGCGGGTCAAACCACATGGTTTTATTACATTAAGTGCTGATGTTGGGCGTGAAGGACACAGAGGGACGTCCTCGTCTCTGTCTACTCGACCTCACACATGTAAACACATTAAGACGCGGCTCTATTTTTAGCCACGAGACGTTAGTGCAGTTTACTCCCAAAGGACAAAACTAAAAGAACACCTCTCCAAAAGCTCTTACAGAGGAGACCGGTGCGAGATGGACGAGACCAGAGAGAGACAATACTGACACAAGAGACCAGAGAGGGACGATACAGAACAATGAGGCTCTAGTCTCTCTCTGGTCTCTCTCTGGTCTCTCTCTGGTCTCTCTCTGGTCTCTCTCTGGTCTCTCTCTGGTCTCTCTCTCTCTGGTTCTTATTGAAGTTGTCTTTAGAACACATCAGCTCTGATAAACCAGTCCCCCTCTCACCTCTTCTTGTATGTCTTCACCTCCTCCTTGTGTGTCTGCAGTGGAGGAGGTGCTGTCTCCCTGTCTGGAGGAGGAGCCCATGTGTGAGGAGCTGGACTGTACCGATGACTCCCTCCTGGACACGGGGCCTGTCCAGTCTCCTCTCCAGGTGTTTGCTGGGATGGGGGGTCTGGCCCTGATCGCAGAGAGGCTGCCCATGCTGTACCCCGATGTCATACAACAGGTATGTATGAGACGCCAGGTGTGTACCTGACATACAACAGGTGTGTACCTGTGACTCTTATGTTTAGCTGCTTGGTGAGTTTTAATTCTTACGGGGGATTTACACAGTAGGCGTAAACAGCGCGTACGCGTTTACTGCGCGCTCTCTGCGCGTAACATTTTTTTGGAGTATCTACACTGACCGTGCGCGCAGGTCCGCGTCTTCTGATGCTCTCCCTGTGTAGTCTATGGAGCAGTGTAGAGGACAGTACGAGCCAGAGGACTGATGTAGAGCAACACAAATCACATGCATGTGTTTGTCTTCATGGTCTCTGTGCGCTGGTTTGGCCAGACGCGAGACTTTATGAAAGAAAAAAAAACGATGTCCAGAATCACTGTAAAACCTGCTGCTCCTCCTGCTGATGTTTAGACACAAGTGCAGTGTGCGTGCAGATGTGATCTAAAGCCAAGGACCGCTAGAAAAATAAAGTTTTACATGAGATTTCAATGGGAGACGCGTTGGTGCGCGCACAAAATTAGAAATCCATCCTAAATTAGAGCGCAGCTTCGCGTCACATGTCCGTCATACGCGCGTATAACGCTAGAAGTGTAAATATCATCATAGGTTAACATGGAAAAAAGTTACGCGCGTCTGCTGCGCGTATAACGCGTACGTGCTGTAACGCGTGATGTGTAAATTAGCAGTTAAAGCCTTGTACCCCTGGGGCAGCATGATGGGACCAGGTGATTGTGTAACGTGTCTCCCCCCTCCTCCCTCTCTGTGCAGGTCAGCGCCCCTGTGGTCCCCTCCTCGTCGCAGGAAAAGCCCAAAGACTCGGATCAGTTTGAGTGGGTGACCATCGAGCAGTCGGGAGAGCTGGTGTACGAGGCTCCAGAGTCCATCTCCTCCGAGCCTCCCCCCATCAGCAAACAGCCGCCTCCCCCCTCCTCCCCCGCGGTGCAGAGCATGTCCCCCATCCCTGCGCACTCACTGGCCGCCTTTGGGCTGTTCCTTCGCCTGCCGGGGTATGCCGAGGTCCTGCTCAAAGAGCGCAAACACGCCCAGTGTCTGCTGAGGCTGGTGCTGGGGGTAACGGACGACGGGGAGGGCAGTGAGTTAACTACTGTGGTCTCTCTATGGTCTCTCTAAAATCTCTCAGTCACATCCTGCAGTCTCTCTTCCCCCTCTGCCTCTGGTGTCTAACCCTCTCTCACTCTCTCCCTTTGGTCTCTAACCCTCTCCCCTGTCTCCCTCTGATCTCTCTCCCCCTCTCCCTCTGATCTCTCTCCCCCCCTCCCTCTGATCTCTCTCCCCCTATCCCTCTGATCTCTCTCCCCCTCTCCCTCTGGTCTATCTCCCTCTCTCTCTCTTGTCTCTCCCCCTCTCCCTCTGGTTTCTAACCCTTGCTCCCTCTGGTCTCCAACCCTCTCCCCTTCTCTCCCTCTTATCTCTCCCCGTCTTTCACTCTGGTCTCTCCCCGTCTCTCACTCTGGTCACTCCCCCTCTCTCTCCCTCTCTCCCCCTCTCTCCCTCTGGTCTCTCCCCCTCTGGTCTCTCCCCCTCTCCCTTTGGTCTCTCCCTCTGGTCACTCCCCCCTCTCTCCCTCTGGTCACTCCCCCTCTCTCTCCCTCTGGTCACTCCCCCTCTCTCTCTCTCTGGTCACTCCCCCTCTCTCTCACTCTGGTCTCTCCCCCTCTCTCTCTCACTCTGGTCTCTCCCCCTCTCTCTCCCTCTGGTCACTCCCCCTCTCTCTCTCTGGTCTCTCTCCCCCTCTCTCTCCCTCTGACCTGGTCTCCCCCTCTCTCTCCCTCTGGTCTCTCCCCGTCTCTCTCTCTGGTCTCTCCCCGTCTCTCTCACACTCTGGTCACTCCCCCTCTCTCTCACTCTGGTCTTTCCCCGTCTCTACCTCTGGTCTCTCCCCCTCTCTCTCCCCCTCTGGTCTCTCCCCCTCTCCCTTTGGTCTCTCCCTCTGGTTTCTCCCTCTGGTCTCTCCCCTTGGTCTCTCCCCTTGGTCTCTCCCCCCCCTCTCTCACTCTGGTCTCTCCCACTCTCTCCCTCTGATCTCTCCCCCTCTCTCTCACTCTGGTCTCTCCCCCTCTCTCTTACTCTGGTCTCTCCCGTTCTCTCTCCCTCTGGTCACTCCCCCTCTCTCTCCCTCTGGTCTCTCCCAGTCTTCCTTTGGTCTCTAACCCTCTCTCCTGCTTTCCCTCAGGTCACATCCTGCAGTCTCCTTCAGCGAACGTCCTCCCCACCCTGCCGTTCCTGGTCCTCAGGGCGCTCTTCAGTTGCACGCCGCTGACCACAGACGATGGCGTTCTGCTGCGGAGGATGGCGCTGGAGATTGGAGCCATACACCTGATCCTGGCCTGTCTCTCTGCTCTTAGCCACCACGCTCCCAGAAGCCCTACTGCCCCCAGCAATGTGTCAGAGGTACTGCACACACACACACACACACACACACACACTTACAGTTGCACACAGACACTCACTGACACAGACACACACACATGCAGACATACATGAACACACACACACACACACACACAGATGTCTCCCATCTCTAGTTCCTCTCTCTGGTTCTCACCCTGGTTCCTCTGGTTCCCCAGCCTCAGATGTCCTCTTGTCCTGGAGCTGGGACGTCTGAGGAGCAGCAGTTGTATTGGGCCAAAGGGACAGGCTTTGGGACGGGTTCCACGGCCAGCGGCTGGGACGTGGAGCAGGCTCTGACCAAGCAGCGTCTGGAGGAGGAACATGTGACCTGTCTGCTGCAGGTGAGACCATGACCATGACCATGACCATGACCAAACCACAGAGACCAGACCAGGCCAGACCGCAGAGACCACAGAGACCACAGTGACCCCGTATCTCCTCAGGTTCTGGCCAGTTACATAAACCCGTCTGGCCTCAGCCTCAGCTCAGACCCTGACCGCCCGAACACAGCGCTCCCTAGTGTCCTGCAGGAGCTGCTGTCCCAGTCCTGCCTCATCCCAGCCATGTCCTCATACCTGCGCAACGACTCAGGTGAGAGACCTCCCCCACAGGTGAGAGACCTCCCCCACAGGTGAGAGACCGCCCCCACCGGTGAGGGACCTTCCCCACTGGGAGAAACCTCCCCCTTAGGTTGTTTTTCTGAAGGTAAGCCCAGACCACCGATTCATCGGCTGCACATCTGTATTGGCTGATGTTCCCCCTGATGTCTCGTTGCGTACTCATCGGTCCTCCACATATCACCTCACCCTGTCCCCTCTATACCCCACACGGTGGCGTCATCCATGGCTCGCCCGCAGCTTGGGGTGCTCACCAGTGTTGCTCGCGCCTGTCCAAACTGTCCTCCTTCCGCGTACGTAGTACCTGGTGACTGGTCAAATCGAGCGCATCTGTGGCTGAGCTATTTATGTCAGAGGTCCGGTAAAAATAACTAAAGTTTTTTTTGGCCCAAAGTTTCACAATCTGTGCATCCCTAGTTCACATGCTGCAGCTTTATTACACCTCTGTTATTCAAACATGTTTACAAAAGAGACCAACGAGAGAGAGAACCCTGTCCCTCTGTCATCTCTGTCCAGAGCCCTGTCCAGACAGACCAGTCCAGAAGTGCTCTGAGAGTCTGGCCTCTATTTGTGGAGGATGTGTTTTCTATGCAACAAAGTGTTCTACCCACACTGGTCACGTCTCTGTGGGAGTCATCACCACATAGACCTATTGTTTTTTTCACCTGGTTCCTGGTGTTTCTCAGACACAGTATTAGTCGTATGGTAAAAGTGGATGTAGAAAAGAAACGTGTTCTGGTTTTTGTTTGTCTTTTATTGGAGGCTTTCTCAGTTTGGTCCCAGTTAACCATGAAATAAGTTCTGACATTGAGCAAGTCACATGGTCTTCACTCTGACTCTCACGGGACACATGGCAGGAGTGGAGCCTCAGGAGGTGGCATTAGCACAGACTCAGTGGCGTGAGATCATACTTAAACAGGAGCTGACCAAACAATCCCTTCACTCTTCAATGTCACCTCTGACTAGAAAGAGAGACCAGTGAGGGGAAGACACCAGTGAGGGGAAGACACCAGTGAGGGGAAGACAGCAGTGAGGGGAAGACAGCAGTGAGGGGAAGACACCAGTGAGGGGAAGACACCAGTGAGGGGAAGACACCAGTGAGGGGAAGACACCAGTGAGGGGAAGACACCAGTGAGGGGAAGACACCAGTGAGGGGAAGACACCAGTGAGGGGAAGACACCAGTGAGAGGGAGACACCAGTGAGAGGGAGACACCAGTGAGAGGGAGACACCAGTGAGAGGGAGACACCAGTGAGAGGGAGACACCAGTGAGAGAGATGAAGTTCCAGCCTTTGAGTCAATGGGAAAATGTTGGGAGAGATTTCTCTGGTCGTCTTTGGAATCTTCTGGTACCACTGCAGCAGGAGCAGTAGTAGTTGCAGTAGTTTGAGTACCTTCGGCGGGAGGGGTCATAGTGTGGTGTAGATGTAGACGAACACCACCACAAACAGGTTCAGAAAAGTTCCCACAATGCCGAGCAGCGCCAGGACAGACTCCTCCTGCTCCTCCTTCAGCTCCAGGTCACGGATGTCCTCCAGGGTCAGCAAGGGCCGGCCCATGTTCCTTTGTACTGGACCAGGGTCTGGTCCAGTGGGTCCTGCAAGAACACACAAAGAGCACATTACTGAACTGGTCTGAACTTCTCGAACAGAGATCCCAAATTTCTACAATCAGATTCACTTCAATGTCTTTGTGTCTCGCTCTAAACCACAGCAGCCGTCTCTGAGGACTTTACACAGTTGTGGATTCACAACAGATAAGAGAATCAAACAGATCAAATGCAGAAAAGGCAGTAATGACAAACACATAGTTGGTCCACAGCGTGATGAGCACCAGATACAGAATCATCAGGACTGTTCCGTTCGTCAGGAACAATGTGGACAATATTTCTTCCATTATTATTTTTTCTTAACACTGACCCTCTGAAGAACACAACCATAACTTTCACAGCGTCCCACTTATGCTCCTCATAGACCAACAAGTTTTTGATTCTCTGATCTGCTGTTGGTGAAAGCACAGCTTTTGTAAAAACAATGACGTGAATGATGTATTTCAACCATTGTGTCCAACCATTCTCCCCAGGTCCCCCAGAGAGGGAGACCAGTTAGAGAGGGAGACCAGTTAGAGAGGGAGACCAGTTAGAGAGGGAGACCAGTTAGAGAGGGAGACCAGTTAGAGAGGGAGACCAGTTAGCGAGGGAGACCAGTTAGAGAGAGAGACCAGTTAGCGAGGGAGACCAGTTAGAGAGGGAGACCAGTTAGCGAGGGAGACCAGTTAGCGAGGGAGACCAGTTAGAGAGGGAGACCAGTTAGCGAGGGAGACCAGTTAGAGAGGGAGACCAGTTAGAGAGGGAGACCAGTTAGCGAGGGAGACCAGTTAGAGAGGGAGACCAGTTAGCGAGGGAGACCAGTTAGCGAGGGAGACCAGTTAGCGAGGGAGACCAGTTAGCGAGGGAGACCAGTTAGAGAGGGAGACCAGTTAGAGAGGGAGACCAGTTAGAGAGGGAGACCAGTTAGAGAGGGAGACCAGTTAGAGAGAGAGACCAGAGAGAGAGACCAGAGAGAGAGACCAGAGAGAGAGACCAGAGAGAGACCAGAGAGAGACCAGAGAGAGAGACCAGTTAGAGAGGGAGACCAGTTGAGAGGGAGACCAGAGCGAGGAGACCAGTTAGCGAGGGAGACCAGTTAGCGAGGGAGACCAGTTAGCGAGGAGACCAGTAAGAGACAGGGAGACCAGAGATAGAGACAGACACCTGAGAGAGGACCCAGTTAGAGAGGGAGACCAGTTAGAGAGGGAGACCAGTTAGAGAGGGAGACCAGTTAGACCAGAGAGGGAGACCAGTTAGAGAGGGAGACCAGTTAGAGAGGGAGACCAGTTAGAGAGGGAGACCAGTTAGAGAGAGGGAGACCAGTTAGAGAGGGAGACCAGTTAGAGAGGGAGACCAGAGCGAGGGAGACCAGTTAGCGAGGGAGACCAGTTAGCGAGGGAGACCAGTTAGCAAGGGAGACCAGTAAGAGACAAACACCAGTTAGATAGGGAGACCAGTTAGAGAGGGAGACCGGTTAGAGAGAGAGGGAGACCAGTTAGCGAGGGAGACCAGTTAGAGAGAGGGAGACCAGTTAGAGAGAGGGAGACCAGTTAGCGAGGAGACCAGTTAGAGAGGGAGACCAGTTGGAGAGAGAGACCAGTTAGAGGAAGAGAGACCAGTTAGAGAGGGAGACCAGTTAGCGAGGGAGACCAGTTAGAGAGAGGGAGACCAGTTAGAGAGAGGGAGACCAGTTAGCGAGGGAGACCAGTTAGAGAGGGAGACCAGTTGGAGAGAGAGACCAGTTAGAGGAAGAGAGACCAGTTAGAGAGGGAGACCAGTTAGAGAGGGAGACCAGTTAGAGAGAGACACCAGTTAGAGAGAGACACCAGTTAGAGAGAGACACCAGTTAGAGAGAGAGACCAGTTAGAGGGAGAGAGACCAGTTGGAGAGAGAGACCAGTTAGAGGAAGAGAGACCAGTTACAGAGGGAGACCAGTTAGAGAGGGAGACCAGTTAGAGAGGGAGACCAGTTAGCGAGGGAGACCAGTTAGCGAGGGAGACCAGTTAGCGAGGGAGACCAGTTAGCGAGGGAGACCAGTAAGAGACAGACACCAGTTAGATAGGGAGACCGGTTAGAGACAGACACCTGTTAGATGGAGACCGGTTAGAGAGGGAGACCGGTTAGGACGAGAGAGAGACCAGTTAGAGAGGGAGACCAGTTAGAGAGAGGGAGACCAGTTAGAGAGAGGAGACCAGTTAGAGAGGGAGACCAGTTAGCGAGGAGACCAGTTAGCGAGGGAGACCAGTTAGCGAGGGAGAACCAGTAAGAGACAAACACCAGTTAGATAGGGAGACCAGTTAGAGACAGACACCTGTTAGATGGAGACCAGTTAGAGAGGGAGACCGGTTAGCGAGGGAGACCAGTTAGAGAGAGAGGGAGACCAGTTAGAGAGAGAGGGAGACCAGTTAGAGAGAGGGAGACCAGTTAGAGAGAGGGAGACCAGTTAGCGAGGGAGACCAGTTAGCGAGGGAGACCAGTTAGAGGGAGAGAGACCAGTTGGAGAGAGAGACCAGTTAGAGGAAGAGAGACCAGTTAGAGAGGGAGACCAGTTAAAGAGGGAGACCAGTTAGAGAGAGACACCAGTTAGAGAGAGACACCAGTTAGAGAGAGACACCAGTTAGAGAGAGACACCAGTTAGAGAGAGACACCAGTTAGAGAGAGACACCAGTTAGAGAGAGACACCAGTTAGAGAGAGACACCAGTTAGAGAGAGACACCAGTTAGAGAGAGACACCAGTTGGAGAGAGAGACCAGTTAGAGGGAGAGAGACCAGTTGGAGAGAGAGACCAGTTAGAGGAAGAGAGACCAGTTAGAGAGGGAGACCAGTTAGAGAGGGAGACCAGTTAGAGAGAGACACCAGTTAGAGAGAGACACCAGTTAGAGAGAGACGCCAGTTAGAGAGAGACGCCAGTTAGAGAGAGAGACCAGTTAGAGAGAGAGACCAGTTAGAGGGAGAGAGACCAGTTGGAGAGAGAGACCAGTTAGAGGGAGAGAGACCAGTTAGAGAGAGAGAGACCAGTTAGAGAGAGACACCAGTTAGAGAGACACCAGTTAGAGAGAGACACCAGTTAGAGAGTTAGAGAGAGACACCAGTTAGAGAGAGACACCAGTTAGAGAGAGACACCAGTTAGAGAGAGTTAGAGAGAGACACCAGTTAGAGAGAGAGAGAGAGACCAGTTAGAGAGAGACCAGTTAGAGAGAGAGACCAGTTAGAGGGAGAGACCAGTTAGAGAGACACACCAGTTAGAGAGAGACACCAGTTAGAGAGACACCAGTTAGAGAGAGACACCAGTTAGAGAGAGACACCAGTTAGAGAGAGAGACCAGTTAGAGGGAGAGACCAGTTAGAGAGGAGACCAGTTAGAGAGAGACACCAGTTAGAGAGAGACACCAGTTAGAGAGAGACACCAGTTAGAGAGAGAGACACCAGTTAGAGAGAGACACCAGTTAGAGGGAGAGACACCAGTTAGAGAGAGAGACCAGTTAGAGAGAGAGACCAGTTAGAGGGAGAGAGACCAGCTAGAGAGAGACCAGTTAGAGAGAGACCAGTTAGAGAGAGACCAGTTAGAGAGAGACCAGTTAGAGAGAGAGACCAGTTAGAGGGAGAGACCAGTTGGAGAGACCAGTTAGAGAGGGAGACCAGTTAGAGAGGGAGACCAGTTAGAGAGGGAGACCAGTTAGAGAGGGAGACCAGTTAGAGAGGGAGACCAGTTAGAGAGGGAGACCAGTTAGAGAGGGAGACCAGTTAGAGAGAGAGACCAGTTAGAGAGAGAGACCAGAGACCAGGAACTTGTGTCATGAATTTTATGACAGGGATCAGTTGTGGTCTGAAAGTTACATTTTCCACCTTTGATATAAAATGTGACATCACTCTTACCCCGGAAGATCTATCACATGTCCTTGTATCTGCTGCTTAGTTCCCAAAGCATCTCTCCAACTGAGCACTTCACCAACACACGTCCTCAGGGTCACAGCTCACACACATAGTTCCAAAGTCTCTGAGTGCAGGTTGTTTGAATGAGAAGCAGCAGAAACAGTCGTCTGTAGTACATTCCACTGTTGTAAGAAGTCTCTCCTCAGTCTGATCCTCGTCCAGAAACAAATCTGCTCTTTTGTCTTCTCCATGAGCTGCTGAGAGAAGTGAAATCCCCTCTGGAAATGTGTGCGTGTGTCTGTGTGTGTGTGTGTGTGTGTGTCTGTGTGTGTGTCTGTGTGTGTGTGAAACGGCAGCTTGGAGACTGGTCGTCAGGTAGCGATAGGAGCAGACGTGGGAGGCATTGCATAACAGAGCGGAACACAAGTGGATGTGGAGGAGGAGGAGTGAAGAAGGAGGAGGAGGAGGGGGAACATAGAGAGAGCGAGAGGAGGAGGGGGAGAGATGGAGTGACAGGAGGAGGAGGAGAAATTAGAGAAAAGGGAGGGGGGACATGGAGAGTGAGAAGGAGGAGGGGGGGAGATGGAGGAGGAGAGGGAATGGGGGAGTTGTGGAGAGAGGAGGAGGATGGGTCAAAGAAGTGGAGGAATGGGGGAGGGTGATGAGAGGAGACGATGCCAAACAGACTGTGTTACTGTTCATCAGACAAAAGCACAAACGTGGATCTGATCTGAGACCAGTGAGTTTTAGAGATTTACAATCAGAACATTACTGGTCTAGAAGTTTTTACAGAGAGAGAGAGGTGCAGTGGTCATAATGAACAGATAGTTTTTCTCCTGTTGTCCTGGTCCATGTCTCTCTCCTCATTCCTGGACCTGGTCTCATGTCTCTCTCTTCAGTCCTAGTCCTGGACCTGGTCTCATGTCTCTCTCTTCAGTCCTAGTCCTGGACCTGGTCTCATGTCTCTCTCTTCAGTCCTAGTCCTGGACCTGGTCTCATGTCTCTCTCTTCAGTCCTAGTCCTGGACCTGGTCTCATGTCTCTCTCCTGTCTCCTCAGTCCTGGACATGGCTCGGCACGTACCCTTGTACCGGGCCCTCCTGGAGCTCCTCAGGGCCATCTCTTCGTGTTCTGCGCTGGTGCCGCTGCTGCTCCCGCTGTCTGGAGACTTCCAGCAGACAGAGGAAGAGGATGAGGAAGATCCAGACGGCCAGAGCTCAGTGGGACAGCTGCTGGCCAAGATGAAGACCTGTGTGGACACCTACACCAACCGCCTCAGGTGAGGACCAGGTCTACGTTATCCAAGAGGTCTTTTTATATTATTTTTTTTAGAGCAGTGGTCCTCGACTTTCAGTTCAGGGCTGGGGTTCAGAGGCTGGAGAGGGGTTCTGTGGAGACGAGAGTTTGAACCAGTCTTTAAATGTGGAATAACCAGGCCCTCCGCAAGTCCCAGGTCTCCAAGATGCGGGTGGCCTCTAGTCTCGGTCTTAACAATGTTCTGTTTGTGCTCAGGTCTAAAAAGGACAAGTCCAAAGGCTCCGTGGTGAAACCGGACTCTTCAGACCCAGAACCAGAAGGACTAACGCTGCTAGTACCAGACATCCAGAGGACCGCGGAGATCGTGTACGCAGCTACCACCAGTCTGCGCCAGGCCAACCAAGGTACTCTCCCTCAGTCTCCCTCAGGCCACAGGGTTCTCCCCCACTCCATCTCAGTCTCTCTCAGGCCACAGAATTCTCCCCCTCAGACTCTCTCAGGCCACAGGGTTCTCCCCCTCAGTCTCCCTCAGGCCACAGGGTTCTCCCCCTCAGTCTCCCTCAGGCCACAGGGTTCTCCCCCTCAGTCTCCCGCAGGCCTCAGGGGTCCACACTGGGAGCATGTTCAGTGGATTCTCTTCTCTGAAGGGTTTAACATTACTGCTTTGTCACGAATCCAAAAAATGGTACCAGAAGTTCACATGTCGTTGTTATTGAAGATTCCATGTTTAGGAGTTACACAAGGTGAACTCTCGGGAAACCTGAGGACGGATGCTAATGAAGAGGATCACTTCCGGAATACCAGTGCTCTGCTCTCATTGGCTCGTGGTTTGATGATGTCATAACTGTCTGTCCAGAGCGGAGGCTGGTGGAGTGTTCCCGTAAAGCCTCGTGTCGGCCCAAACCTCAGTCTGTGCTGCGGTCGCTGGAGGAGAAGTATGTGGCGGTCATGAAGAAGCTGCAGTTTGGTAATTATTCTGTGCTCTCTGGTCTCTCTCCCTGGTCTCTCTCTGGTCTCTCGCTGGTCTCTCGCTGGTCTCTCGCTGGTCTCTCTCTGGTCTCTCGCTGGTCTCTCTCTGGTCTCTCGCTTGTCTCTCGCTGGTCTCTCTCTGGTTTCTCTCTGGTCTCTCTCTGGTCTCTCTCTGGTCTCTCTCTGGTCTCTCTCTGGTCTCTCTCTGGTCTCTCGCTGGTCTCTCGCTGGTCTCTCTCTGGTCTCTCTCTGGTCTCTCTCTGGTCTCTCTCTGGTCTCTCTCTGGTCTCTCTCTGGTCTCTCGCTGGTCTCTCGCTGGTCTCTCTCTGGTCTCTCTCTGGTCTCTCTCTGGTCTCTCGCTGGTCTCTCGCTGGTCTCTCTCTGGTCTCTCTCTGGTCTCTCTCTGGTCTCTCTCTGGTCTCTCTCTGGTCTCTCTCTGGTCTCTCGCTGGTCTCTCGCTGGTCTCTCGCTGGTCTCTGGAGTCCTTGTTACAGATACCTTTGAGATTGCGTCTCTTGTTACAGATACCTTTGAGATGGTGTCTGAGGAGGAGGATGGGAAGCTGCAGTTCAAAGTGGGTTACCACTACATGTCTCAGGTGAAGAACGCCAGCGACTCCAACAGTGCGTCCCGGTCCAGGCGCCTGGCACAGGAGGCCGTCACCCTGTCCACCTCTCTGCCCCTGTCCTCCTGCTCCAGTGTGTTTGTGCGCTGTGACGAGGAGCGGCTGGACATCATGAAGGTAAAACACACACACAGACGCAGAGGCTCACACACACAGACATAGAGGTATACACACACAGACACACACACAACGATCATACAGAACTAATGCATGAATTTTTGCCCTTTCTGGACACACAAAGATGCACTGTATCCTGGTCTCTCTGGTTTCTGGTCTCTCTCTTGTCTCTCTCTCTGGTCTCTCTCTCTAGTCCCTCTCTGGTCTCTCTCTCTGGTCTCTCTCTGGTCTCTCTCTCTGTCTCTCTCTGGTCTCTCTCTGGTCTCTCTCTTGTCTCTCTCTCTGGTCTCTCTCTCTGGTCTCTCTCTCTGGTCTCTCTCTCTGGTCTCTCTCTCTAGTCCCTCTCTGGTCTCTCTCTCTAGTCCCTCTCTGGTCTCTCTCTCTGGTCTCTCTCTGGTCTCTCTCTGGTCTCTCTCTGGTCTCTCTCTGGTCTCTCTCTGGTCTGTCTCTCTGGTCTGTCTCTCTGGTCTCCTCTCTCTCTGTCTCTCTCTCTGGTCTCTCTCTCTGGTCTCTCTCTGGTCTCTCTCTGGTCTCTCTCTGGTCTCTCTCTTCTCTCTCTGGTCTCTCTCTGGTCTCTCTCTGGTCTCTCTCTGGTCTCTCTCTGGTCTCTCTCTCTGGTCTCTCTCTGGTCTCTCTCTGGTCTCTCTCTGGTCTCTCTCTGGTCTCTCTCTGGTCTCTCTCTGGTCTCTCTCTGGTCTATATAAATGAGATATGACCTGAGACCCTGTGCTACATCAGTAACCCCTGACCCTATGCTACCTGCAGGTGCTGATCACAGGTCCCGCCGACACGCCGTACGCTAACGGTTGTTTTGAGTTCGACGTGTACTTCCCTCAGGATTATCCCAACTCTCCTCCTCTGGTCAATCTGGAGACCACTGGGGGTCACAGCGTCCGCTTCAACCCCAACCTTTACAACGATGGCAAGGTCAGAGGTCACATACAATGTCTCAGTCCTCATTTCTCTGTCCTAATTTCTCTGTCCTCAGGTCTGCTTGAGTATCCTGAACACATGGCACGGTCGACCAGAGGAGAAGTGGAACCCGCACACATCCAGCTTTCTCCAGGTGAGACCCCAGAGCCGACCCCCTCAGAGCTGACCCCCTCTCGTCCCATACCTCTCGGCTTCAGTTGGGGACTGAGTCTGGACCTGCTGTAGCCTGGTCTTACTACACCATAGTACAAATTACATTCCGTGCTAAGATCTGGCTTTGCTCCATTGAGCTCGGTTAACAGGTGGGAGGGGTTAACTCCTTTTGCAGATTGAAACGATTGGATCAGAGTTTACCGTCAAATGTAATGCGCCCGCGTGAGTCGCTAGCATTTAGCCTAGCCATCTCCTTTGCCGCTAACAGAGCCCGTGGGGAGAAGTACCACAATTTCTGCCAGCAATTACATTTGCTAATCATTCCTCTAGACTCTTGACGTCACCCACACCTACCTACAACACCCGCCTCCCGCGCTCGCTGATTGGTCAGATTGGTCGCTGATTGGTCAGATGGTTGAATCCAATCATCTGATAATTACAGACACTGGGACCAGACCCAGACGAACATGTAGGGAAATGATAATTGACCGGAGTTTACGAATGGCTAAGGCCAGGCTAGACCTGCTGCAGTCTGGTCTCAGTCCTCAGGTCCCAGTCTCAGTGCTGTAGTCACAGTCCTCAGGTCCTGGACTCGGTCTCAGTCTGTACCTGCTGTATTCTCAGTCCTTGTGTCTCAGACTGAGGACGTCCCTTTGTCCTCCAGTTTTATGGAGCTGTTAAACAGAAATATGAGGTGTGTTTTCTGTCTGAGGACGACCAGAGTCTCCTCGTGTGTCCTTCAGGACGTGAGACATGATAGAGACCTCTCCCACTGGAATTAGTCGATGGTCCTGTCCCACTGGGGTCTGTCGATGGTCTCACAGTGAGACAGGCCACAGCAAAAAATATCATAACCATGAGTACAGCATGACACTTACCTTTATTTAGGGTCAGAATAAAACGTTTATCTCTCACGTCCTGGTCTCAGGTCCTAGTCTCAGGTCCTGGTCTCAGGTCCTGGTCTCAGGTCCTGGTCTCAGGTCCTGGTCTCAGGTCCTGGTCTCAGGTCCTGGTCTCAGGTCCTGGTCTCAGGTCCTGGTCTCAGGTCCTGGTCTCAGGTCCTGGTCTCAGGTCCTGGTCTCAGGTCTTGGTCTCAGGTCCTGGTCTCAGGTCCTGGTCTCAGGTCCTGGGGTCGGTCTCGGTCTCCCTCACTAACCCTCTGGTCTCCTCAGGTCCTGGTCTCGGTCCAGTCCCTGATCCTAGTCGCGGAGCCGTACTTTAATGAGCCGGGGTACGAGCGCTCCAGAGGGACCCCCAGCGGAACCCAGAGCTCCAGGGAATATGACGGAAACATCCGGCAAGCGACGGTGAAGTGGGCCATGTTAGAACAGCTGAGGAACGCTTCGGCCTGCTTCAAGGAGGTTAGACCTACTTTAGACCTACTTTAGACCTGCTTTAGATCTGCTTTAGTCCTGCTTCAGACCTGGATAGATCTGCTTTAGTCCTGCTTCAGACCTGGATAGACCTGCTTTAGTCCTGTTTCAGACCTGGATAGACCTGCTTTAGTCCTGCTTCAGACCCTGGTTGCCCCGCTGTAGACCTCCTCCTGTCCTGGTAGAGGTCTATGATGGTTCAGAGACTGTCAGGTTCAAGTCTTGCCATGAAGCCTCAGTGAAAAGAGTCAAAGAGTCAAATAGTGACTTAGAGGGCTCTCTGATATTCATTTATCAGACTAAAGTTACAGACCCCAGCTTTAAACATGTTATTTTTGACACTAAAGTTATAGACCTGAGCTTTAAAGCCCATTAAACCCTGGGATTGAGTTGAGTCTTGTTTTTGCTCCTGAGACTTTCTCTCTCTCTGCTCTGAATACTGATGGGGCGGGCACCATGGCAACTGTTACCAGGGGAGACGTGGGGAAAGGGGGACCACGACGACGGTTGCCTTGGAGGAGGGTCTCCATGGCAACGTGGGGGGTGACGCCATGGCAGCAGACGGAGGCTTGTCTGTCCATTATGAGATCGCGTTACGTCATTTGTCAGGTTTGATTTAATTTCATGTCCAAATTCAGGCCCGCGGGCCAATTATGGCCCTCTGCTGCCAACACAGTCACCATAGAGGCAGTGTCATCCAACCAACTTCAGCTCCACCAATACAGTCATGCAGTCTTGTTGTAAAACTTCATCCCTCTGGAATACAGTGTTTGACTCTATTATATACTGACAGTTGTTTTATGATAGTGACACAACATTCCAAATAAAATGCAGCTGTGGTGTGACCGCAGCCTAAGAGAGCTTTTATTCATCCCACAGTGAGGACATTTCAGTGTTGCATCACAAGTTATAGAACAGTAGGAAAGAGGAGCACACAGCACACGTTAAGTTAACAATAGCTGTACTAATTAAAATAAAAGAAAATCTCTAAGTCTAGCATTAAATAACAAGTATAAAATCTCTATCTTTAAAATAATAGTAATAAAAGAGAAGTTTGTGTAAGCTCTCAGTCATACAGGGTTTAGTCAAAGCAAAGGGAGGTTTCTCTCCATCATCTGTACTTCTTGGTGAGAAACCTTCCTTTGCTTTCAATAAAAGAGAAGTTTAAAAGTTTTACATTTGGCAAAATAAGATGCAAGGACGTATCATAACCCATTTGAAATTCCAGAGTTTAGTCAATCCAGCTCAAATCCAGTTTTTAAATCCAGGTCGTCGGCCCCAGGTCAGGTCTGACAACCTAAAGTGGCCCTTTAACAAAAAAGTTTGGACACCCCTGATTTAACTAATACTCTGCTCCGATTGGCCCCTTGCTCCCGGTCATGTGGCCAGGGCCCTTAGATGCCACTTGCTGCTTTTCTTTCATTCTGTTTTTACATTTATACATGTGCACTGCTGTCCCAGTTGTGTGTCTGTGTGTCTCAGATGTGTGTCTGTGTGTCTCTCAGATGTGTGTCTGTGTGTCTCTCAGATGTGTGTCTGTGTGTCTCTCTCAGTTGTGTCTGTCTCTCAATTGTGTATCTGTGTCTCTCTCAGTTGTGTCTGTCTCTCAATTGTGTGTCTCTCAGATGTGTGTCTGTCTGTCTCTCAGTTGTGTCTGTGTGTTGCAGGTGATACACAAACACTTCTTCCTGAAGCGCACACAGATTCTGTGTCAGTGCGAGGAGTGGATCACAGAGATACAGCAGCACAGCAGTGACAAGAGGGTGGGGAGGACCATGAGCCACCACGCTGCTGCCCTCAAGGTGAGGGAGGGGGAGGGAGGGCTGTGAGCCACCACGCTGCTGCCCTCAAGGTGAGGGAGGGAGGGGGGAGGGAGGACCATGAGCCACCACGCTGCTGCCCTCAAGGTGAGGGAGGGGGGAGGGAGGGCCGTGAGCCACCACGCTGCTGCCCTCAAGGTGAGGGAGGGGGGAGGGAGGGCCGTGAGCCACCACGCTGCTGCACTCAAGGTGAGGGAGGGAGGGAGGGGGGAGAAAGAGCATGACCCTCAAGCCTAGTGTATACTTGCGCGGCGTGGCTTACGTTAGCGGTTGCGGTGGACCTACGTAAGCACAATGGATGTTATACTGGCGCGTTCCCCTTACGGAGTTTTGAGGAGAATGTTGTAATCCCACAACAAACCACATGAGGGCGATCACACAGGAGCGGTCCCATTTACGCTGCTACTTTGTCCTCTTCAGAACAACAATAACTAACAAAGCTGTTCATTACATGTGTTTCTACTGTAGATTTATGTGATAGTTTTATGGATTCAAAAGTCATTTCAACTGTGATGCTGTGAATAAAGACACAGTTCTTGTTGGAAACATAGTTATTATTAAATAGTTTTCAGCACAAACAGCAAAACAATAATAGTGTTAAATATCTGAGACAAACATGAACGATATACGAGTGCAGGAGGAAAGCAACAAACGCAGCTACGATTCAAACAAGACAGGAACAGTTTATAAGTTATATACATGTTAGATATAAGTTATATATATGTTAGATATAAGTTATATATATGTTAGATATAAGTTATATATATGTTATAAGTTATATATATGTTAGATATAAGTTATATATATGTTAGATAGTCCACTGTCTCCTGTATATCAGGCTCTGAGCCCAAACTGATTTTCCTTCTAAGCACAAAGCTCTCTGCTCCATAGTGCCTCGTCCATGCTCCTGCTGCAGCCGCTTCATGCTTCCTTCCAATACACACACACGGACCAATCACAGCGGAGCTTCTCTCACACACGGACCAATCACAGCGGAGATTCCTTGCGGCGACCCTTACGTAGTTAGAAAATGTCGATGCTGCACGGCAGGCGACGTAAGGGCCTTGCGGTGACCAACGCGTTGCGCAAGTGACGTCACGTCACCTCCGTAAGCTCCGCGCGAGTATAAACTAGGCTTTACTGTGACCCTCAGTCTCACCCTCAGTATGACCATCTGTATGACCCTCAGTATGACCATCTGTATGACCCTCAGTCTCCCCCTTTCTCCCTCAGAGACACGCGGCGCAGCTGAGGGAGGAGCTTCTCAAACTGCCGTGTCCTGACGGCCTCCAACCGGACGACGACTTCACCGACAAGAGCCCAGCCCACATCACTGAGGCGACCAATCAGGACTCAGAGAAACCCAGCGGCAGCCATGACGCCTCGGACGCCGCGCTATGAGACACTCAGGCGCCACTTCCTTTGTCCATATTTGTAAAGATCGTTGCGGGGAGAAACCAAAACATGAAAAGTCCCCGAAGAATTTTATCGACCTGTAAAAAAGTAAACAACGTGTTTTTGACAAAAACCACTGATGTAAAATAATGTGGATCTGATCTGTGCTTTTTCTGTTCATTTTGGGACAAATATTTAAATTAAAACTTTAGGTTTAACAAAGTCTGTTTTCATTCACTTTAAAGAGCACACTCGGAGAGTACACACACGTACGCTCAGGGAGAGCAAGTGTTTCATGTAAATGGAATAAGATATTAACTTTCAACAGTAGTCATTTTAACTGCAATGTTCAGTAACTTAGCAACAGTTTCTATGGCAGTCCTGGTCCTGGATCAGTGGGGGGGTGCTAGTTACCATAGCAACACACTGTTTACTGGGAGCTGTTAGCATTAGCCTTCAATTGTTTTAGCTGTTGGTATAAGTGGGTAAATGTACACCCCTACAAAGGATTGGAATGGATCCGTAAAAATGACTGCTCTTGAACGTGTAGTAGTTTCAGAACTCTTATTGTGAAAGTGCTCTCAGCTCCCAGAGTGCACCGCGGCAGTGCGCATGGCGACTCCCTTCCGCTACACGTGTTCCGGATAAACACTGCACCCCCGGGTCCACGAGCTCCAGAAGCGGACCCTGACCCTCTCTCTCCCGGGTCTACGAGCTCCAGAGTTTACACCAGGATCACCCTTTTGCCGGTGCCCATCTCTCTCTTTCCCGGTGACAGGCTCCAGCCGGAACCCCAGACCCTCTCTCTCTCCCGGGCTCTGGAGCTGAGTGTGGCCGCAAGAGAGGCGCGATGCTCGGCCTGGAGCTGTCTGTTCTCCGGGGGTTTGTTCCGCAGTCGGAGGAGGAGGATCTGAAGCGGAGCGTGTCCAGTCTCACAGGTAACAGTATGAGTTATTACTCGATTAACCGAGTCGATAATAAATTCGTCCTAGCTGCAGCTACACCTGTGTCAAAGTGCACATTTCATTCGCATGTTTGGATCCTGAAGAGTCAAAATGTCACATGGTTCAAATTCATATTATTACTTTGGGCTGTCGGCGATGACACCACGCCCGAGCTGTAACCAGAGAGAGAGACCAGAGAGGGAGAGAGACCAGAGAGGGAGAGAGACCAGAGAGGGAGAGAGACCAGAGAGGGAGAGAGACCAGAGAGGGAGAGAGACCAGAGAGGGAGAGAGACCAGAGAGGGAGAGAGACCAGAGAGGGAGAGAGACCACAGAAGGAGAGAGACCACAGAAGGAGAGAGACCAGAGGGACCATAATGAGACCATGGATCAGGCTGATATGTGCTGACAAAGATGTGGAACTTCCCTGGACAAATTCACATGAAACAAAAACTATTAGACAGATTATCTCTGAACTATGACCAGAATCTGCCTTTTGACACTCTCCATAGTTGCCATAGAGACCATTAAAGATGTTTAAAAAAGTGAAAAAGAGAGGACCACCCTCACTCAGCCAATCAGCTCTCAGCCCTGCCTACTGACTCATTCTACCCACTGTTTTTAAGACATACACAGGCCAGTCTGTCTTATGTTCAGAGCCTGCACTGGTTAAAAGCGCCAACATCGAGAGACATTTTGAAACACGGCACAACACTTTTGACATTAGTTACTCGCCAGGATCAGCTGCGAGGACCCATTCTCACAGCAGGAGGGAGCTTCCCAGTGCTCGGCGAGTACAGTGGATTTTGGGGAAGGGGCATTGGCAGAAAGTCGGTTTGAAGGTAAAGAAGAGCTGCAAATGAAACAAAAGGTACGCCACATCCTCTGCTCTCACGGAGGATGTGCAGGCGCAGCTCGACAGCACCGTTCGACCTCCCTCTATTGCTATTTTAAAGTTGAGTTGGACCACAGTAGTTCAGGTCATAAAAAAACGTGTGCATTTGTTGAACGTTATGGGGTTAGTTATTTGCTCCTATTTGTTTCATGTGCAATTAAACTTGTATTTAAAAGTTGCTTGAAGGGTGTCTATAAAAACAGTTGGAAGAATAAGCTAAGCATGTGTTGTTGATTCAAACACATGTGATTTATAATTTAATAAAACATTTTTTTGTCAAGTTGTACTGTATCACTGTCCTAAAACATCACTGGTCTTTAATGTGCCCTTTAAAATATGACTATTCATAGTAACGAGTATCAATTATAATTAGGAGAAATATCTGACGTATGTTTTGTAAGAATTTAATAAATCATAAAATTCTGTAAAAGAAAGAAAATGTAAAAAGGGGCAGAAACATAAGTCTTAGTCCTACCTGCACCTTTGCTTCATAATTCAAAATAAAAACCACTACTACTAGCCCAAAAAGTCAGATGGTGACTTTTTGGACTAGTAGTAGTCTTTCTAACTAATATTGAAGTATCTGTTTTTGCAGATGTGACTTTGCTGCTGGAGCTTTTCTTCAGAGGAGACTTCAGAGGTGTCCTCCAGAGCCCAGTGGTCCACGAGCTGCTGTGTGAGAGCGGCCATGTTGGAGAGGTGTGTGAGGCCGACCACAGCGGCGGCCATGTTGGGGAGGTCACAGATGTTGAGCGTCACCTGCAGAAGATACTGAAGCTCCATCTGGACTCTGCATCAGACGAAGAGCAGAGGAAGAGCAGGTCAGAGTCATGTTTCCTCGGGTCGCTGAGGTCTGAGCGGAGCCTGCAGGGGCTTCAAAGGGGCCGAGCTCAGATGTGGTGGGAAAAAAAGCTTGTGCTGTTTGAGGTTTAGCTGCAGTCTGTTTCCTCTCCGTCCTGGGTCTACAGCCTCAGTCCTGGGTCTACAGCCTCAGTCCTGCGGGTCCACAGCCTCAGTCCTGGGTCTACAGCCTCAGTCCCGGGTCTACAGCCTCAGCCCTGGGTCTACAGCTGAGGTGTTGAGGATAACATAGAGTTGCAGCTGTGTTTAGCTCCATCCACGCTTCTGTCTAATCGCGGTGTTTCAAACCTGTGACAGAGAGCTGGTGCTGCTGCTGGTGGCCGTCTCGTCGCTGCAGTTGTTTGCTCAGAGCAACTGGACCGGACCTGATCTGGACCTGGAGGACTCAGACCTGCTGCCACTTGCACTACGGACCACACAGGTACTTGACGGCTCTCTGGTCTGTCTAACTGGTCTCTCTCTGGACTCTTTCTGGTCTCTTTCTAGTCTCTCTCTCTGGTCTCTCTGGTTTCACAGTGGTGTGTCTTCAGGTCAGATCTTCAGTCCTGGCCTCTCTCCTCCTGGATGGGGAGAGTGTGTACCCTCTGGTCTCCAATCCTCTGCTCCTGCTCCTCTCCAGAGTTCTCCTCAGCTCACTCTGCTCCTCTGGATCTCTGCAGGTAATGTCTCTGGACAAACCAACAGTGCACCTGTTTATAGCTTTAGGTTTATGTGAGAAACCTGCTAAAAGTCTCCCTCTCTCGGGTCTCTCTCTCTGTCTCCCTCCCTGGTCTCCGTCTCTCTCCTTGGTCTCCGTCTCTCTCTCTCTCTGGTCTCTGCCTCCAGCTGGTTTCCTGGTGGACTCTGCGCTGTCTCTCTCTCCATCAGCAGATCCTGGAGGCCTGTTCCCCTCAGCTCCTGTCAGTCGCCCAAAGCTGCATCACAGCAGGTCAGAATCATGTGTCTCTGGTCTCGCTCTGGTCTCTGTCCCATGTCTCTCGCTCACGTCTCGCACTTGTCTCTCGTTCTCTCTCTCGTTTTCACTTGTCTGTCTCTCTCTCCTGTCTATATCTATTTTAATTTTAAATTTATTCCTTAGAAGTGTTTTTTATTCTCTTTCTGACTGTGGCACCGAGCCAAAGCAATTTCCAAGTCTGTGACCTCCTGTTACTTACGTGGCAATAAAAATGATTCTGATTCTCTCTTGTCTCTCTCTCGTGCTGTAGTTCTCTTTTGGGAGCTAAAGCTGTTCAGTCATCTTCATTTTCACTTGTCTCTCGTGTCTCTCTCGTCTCTCATGTGTTTCTCTTGACTCTCTTGTCTAACGCGTCTCTATCTCTTGTGTTTTTCCCAGTGGAGCAGTGTGATCTGCTGCAGCCGCATCAGCTCAGTCTGCTGCTTCAGTTCCACCTGGAGTGTGTTTACATAAACCTGAATTATTACGAGTTCTCAGAAGCCAAGAGGCACATGAGGAGAGCAGAGGAGCTGTCGGGACTGAGGGTGCAGCCCACCGGTAACGAACACGCAGACAGACAGACACACACACAGAGACACACACACACATAAACACGCAAACAAGTGAAAGGAGAGCACCACCCTCACTCGCCCAATCAGCTCTCGGCTCAAAGAGTGGAATAGTGACTCTCAGGGCTGTGTCTTCTTCAGGTGTTCTTGGTAAACGAACTCGGTTCCAGCAGAAGAGTTTGGCGCAGCTTGTGCTTCAGGTGACGCGGAGCAGCGAGGCGCCTGATTGGACCAAAAGCGAGGCATGCCCCGCCCCCACACCTGTCGATCAGCTGCCCAAGGTCAGTCCCACTGGTCCCTGTCTCCAACAGCATCATAACTGCTGGTACAATCTCTCTCTGGTCTCTCTCTCTGGTCTCTCTCTCTGGTCTCTCTCTCTGGTCTCTCTCTCTGGTCTCTCTCTCTGGTCTCTCTAAGTCCCGTACCCCAGCTTTAATGACCTCTGACCTCTCAGGACTGTGATCTGAACGATGACACTCGTCTGGAGCAGATCTCTCTGGAGGATCCTGAGGAGATCCACCTCCCACAGCTGAGCGCCGAGGAGCAGGGCGTGGTGCTGGGGCTTTGGTGAGAGCCCCCCCCCCTCTGAGTCCCCCCCCTCTGTGTGCTATACCAATAACCTTGTGTTTGCAGCACAGACTTCCAGAAGAACAACCCTCAGCACAGACTGACTGAGGAGGAGCTGCTGACCTTCACTACGGTCAGTGTCTCACACCAGCAGCTCTGTTTGTTTTTAAATCTATCAAATCTATTTGTATATAATATAAAATATATGCATAAAGATTTCATCCACAGTGCCCTTCACTTTTATCATGTTTACAAAAGAAGATTTTAAAGATTTTGAAAGAGAATAAGAATATTTGTATGTTCTCTCTGGTTTCTCTCTCTCTGTGGTCTCTCTCTCTGTCTCTCTCTGTGGTCTCTCTCTCTGGTCTCTCTCTCTCTGGTCTCTCTCTCTCTGGTCTCTCTCTCTGTGGTCTCTCTCTCTGTGGTCTCTCTCTCTGGTCTCTCTCTGGTCTTGCAGGTCTTACTATTGCAGCCTCAGTTCTGGTCTGTGGAGGTGTGTGGTCTGATGCTGAGGACGCGGCTGGAGCGAGGGCAGCGGCGGTGTGTGGAGAGAGCCATGACGCAGACACAGGTTTGTGCGCTGGTTAAAGGGCGGGTGTGTAAATGTGGCTGCTCATGGTTGTGTCGGGGCGCTCTTCTTCTCAGGTGCTGGTGGATTATTTCAACAGTTCCATCTGCTCTGCGCCTGAACGACTGAAGATGTTCTATGTGTGTCGACCGCCGCCAAAGTGGACTGTTCAGGTGGAACTATATGTACTATACTGCCACTGGTCTCTCCCTCTGGTCTCCCACTGGTCTCTCCCACTGGTCTCCCACTGGTCTCTGGTCTTCCTCTGATCTCTGATGGTTCATAGTCCTGGTCTCTCTGTAGAAAACCCTGGCCTCTCTCCTGGTGGATCTGGGCTGCACCAGCTCAGCTCTGCTCACGTTTGAGAAGCTGCAGATGTGGGAAGAGGTGGTGGTCTGTCTCGAGAGACTGGGACAGCACGGCAAGGTTAGTCCTGCTTTAGACCCGTTTTAGAACTGCTTTAGATCTGCTTTAAACCTGGTCAGACCTGGTTCTCTGTCCCCAGGCGGAGCAGATCCTGAGGAGAGAGCTACAGGTCCAGGAGACCCCCAGCCTGTGGTGTTTGTTGGGGGACGTTTTGAGGGAGCATGAGTTCTATGACAGAGCGTGGGAACTGTCCAAACAGCGCTCTGCCAGAGCCATGCGCTCCAAGGGTCTGCTGCACCTGCAGCAGCATGAGATGGACCTGTGTGTGCGCTGCTTCCAGGAGTCTCTGCGCATCAACAGGATGCAGGTACAGCTTGGTCTGTCTCTGGTCTCTCTCTGGTCTCTCTCTGGTCTCTCTGGTCTCAGGCTTCTGATCTCTGGTTTCAGCTCGGTCTCTGGTTCTCTCTGGGGTGTGGATATCTGACTCTGGAGAACTATGAAGGAGCAGCAGAAGCGTTCCAGTCATGTGTGTGTCTCGAACCAGACGTAAGAAATCGCTCTACAGAGCTCTGAGTGCAGACGCTGCTCCCGCCTCCATATCTGTTTCATCCATATTTTCTACTGAAGATATAATTTCACATTTAACACATTAATATAATGTTACAGAACGCTGAGGCCTGGAACAACCTTTCCACAGCCTACATCCGACTGAAGAAGGAGTGAGTGCTCTCCCTCTGGTCTCTCTCATTCTGGTCTCTCTCTCTGGTCAGACCATAACCTCCCCTCTCTCTCTCAGTTACAAAGCCTTCCTCACGCTGCAGGAGGCGCTCAAGTGTAACTTTGAGTCGTGGCAGATCTGGGAGAACTTCCTGTTGGTGAGCACCAACGTGGGCGGTTTCCAGGACGCCATAAGAGCTTACCACCGCCTGATGGACCTACGGGACGCCTACAAGGACACCGAGGTGAGACGCAGGACTGAGGCCATAGACCCAGGACTGAGGCCATAGACCCAGGACTGAGGCCATAGACCCAGGACTGAGGCCATAGACCCAGGACTGAGGCCATAGACCCAGGACTGAGGCCATAGACCCAGGACTGAGGCCATAGACCCAGGACTGAGGTTAACCCTCTCCTCTGGCAGGTCTTGTCGTACCTAGTGCGTGCGGTGGTGGAGGACCTGCCGGACAGACAGGGGGCGCCCTCCTCGGTGCTCAAGCCCAAACTGAAGGAGCTGATGGGCAGAGTGAGCGCGCGGCACAGCAGCGACGCAGACGTGTGGGCGCATTACGCCAAGCTGTACGGCGGGGGCGCCAGCGAGAGCCCAGAGGACAACCACAAGGTGAAACTGCTGGCAGTTAAACTACTACTGCAGGTGTGGCTGCAGTAGTAGTTTATTGTCTGTGTGTTACTCTTCTGAAGCATTACAGATACTTGTTGTGTGCTCTTACTCCTGTCAGTGCACTGCAACACTGACATTTCCCTCTGTTCCGGTTCAGGCTCTCCAGTTCTTGTCTAAAGCTCATCGCTGTGAGACGCAGAAAACCAACTGGCACCAGGACCCTGTGCTGTTCAGAGGAGTCCTGCAGAGGGCGCTGTCCATGGGCCAAGGTCTGTGACTGTCATCTCTAACCCCCGACCTGTGACCTCTGACCCTCTGTGTCCTTCCAGTGAGTCTGTCGGTGTCTCGGTCCAAAACCTCCTCTGAAGCTCTGCAGATCCTGTCCTCCAGCCGCCTCAGCCTCAACAGCCTGCTGTCCAAGGCCAAGGTACCAGAGGGGGAGAGAGAGACCAGAGGGGGGGGGAGAGAGAGACCAGAGGAGGGGAGAGAGAGACCACCTTGGTCCTGGTTCTATTCAGGCCGAGATGGTACTAAGTGTTCCAACTGACAGTGAGGAAGCTATGGTTACCAAGGAATTTCCCTGGATACTGGTTTGTTGAGGGGAGGTTGCTAGGATACGGTACCAGATACTGAAGCATTGGTTCTATTCGAGGTCTGTAAAATATATAAATAGAAAAATATATAATTTACGGATAAACGAGATGAGTAGAATAAGAGATGCTCACGATGAGCAACAGCACAAACCGTCCACAGGAGGGCGCCCTAACACTCACTGTTTATATAGGGCATACTGAAGTCTACAGTTAAGTCTTGTCATAGCGTAATGGGCAGTCTTTTCCATTTACAAGGAGCACTGGGAGAAAGTAGAGACCTTCCTGTCTCTGACCTGTGACCTGCAGCAGCTGACCTCTGACCCCTCCTCTCTCCTGCAGCAGCTGCACTGTGACCCCGCCAGTGGAGAGGTCTGTGAGGAGCTGAAGGACGAGCTAACCACGCTAGCTCAGCTCATCACACAGATCCATGAAGAGAGCGCCACCCTCAGGAGCCAATCACAATGAAGAGGCAGCAACAGCCAATCAGAGAGCAGCTCACAGACTGAGCAGGAAGTGACCGCACCAGCAGGAAATCATGGAACCATCTGAATTCTTGAACATGAATGTTTACCTGAAGGATGATGACCAGACTATACAGATGGACAATGCTAACTCGCTAGCTCAATGAAACCCAATAGGGAAGTGCTCATGGTGGAGTTTGGCTCTTCTCTCTGGCTCCTATTGACCTCCATGTAAAAGCTCTCCTAGCTCAGCAATGTTTGTGTGACATCATTATAGGCTTTAATCTGATTTATCGCCCTCTGTGATCCTGCTGTTTATATTTGATATTGTTTTTGTAAATCTAGATATGACCATATAAGGACCGACCAATCAGAGACCTTCATTTAGGGGGGGGTGGGGGGGGACTCCAGCTCACCATAGCAACTGTCGTCTAAACAAATGCCCATATAAGGAAACTGGCTCCAGCTTATGTCCCCTCCTCAGTCTGTGGACAGTTCTGTACCTTTAATGACCTTAAAGGAAAACTAAACACCTGTGCCCAGCCTGACTCCGCCCACATGAACATTAGACATTTCTCTTTAAAAAGGGCGTCGTCTGGAGGACCATGGTAGAAGAAGGGGGGCTTAGAGCTGGGCGTGGTCTGGGCTGTGATTGACGGCTCACTTGTCACAAGATAATTGTAGAGCTACACACCTGAACCTAAGCCACAGAATTATCTCGGCAGTACTGGCGGTAAACTGATGTAATTTACTTTAATCACACTAGATGTCGCCAGAACTCCAACTCACTACACGGCGTGCATGAGATTTGGATGCAAAGAGACGTCAGACTATACAAATCAACGTCATACGTCACACCAGTGTCAATGTAGAGGCCGGGCACCCAAATGTAGTGCCATCAAACGTAGAGAGGGTGCCACACAGACGGTTTTAGGCTCAAAAACAAGTTGATTTGGTGTTTATTTGTCCTTTAAAAGTCCCATACTTCTCTTCCTCGTGTCACATCCTCAGATACACTCCAAAGCTTGAGGAATCCAACAGAACAACTACTTTGGGCCAAATTCCTTTTAATGATGATTAAAGCAGAGAAAAGTCGAAACGTGATGATCTTTAAAAAAGCAATTTGTAAGATTTTCATGTCAAGTCATCATTAAACCGCCCTAATCTGTCAAAAGGCATTAATTAATCAATATTAATTATGAATACTTCTTTGACTGAGAAAAGTAGTTCAGAGATATTTGAATTTCAAAATAAATGTTACAGTCCCTGAATCTTATTGTTTTCATTTGGATGTCCCGCCCTCCATTTCATCAATCAGAAAGTCTGTGTCCAGAACTAACCGCCTCGAGCTAATCTCACTGGTAAAGTACCATGTGGCCGCAAAACTACAGTGTCATGTTTGGAGGGATCAGGGAAGCCTCTGTGAAAAAGGTGTTGGTTATAGTCTATTCAGCTGTTATGGTCTGTCACTCCCGGATTCGTCCCGGGAACCGGATTCGTTCGGAAGTTCAGTTTGCGCATGTCAAAAAGTCCTTAAGTGCTGACTGGTTAAGTTTAGGCGTCTGAGTAAGATGGTTAAGGTTAGGGTTAAGGTGGTCTGAGTAAGATGGTTAAGGTGGGTTGGGGTTATTTTATGGGAATATCTGGTGAAGTTTAGGCATGAATAGGTAATTTTTTATATTTACTTCCGCTTCCGTCCAGATTCCGTGACGTGATCTGCTGCGTATGCTCATTGGATCAAACTGAACTTCCGGACGAATCCGGTTTCTGGGACGAGTACGGGAGTGACACGGTCCCAGCTGGATTCGTCTGCATATCTGGCAACCTGAGTCAGGGACAGTGGGAGAGGCTGCAGTACCACATGTCAGCCACAGCTGACAGACTGCACTTCCTAATTTTTCTACACCACAATAAAACATTTCAAACCAGTTCATAAGATGTGTGTGTGTCTCTCTGTGTGTGTCTGTCTCTGTGTGTGTGTTTGCTGCTGCGTCCAAATCTACATGACCACAGTCGTTTATCTGAGCGACATCACTGGTGGTACCATCACCTCTTTGATACCAGCATCTCTAGTACAGAAGACCAGGCAGCAGCTGCACCAGGAATCTGAAACTCCTCAGACTGCAGCAGATCTACTGTGCTACAGGAGTCTGTGTTCAGAGTACAGTCTGACAGCGTGTTCGGAGTACAGTCTGACAGCGTGTTCGGAGTACAGTCTGACAGCGTGTTCGGAGTACAGTCTGACAGCGTGTGCGGAGTACAGTCTGACAGCGTGTTCGGAGTACAGTCTGACAGCGTGTGCGGAGTACAGTCTGACAGCGTGTTCGGAGTACAGTCTGACAGCGTGTTCGGAGTACAGTCTGACAGCGTGTGCGGAGTACAGTCTGACAGCGTGTGCGGAGTACAGTATGACTGTGTTCAGAGTACAGTCTGACAGTGTGTTCAGAGTACAGTCTGACAGTGTGTTCAGAGTACATTCTGACAGTGGCTGGTGGAGTGGGGACAACACTGAGGAGCAGAGAGAGGAGTGGTTCATGAACACTTGTTATGTTTTTCTTTGACTAAAATCAAACTAAAGACAGATGTTGGTTACCTGTTAAAGCTCAGGTCTGTAACTTCAGCCTCATCAATAACACATGTTTAAAGCTCAGGTCTGTAACTTTAGCCTCATCAATAACACTTGTTTAAAGCTCAGGTCTGTAACTTTAGCCTCATCAATAACACTTGTTTAAAGCTCAGGTCTGTAACTTTAGCCTCATCAACACTTGTTTGAACAAAGAGTTTTAAGTAAACGAACTGTGACAGATGTTTTAACAGTTCCATTGTTTTGGTCTGAAAGTTACGTACCCCAGCTTTAAAGCCTCTCAGGGGAAGGTCTGACAAGGAGGGAGCGCGCCTGAATGTGCGTGTGAGTGTGCATTTGAGCGTGCGCTCGGAGCAGCTGTGGCCCCGCCCCCCTGCGTCACGTCTGGAGGCTGAAACTTTGGGAACTGAAGATCTGGACCTAGATCAGTCCGGCGGTGGTCCTTCTGTAGTTCTGGTTCAGACCTGCTCCTGACAAAGTTTAGACCTGGTCTTTTGTCCTGATTCAGACCCGGTTCAGTCCAGCTCCAGGCCCGGGATGTGTGCGCGCTGATCGCTCAGAATGGCTCCTCTCTCGCTCGGACTTTTTTTCTTTCTCTCGGTTCTTCTCAAATCGTGGACGCGCGCGGAGCAGACGAGCGCGTTCACGCGGGTTTACGTGGTTCAGCCCGGGCACGCGCACGGGGACGCGCTCCGGGTCAGTACCATCGCCACGCACGCGCACAGCCGCACGCGCAGGATGGGCACTCAACAGACGCACAAGCACGTGCTCAAGACGTCAGGGTGAGCGCGCACGACTCACACTTCAGAACCAGAACTGGACCAGGACTGAGACTTTAGAACATTTGGACCAGAGTGGGCCTTCCCCTGGTCTCCTCCTGGTCTTTCCCTGCTCTCTTCCTGGTCTACCCCTGATCTCCTCCTGGTCTCCTCCTCTCCTCCTGGTCTCCTCCTGGTCTTCCCCTGGTCTCCTCCTGGTCTCCTCCTGTTCTCTTCCTGGTCTTCCCCTGGTCTCCTCCTGGTCTACCCCTGGTCTCTTTCCTGGTCTCCTCCTGGTCTTCCCCTGGTCTCCTCCTGGTCTCCTCCTGGTCTCCTCCTGGTCTCCTCCTGTTCTCTTCCTGGTCTACCCCTGGTCTACCCCTGGTCTTCCCCTGGTCTCCTCCTGGTCTACCCCTGGTCTCTTTCCTAGTCTCCTCCTGGTCTTCCCCTGGTCTTCCCCTGGTCTCTTTCCTGTTCTCTTCCTGGTCTACCCCTGGTCTCCTCCTGGTCTTCCCCTGGTCTTCCCCTGGTCTTCCCCTGGTCTCCACCTGGTCTTCCCCTGGTCTTCCCCTGGTCTCCTCCTGGTCTCCTCCTGGTCTTCCCCTGGTCTTCCCCTGGTCTCCTCCTGGTCTACCCCTGGTCTCTTTCCTGGTCTCCTCCTGGTCTTCCCCTGGTCTCCTCCTGGTCTTCCCCTGGTCTCCTCCTGGTCTTCCCCCGGTCTCCACCTGGTCTCCTCCTGGTCTTCCCCTGGTCTCCTCCTGGTCTTCCCCTGGTCTCCTCCTGGTCTTCCCCTGGTCTCCACCTGGTCTTCCCCTGGTCTCCACCTGGTGGGAGAGGCCTCACAACATCAGCCGGACGAGCAGCAGCTCTACTCCGATCCCCTCCCATGTGCTTGAGGTTCTTCCCCAGTGCTAATGACATAAGTTCAGAGCTCTGACTGCAGACGCTGCTCCCTACTCACCACAACAGTTTGATGTAGTGAACGCATCACTGCAGAGAGAGTGGTTCTGACCTGGTCTAGTCCTGGTCTAGTCCTGGTCTAGTCCTGGTTCCGGTCTAGTCCTGGTCTAGTTCTGGTCTCTCTTTCAGGGTGAATGTCTGTGGAGGTCAATGCTGTCACGGCTGGAGCGCGACTCAGGGCTCCAACAGGTGCATCACACGTGAGTCCCACTGTCCCTGCAGACACCGCTCAGACCACAGAGACCACCCAGACCACAGAGACCACAGAGACCCTGCAGACACCGCTCAGACCACAGAGACCACCCAGACCACAGAGACCACAGAGACCCTGCAGACACCGCTCAGACCACAGAGACCACCCAGACCACAGAGACCCTGCAGACACCGCTCAGACCACAGAGACCACAGAGACCACAGAGACCCTGCAGACACCGCTCAGACCACAGAGACCACAGAGACCACAGAGACCCTGCAGACACCGCTCAGACCACAGAGACCACAGAGACCCTGCAGACACCGCTCAGACCACAGAGACCACCCAGACCACAGAGACCACAGAGACCCTGCAGACACCGCTCAGACCACAGAGACCACCCAGACCACAGAGACCACAGAGACCACAGAGACCCTGCAGACACCGCTCAGACCACAGAGACCACAGAGACCCTGCAGACACCGCTCAGACCACAGAGACCACAGAGACCCTGCAGACACTGCTCAGACCACAGAGACCACAGAGACACCATATTACTAGGATATGAAGGATTTATACTTGTTTCTTATTATTCCAAAGGCAGAGATTTTATACTTATTTATTGCCTTTAAGTCACTTGGGTTTTTTTCTTATAAAAGAGTTATTGTTCACTTGTGCTGTGTGCTCCTCATTCCTACTGTAACACACACAGAGGGATGGGGCCCTCGATGCCGCTTGCAGCTGTAACCCTCCTCTCTCTCTGCAGCCAACTGTTTCCCTCGGTGTCAGAACGGAGGGATGTGTCTGAGGCCTCAGCTCTGCGTCTGTAAACCCGGGTCCCAGGGCCAGTCCTGCCAAGTACAGACCCAAGACCAAGGTCCGGACCAGACCCGGAACCAAGATCCAGACCAGACCCAAGTCCACTCCAACAAAGTCCAAACGGAAGTCCAGACTCCTGTGGTCCCACAAAGACCCATCCCACAACAGGTCCTCCCCCATGGACTGGTCCAAAGCCAGACCCAGGTCCAGACCCAGGTCCAAACCCGAGTCCAAACCCGGGTCCAGACCGGATCTGGACCCATGAAGATCTCTATGAAGCCGCAGTACGTTCAGCACCAGTGAGTCCCACATTCTGATCCTGTCTCTCTGACTTCTCTGACTTCTGAGGCTAAGCAGGGCAGGGCCTGGTTAGTACTGTGATGGGAGACCTCAGGGAACACCAGATGCCACAGTGGGGCGGCTGTAAAGTGTTTGTGTCCTTAGGCAAGACACTTCCCCCACATTAGAGTGAGTCTGGTATGTGTGAATGGTTGGTGGTGAGAGATGGTACAGAGGGGTTGCCTTGCTCCCGTCAGTGTGCCCCTGGGCAGCTGTGGCTACAGTAGTACCACCACCCTGAAAGGAGTTTGAAATGGTTTGTATGTATGAGTGTGTATGTGTGTGTATGTGTGAGTGTGTGTGTATGTATGAGTGTGTGTGTATGTGTGAGTGTGTGTGTATGTATGAGTGTGTGTGTATGTGTGAGTGTGTGTATTGTCGGTGGTGAAGTGGGTAACATTCTTGACTCAGGACCAAGAATGTGCACAAGACTCTGAGGAAACGATCGAACATGGATCAGATTTCACACAAATACAACAGACCTGAGGCTGTGTTTAGCCCCATCCAGGACTGAGGCCGTAGACCCAGGACTAAAGCTGTAGACCCAGGACTGAGGCCGTAGACACAGGACTGAGACCATTACGTAACTTCGTCTTTCTGAGAAAAAAGCTAAAAATGTGGATAAAAAGCAGCTGTTTTTGGATCTGTTTGAGTCTGAAGTGATCCACAGGAAATGAAAACAGAGGAATGAGGTCAGAACCAGGACTGAACCAGGACTGAACCAGGTCCGGGTTTCAGTTCTGAGTTCGGCTCTTCAGGTTAAAAGCGTCTGCAGCTGTTGTCTCTATGTTTAGGCTTTGTCCTGTGTGTGTCTCTCTCTCTGTGTGTGTGTGTCTCTCTCTCTGTGTGTGTGTGTGTCTCTCTGTGTCTGTGTGTGTGTGTCTCTGTGTGTGTGTGTGTGTGTGTGTGTGTGTGTGTGTGTGTGTGTGTGTGTGTGTGCGCGTGTGTGTGTGTGTGTGTGCGTGGAGGTCACACACACAGGATGTGATGTCACGTCTGGCGGTGACAGCAGCTGTTTTGTCTCAGTGCGAGTTTGGAGAAAAACACGACAAATATGGAGCTCCAAGAGAAAGAGTCTTTTGAGTCACTATTTGACTCTTTGGGCTGAGAGACCAGAGGGAGATGTTTTATTATTATGAGTTCCATTGTTGTGGTATGAAAGTTTTGTACCCCAGCTTTAAAGCAGAACATTTAGTCTGAATGGAAACAAATGGAATAAGAGATGACGAGTGAGAGCATTATCGCCCTCTGGTGGTGGAAGTGTGAGTTTCGCGCTCACTCACACATGGTTCATACTCCCTCACACATGGTTCATACTCACTCACACATGGTTCATACTCACTCACACATGGTTCATACTCCCTCACACATGGTTCATACTCACTCACACATGGTTCATACTCACTCACACATGGTTCATACTCACTCACACATGGTTCATACTCACTCACACATGGTTCATACTCCCTCACACATGGTTCATACTCACTCACACATGGTTCATACTCACTCACACATGGTTCATACTCACTCACACATGGTTCATACTCACTCACACATGGTTCATACTCCCTCACACATGGTTCATACTCACCACTCACACATGGTTCATACTCACTCGCACATGGTTCATACTCCCTCACACATGGTTCATACTCACTCGCACATGGTTCATACTCACTCACACATGGTTCATACTCCCTCACACATGGTTCATACTCACTCACACATGGTTCATACTCACTCACACATGGTTCATACTCACTCACACATGGTTCATACTCACTCACACATGGTTCATACTCACTCGCACATGGTTCATACTCACTCACACATGGTTCATACTCCCTCGCACATGGTTCATACTCACTCGCACATGGTTCATACTCCCTCACACATGGTTCATACTCCCTCGCACATGGTTCATACTCACTCGCACATGGTTCATACTCCCTCACACATGGTTCATACTCCCTCACACATGGTTCATACTCCCTCACACATGGTTCATACTCACTCACACATGGTTCATACTCCCTCACACATGGTTCATACTCACTCGCACATGGTTCATACTCACTCGCACATGGTTCATACTCACTCACACATGGTTCATACTCACTCACACATGGTTCATACTCATCTTTGTTTCCCCAGGATTCGCTCCACTCCAATGTTCCCAGGACAGTTCCTCCTGAAGCCAAAGTACTACCACAGCAGCCCCTCCTCCCCCTCCCACACCCCTGGCCTCCCCAGCGGGCACCCGGACAGAGCCATCCCCCTCTCCGTCGCTCCACACTACGGTGAGTCCTGCTCGTCTTCTTCATCTTCACAGGGAGAGAACAGAGGGAGACTCATAAACCAGGACTGAGGCTGTAGACCCAGGACTGAGGCTGTAGACCCAGGACTGAGGCTGTAGACCCAGGACTGAGGCTGTAGACCCAGGACTGAGGCCGTAGACCCAGGACTGAGGCCGTAGACCCAGGACTGAGGCCGTAGACCCAGGACTGAGGCCGTAGACCCAGGACTGAGGCTGTAGACCCACCCTTGTGTCAGGAGGATGATTTGAAATCTAATTCTTGACCTGGTACCATCCTGGTTCCATCCTGGTTCAAACCTGGTTCAGTCCTGGACTGAGCTCTGGTCCAGACAGTAGCCACTCTGGGCTGTGTTTCAGCAAAACACTTTTCCAGATGTGCCCTGACCACAGCAGAGCAAGACCAGAGGGAGACCTAAGCTCCCTGGTCTCTCTCTGGTCTCTCTCTCTGGTCTCTTTCTCTGGTCTCTCTCTGGTCTCTTTTGTCTCTCTCTGGTCTCTCTCTTTGGTCTCTCTCTGGTCTTTCTCTCTGGTCTCTCTCTCTGGTCTCTCTCTCTGGTCTCTCTCTCTGGTCTCTCTGGTCTTTATCTCTGGTCTTTCTCTCTGGTCTCTCTCTCTGGTCTCTCTCTGGTCTCTCTCTCTGGTCTCTCTCTCTGGTCTGTCTCTCTGGTCTCATATGGTCTCTCTCTGGTCTCTATTTCTCTGTTTCTAACCATGTCTCTTGTCTCAGGGGGGAACCAGAGCGGCAGGATAAAGGTGGTCTTCACTCCGACCATCTGTAAGATGAGCTGTGTGGGCGGAGCCTGCAGAAACACCTGTCGCCAAGGCAACACCACCACCATCATCAGCCAGAATGGGCACGCCACAGACACACTCACCGCCCCCAACTTTAGAGTGGGTAAGACCAGAGAGAGTCCAGAGAGAAAGACCAGAAAGAGAAAGAGAGACCAGAGAGAGAGAAAGACCAGAGAGAGAGAGAGACCAGAGAGAAAGACCAGAGAGAGAGAGAGACCAGAAAGAAAGACCAGAGAGAGAGATGTAAAACCGTTTTCTCAAACATGAGGGTCGGCTCCTGTGCCTCAGTGTCTGTTTGCACATTTTTTCTCAGTATTTCCCATAATCCTCGGGGTGTGGTCTGGTCCTGGTCTGGGACAGGTCTGCACTTGCTGGGTCCCTGTAGTTTTAGCTCCTGAGTCTGACGTCTGAGAATCAAAGACTCTTTGAACTTAAGACTTGGTTCAGACCTGGTTCAGACCTGGTTCAGACCTGGTTCAGATCTGGTTGAGACCTGGTTGAGACTTGGTTGAGACCTGGTTCAGACCTGGTTCAGACCTGGTTCAGATCTGGTTCAGACCTGCTGGTTCAGACCTGGTTCAGACCTGGTTCAGACCTGGTTCAGACCTGGTTCAGATCTGGTTGAGACCTGGTTGAGACTTGGTTGAGACCTGGTTGAGACCTGGTTGAGACCTGGTTGAGACCTGGTTCAGACCTGGTTCAGACCTGGTTGAGACCTGGTTCAGACCTGGTTCAGATCTGGTAGAGACCTGGTTAAGACTTGGTTGAGACCTGGTTGAGACCTGGTTGAGACCTGGTTGAGACCTGGTTGAGACCTGGTTCAGACCTGGTTCAGACCTGGTTCAGACTTGGTTCAGACCTGGGACAGACCTGGTTCAGACCTGGTTTAGTTCTGTTATTTTCTAAATGAGAAAGAATCTAAATAAAGGGTCAAAACAAACTTCCCCCAACAAAAGTCTACTTACTGTGAGGGAAGATTGAGAGTATCCAGGACCAGAGAGAGACCAGAGGGAGAGACCAGAGAGAGAGACCAGAGAGAGAGACCAGAGAGAGAGACCAGAGGGAGAGACCAGAGGGAGAGACCAGAGGGAGAGACCAGAGGGAGAGACCAGAGGGAGAGACCAGAGGGAGAGACCAGAGGGAGAGACCAGAGAGAGAGACCAGAGGGAGAGACCAGAGGGAGAGACCAGAGGGAGAGACCAGAGGGAGAGACCAGAGGGAGAGACCAGAGAGAGAGACCAGAGGGAGAGACCAGAGGGAGAGACCAGAGGGAGAGACCAGAGGGAGAGACCAGAGGGAGAGACCAGAGGGAGAGACCAGAGGGAGAGACCAGAGAGAGAGACCAGAGAGAGAGACCAGAGAGAGAGACCAGAGGGAGAGACCAGAGGGAGAGACCAGAGGGAGAGACCAGAGGGAGAGACCAGAGGGAGAGACCAGAGGGAGAGACCAGAGGGAGAGACCAGAGGGAGAGACCAGAGAGTAGCAGTTGTGTTGTTGTGTTGCAGTTGTGTGCCACCTGCCCTGTATGAACGGAGGTAAATGCAGCTCTCGGGACAAGTGCCAGTGTCCGGTCAGTTTCACCGGGAAGTTCTGCCAGCTGCCCTCTCACACAGGGGACCAGGTGCAGTACCAGAGGGGCACCACAGGGGGCGCAGGAGGACAGGTCCACTCCACACACACACTGCCCCTGTCCTACAACGGCCACACACCAGGTACAACACACACACACAAACACACACACACACACACACACACACAGCATGGATCTATTATAAGAACTGTTTTTTGTTAAATCCTACAGTTTTCTGTGGACTTTGAGGAACAGGCTTTTTTGCTGTAGTTGAATAAAGTGTACTTGCACCTCCACTACAGTAGTTGGCAGTGGTGATCTTGTTGTCAAGAGTCAGGAAGTGTCCGTATCTCCCCCTGAAGTGTCCGTGTCTCCCCCGTGTCTTTGACTGAAGTGTCCGTGTCTCCCCCGTGTCTCCCCCTGAAGTGTCCGTGTCCCCCCCTGTCTCCCGTGGTTCCTTAATAATGCATGTTGGTTTTGCACAAAAGTAAAATGTTGTAAACAAATCACAACAGTCCGTCTTGTTTTGTGTTGTTGTTTTTTTGCATTCTTCAGGAAGAGCCCTCTGGGCACGTGCATGAGAGCCACACACATGTGCTTTTTAGTATTTGGTGCAAAGCATCATGGGAGCTCGTCCACTGCACAGAACCGGGAGGACCAGACGATGCCCAAATAAGGGCGAGTTCCGATAATCTTTCGATGCCCATGGGGGGACGCCACTGAGCGCAAACCACTGATTTGAACAGGCCGTCCATCTTGGATCACCGGGGGTTGGTCTGTGAGGCTCATGAGCACGTGCGCTGACATGGGTCCACCTTTGGGGGTGGACCCAGAAAGAATTATTCAATGCTTTTGTATGGCATCATCTTCTTTCCTCTCAAAAACGTTTTTACTGGCTGGTCCAAAAGTGGCTCTTGGCCCAAAGCTAAGTTCCAGATGTGTGTCAAAGCTGAGGGGAGTATAAATCTTTTTGACCAATCTAGTTTAGCCTCTGTGGACTTTTGAAGGCACTTGTTAAATGAATAGGGCTTGTGCAGCTAACATATGCCCAAATGCATTGTTTCAATATTATCCTGCCCCTGCAGCCATTTTGAAACTGCCCACAGAAGGCGAAAGTGGTGGCACATTAGTTTGAACAGTGGAGATAGGCGTGACTACGTCCGTTAATATTTACGGTCTATGGTCTGTCCCTTTTACAACAAGAAGCTAACGCCGTCAGAACAAAGGCTCATATAAGGAAACTGGCTCCAGCTTATGTTCAAACCAGCTTCTAACACTGTGATGTCACACTGTGATGTCACACTGTGATGTCACACTGTGATGTCACACTGTGATGTCACACTGGGGTGATGTCACACTGTGGTGATGTCACACTGTGGTGATGTCACACTGGGGTGATGTCACACTGTGGTGATGTCACACTGTGGTGATGTCACACTGTGGTGATGTCACACTGTGGTGATGTCACACTGTGATGTCACACTGTGGTGATGTCTCACTGTGGTGATGTCACACTGTGGTGATGTAACACTGGGGTGATGTCACACTGTGGTGATGTCACACTGTGATGTCACACTGTGGTGATGTCTCACTGGGGTGATGTCACACTGTGGTGATGTCACACTGTGATGTCACACTGTGGTGATGTCTCACTGTGGTGATGTCACACTGTGGTGATGTAACACTGGGGTGATGTCACACTGTGGTGATGTCACACTGTGATGTCACACTGTGGTGATGTCTCACTGTGGTGATGTCTCACTGGGGTGATGTCACACTGTGGTGATGTCACACTGTGATGTCACACTGTGGTGATGTCTCACTGTGGTGATGTCACACTGTGGTGATGCCACACTGGGGTGATGTCACACTGTGGTGATGGTGGAACACAATGATCATACAAACTTTCTTAAACATAGAAATTGTGCTGTTGCTCTGATTGACAGAGGAGCCTGTTGCTATGGTTACTGCTCTGAGCGGCCATTGTTTTCTCCTTCAGTTCAGAATCCGTCACTGGTGAACGTCCACATCAAACACCCTCCAGAAGCGTCGGTCCAGGTGCACCAGGTGTCCCAGCTGGATCACTATAGCCACACCCCTTCCTCACATGGCCACGCCCCCTCATATCCAGGCTCCTCCCACTCGTATTCCTACAGTTATAAAGTCCCAGTGTCCAAGAACAGCCTGGGACGCTGCTTCCAGGAGACCACAGGGACACAGGTAAGACCCAGACCAGGACTAAACCAGGACCCAGACCAGGACCAGTGTCTCTCTCTCATGTGTGTGGTGTGTTTCTCATATATGTGTGTTTGTGTGTCTCTCTCATATGTGTGTGTGTGTGGTGTGTGTCTCTCTCTCTCATGTGTGTGTTGTGTGTCTGTTGTGTTGTCATAGTGTGGAAAGCTGCTCCCTGGTTTGTCGAAGCAGGAGCAGTGCTGTAACTCCATCGGGACGTCCTGGGGTTTCCACCAGTGCAGCCAGTGCCCCAACAAACCATGTGGGTCCCCCCCTACCCCTAACAAACCATGCACCCCTCCTCCCTCTCACCAACCATGTGCCCCCCCTCCCCCAACAAACCATGTGGCCCCCCTCATGGTTTACCACATGTGATCCATTGTTGCACATTAGAACCTGTTTCTTTTTCTGCAGCAATTCCTCTGATCGAGTGTCCTCCAGGATACAGACGCATCAACACCTCCCACTGCCACGGTCAGACTCTACTCTACTCTACCCTACCCTACCCTACTCTACTCTACCCTACCCTACCCTACCCTACTCTACTCTACCCTACCCTACCCTACCCTACTCTACTCTACCCTACCCTACCCTACTCTACTCTACCCTACCCTACCCTACTCTACTCTACCCTACCCTACCCTACCCGATACTCTACTCTACCCTACCCTACCCTACCCTACTCTACTCTACCCTACCCTACCCCTACTCTACTCTACCCTACCCTACTCTACTCTACTCTACTCTACTCTACCCTACCGTACTGTACTCTACTCTACTCTACTCTGCCCTACTCTACCCTACCCTACTCTACTCTACCCTACCCTACCCCTACTCTACTCTACTCTACCTACCCTACCCTACCCTACTCTACTCTACTCTACTCTACTCTACTCTACTCTACTCTACTCTACTCTACCTACTCTACTCTACTCTACTCTACTCTACTCTACCTACTCTACTCTACTCTACTCTACTCTACTCTACTCTACTCTACTACTACTCTACCCCTACCCTACTCTACTCTACTCTACCCTACTCTACCCTACCCTACTCTACTCTACTCTACTCTACTCTACCCTACTCTACTCTACTCTACTCTACCCTACCCTACTCTACTCTACTCTACTCTACTCTACCGTACTCTACCCTACCCTACCCTACCCTACTCTACTCTACTCTACCCTACTCTACTCTACTCTACTCTACTCTACTCTACTCTACCCTACTCTACTCTACTCTACTCTACTCTACTCTACTCTAAACTGTTCTGCTTGATGTTTATTATGTATTTTTGGAATGCACTGCTCTCATTAGAGCTATCTCTTTCTGGTCTCTCGGCTCTCTGGTCTCTCTCTGGTCTCTCTCTGGTCTCTTTCGGGTCTCCCTCTGGTCTCCCTCTGGTCCCTCTCTGGTCTCTCTCTTGGTCTCTCACAGATGTGGACGAGTGCAGGGTTCCTGGTATCTGTCCACATGGTGCCTGTGTGAACTCGGTGGGGAGTTTCCGGTGTTCCTGTGACCTGGGCTTCATGTCTGACCCGAGCCTCACCTTATGTCTACGTGAGTCTGCTGCCTCTGGCTCCACGCGCAGCACGAGCCGTGGAGCCGCATCTGAGCTTTCAAGTACAGCTATTAGCGTGTTCACAGAGACAGAAGAGGACGTGTCTCCTCGTCCGATTTAATTATATAGGACAAGAGTGTTTCGACTTCTGCATGTGACCACAGACACTGCCAGTGTGAGAGCCCTGAGAGTCACAATCAGACACTTTTCTGTCTGAAAAAGATGTTGACCAGGACCGAGACCAGGACAATGACCTGGACCAGGACCAAGACCAGGACCAGGACAGAGACTGGGACCTGGACCGGTGTTCTGTCGAGTTGCGCCGCTTGTCGAGTTGAGCTGCCTCAGCTGTTTATGATGTAATGCCCCATAATGTAATGTAATGCGCGTTTCACGGCAGCCGAAGCAATCCAAGACGGCGGACATAAAGTTTGTGAGTTTAAATACCAACAAATTAAGACACGAATGTCACTTTTAATGCAATTTGAAGCGAGATATTGATGGTTTCATGTTGTGATATGTGGGTTTTAGGAGTCAAAGTATCGTGTAAAGTTTGGTTTAAGCAGTCAACTGCTCCTGAGAAACCACACTGCTGCTGTGTGATAGCAGCACCTGTCCTGTCGAGTTGAGCTGCGGCATACGTCATTTTACTGACTTAGGCTGTGGACGCGTCCTGTGGCTAACTCGACCGCTAATAGCTTCCAACGGAGTTTGGTTATTATTTCCGTTATCAACCCAACCGACTGGTCTGTCAGCTGTTAGGAAAATTACTGCTTAATCCAAACTTTACACGATACTTTGACTCCTAAAACCCACATATAACATGAAACCATCAACATCTCGCCTCAAACTGCATGCACAGGTTGTAACTTTATTGTAACTCTATTTGAATTATTTAATTTATTCCTTAGAAGTGTTTTTCTCTTTCTGACTGTTGCACTGAGCCAAAGACATTTCCAAGTCTGTGACCTCCTGTTACTTACGTGGCAATAAAAATGATTCTGATTTTGAGGTTTGCATTACATAAAAAACAGCTGAGGCAGCTCTACTCGACAGAACACCGGGACCAAAACCAGGACCAAAACTAACCACACTGTTTTAGAGCCATGAGACATGAGTTTATCAGAGTTCTGTTATGGTCTGAGAGTTGCAGACCCCAGCTTTAATCACTCCCAATGTTGTGATTTCAAATAAATCATGTTCCTTCCTCCTCTGTGAACGTGCTGCTAAAACTCTGCGGTGACGTCATTCTCTAATCACAGTCTGAGGCAAAAAGGAGACTACTCTACTCTACTCTACTCTAAATATTCAGACTTTAACATGGTGTTTAAATGTCTGCTTCTGGGCTGTGATTGGTGGATGACCCTGGTGACTGGTCTCATTGGTGAAGGGCCTCTCTCTTTCTCTCTCTCTGTGGTGCAGCCGGTCGCCCCGCCCCCCCTGTGCCCCTCCCAGTGGCCCCCCAGGAGAAGGGCCCCTGTTTCCGCCTGCTGGGGGCCGGGCGTCAGTGTCTTCACCCGGTGCCCAGTCCCCTCAGTCAGGCCCTGTGCTGCTGCAGCGTCGGCAAGGCCTGGGGGCCCCAGTGCGAGCGCTGCCCCTCCCCCGGCACAGGTGAGACCGAGGCCCCTCCCCCATAGGTGAGTTGAGGCCCCTCCCCCCAGACTGAGGCCCCTCCTACACAGGTGAGACAGATTCCTCCCACAGGCTGAAGCCCCTCCCCCACAGGTGACACTTAGGCCCCTCCCTCAGGTAGGACTGCATGATTCTGTCCAATATGTCCAATATTTGTGATATTTCTGTATTTCTGACAACGACTTGAGAAAGACCAGAGAGAGACCAGAGAGCGAGAGACCAGAGGCTCTCAGACTGCTTGGTAACTGCTCATGTGTCTCCTCAGCTAAGTTCAAGGAGATCTGTCCTGGGGGAATGGGGTACACTGTACTCCCGAACCCGGCCCACAGACCTATGGACCCCCAGGAGCCTGTGCAGAGACCTGTGTACCCCCAAGAGACTGTGCAGAGACCCGTGGACCCGCAAGAGCCTGTGCAGAGACCCGTGGACCCTCAGGAGCCCCCAGTCCCACTGCCCACCCCCGAGAGACCGGTGGAGGCCTTTGGTTTCAGTGAGGATCCCCGGCCAGGTCAGTGAACCAGCTCCTCTGTCTGGTTCTGAACACTGTCTTTGGGTTTGGGGTTCTTCTATCAAGACAAAAGTGTATTTTCGTTTGTCTCATTAGAAGAACTCAGCCTCAAACAGAAGGAACTTTATTAACTTTAACTTTCTGTTCAGAGGTGATCGAGAAAACATCTCCTCCAGCTCCAGTAGAGATTCTGCCGACGAACGCAGGACAAGACCTGGCCCCCACACAGTCTGCAGGTCCTGCTGCTGCAACTACTGCTACTACTGCTACTGCTGCAACTACTGCTACTGCTGCTACTGCTGCTGCTGCTACTTCTGCTGCTGCTGCAACTACTGCTACTCCTGCTACTGCTGCTACTGCTACTTCTGCTACTGCTGCTACTGCTACTTCTGCTGCTACTACTGCTACTGCTGCTACTGCTACTTCTGCTGCTGCTGCAACTACTGCTACTACTGCTACTGCTACTGCTACTTCTGCTACTGCTACTTCTGCTGCTTCTGCAACTACAGCTACTGCTGCTACTGCTACTTCTGCTGCTGCTGCTACTGCTGCTACTACTGCTACTACTGCTGCTGCTGATGTGTGTGTTGTTCCTCAGATGTGGACGAGTGTCTCATCAGTCCGTTCCTCTGTGGACCAGGAGTCTGCTACAACACAGTCCAGGGCTTCAGTTGCCACTGTCCCCAGGGGTACGAGGAGGAGGAGGAGAGCAGGAGCTGTACTGGTGAGGAGGTCTCTCTCTTTGGTCTTTCTTTGGTCTTTCTCTGCTCTCTTTGGTCTCTTTCTGGTTGCTCTGTGGGGTCTCTCTGGTCTCTTTCTGGTCTCTCACTCTGATCTCTCTCTGGTCTCTCTCTAGCCTCTTCCTGGTCTCCACACCTGCACAGGTGAAACCAGGGTCAGACAAGTCCAGACTTTATTGGGATCAGAGGTGGTCTTGCCTGGTCTGGCCACTCTCAATAGTCACTTTGTGAGTCCTGGTTCAGACCTGGTTCAGACCTGGTTCAGACCTGGTTGTAATCTGTTTGTGTCAGATGTGGACGAGTGCCTGCAGGACCCCCTCCTGTGCTCCGGAGGGCGCTGCACCAACACCGAGGGCAGCTTCTGGTGCCAGTGTCCGAGTGGCTTCACCGTGGATCAGGATGGTACCAGCTGCGTCGGTGAGTCAGCTAGTACAGACCCAGCTTTGATGTTACAGACCCCAGCTCTAAGCCTCTCTGAAGCAGTTCTTCTGGGTAAAACCTTGGACTGTAGTTTAATAAATGGACCACATTACCCATGATGCACCTGCTCCTGGTCTCCTCCATCTGCAGCTGTGGACAAACCAAACCTGTTATTAGAACAAACACACTCTGAGGTTTGGACCATGTGGCTCTCGTACTGAGGTCTGTGGTCACAGCCGCCTCGGGGCAGATAAATATAAATATGAGTTGTTTTCTGCCTTTTCATTTAGCTTGAGTTTTTCCTGCTGCCAGACCAACAAAGTGATGTGTTTGAACGTCTCTCGTCTCTGTCTGGTCTCTCTGGTTTCTCTCTTTGGTTTCTTTCTCTGGTCTCTCTCTCTGGTCTCTCTCTGGTCTCTCTCTGGTCTCTCTCTGGTCTCTCTCTGGTCTCTCTCTCTGGTCTTTCTCTGGTCTTTCTCTGGTCTTTCTCTGGTCTCTCTCTCTGGTGTCTCTCTGGTCTCTCTCAAGTCTCACTCTGGTCTCTCTCACTGGTCTCTCTCACTGGTCTCTCTCTCTGGTCTCTCTCTCTGGTCTCTCTCTGGTCTCTCTCTGGTCTCTCTCTCTGGTGTCTCTCTGGTCTCTCTCAAGTCTCACTCTGGTCTCTCTCACTGGTCTCTCTCACTGGTCTCTCTCTCTGGTCTCTCTCTCTGGTCTCTCTCTCTGGTCTTTCTCTGGTCTCTCACTGGTCTCTCTCTCTGGTCTCTCTCTCTGGTCTTTCTCTGGTCTCTCTCTGATCTCTCTCACTGGTCTTTCTCTCTACTAGATGTGGACGAGTGCCAGGACAGAACCATTTGTGCCTCTGGAATCTGCTCCAACTCTCCAGGAAGCTTCAGCTGTGGCTCCTGTCCCCCAGGATACGAGGCCCGAGGGGGGGGCTGTGCAGGTACTGTCCCCTCTCAGAACCACTGGGCTGGACTGGGACCAAAAAATGGCCCGGGCCCTTCTTGACGGCCCAGGCGGTTTCGTCTATTTCAGTTTTTTTTTTTACGGTTATTCATACAGTATGCAGAAGCACACACTGTTTATGGATCAGGATGTACTGTTTCAACAATTATAATGAAGTGCAATGATCTACATAGAGAGTAATAAACATGTCCCTCCAGAGTGAGGGAGACAGAACCACAACTATTGTTTGTCACAGGGATGAGGGACATTTCAAAGTCTCAAATGTGTAACGTCAGCGAATGGCTGTCATTAAATCTGTTTGATTTGATCATAACATTTTCATTTTGGGCACAACCAAAACAAACTGTTGATGCGACGGGAAAATGTACGTACCCAAGCTGTGGGTGTACAGTACCTTGCGAAAGTATTCGGGCCCCTTGAACCTTCCAACATTTCGCCACATTTCAGGCTTCAAACATAAAGATATAAAATTTTAATTTTTTGTCATGAATCAACGTCAAGTGGGACACAATCGTGAAGTGGAACGAAATTTATTGGATAATTTAAACTTTTTTAACAAATAAAAAACTGAAAAGTGGGGCGTGCAATATTATTGGGCCCCTTTACTTTCAGTGCAGCAAACTCAGTCCAGAAGTTTAGTGAGGATCTTTGAATGATCCAATGTTGTCCTAAATGACTGATGATGATAAATAGAATGCACCTGTGTGTAATCAAGTCTCCGTATAAATGCACCTGCTCTTTGATAGTCTCAGGGTTCTGTTTAAAGCGCAGAGAGAACCATGAAGACAAAAGAACACACCAGGCAGGTCCGAGATACTGTTGTGGAGAAGTTTAAAGCCGGATTTGGATACAAAAAGATTTCCCAAGCTTTAAACATCTCAAGGAACATTGTGCAAGCAATTATATTGAAATGGAAGGAGTATCAGACCACTGCAAATCTACCAAGACCCGGCCGTCCCTCCAAACTTTCATCTCAAACAAGGAAAAGACTGATCAGAGATGCAGCCAAGAGGCCCATGATCACTCTGGATGAACTGCAGATAACTACAGCTGAGGTGGGAGAGTCTGTCCATAGGACAACAATCAGTCGTGTACTGCACAAATCTGGCCTTTATGGAAGAGTGGCAAGAAGAAAGCCATTTCTCAAAGATATCCATAAAAAGTCTTGTTTAAAGTTTGCCACAAGCCACCTGGGAGACACACCAAACATGTGGAAGAAGGTGCTCTGCTCAGATGAAACCAAAATCGAACTTTTTGGCCACAATGCAAAACGATATGTTTGGCGTAAAAGCAACACAGCTCATCACCCTGAACACACCATCCCCACTGTCAAACATGGTGGTGGCAGCATCATGCTTTGGGCCTGCTTTTCTTCAGCAGGGACAGGGAAGATGGCTAAAATTGGATGGAGCCAAATACAGGACCATTCTGGAAGAAAACGTATTGGAGTCTGCAAAAGACCTGAGACTGGGACGGAGATTTATCTTCCAACAGGACAATGATCCAAAACATAAAGCCAAATCTACAATGGAATGGTTCACAAATAGACGTATCCAGGTGTTAGAATGGCCAAGTCAAAGTCCAGACCTGAATCCAATCGACAATCTGTGGAAAGAGCTGAAGACTGCTGTTCACAAACGCTCTCCATCCAACCTCACTGCGCTCGAGCTGTTTTGCAAGGAAGAATGGGCAAGAATTCCAGTCTCTCGATGTGCAAAACTGATAGAGACATACCCCAAGCGACTTGCAGCTGTAATTGCAGCAAAAGGTGGCGCTACAAAGTATTAGCACAAGGGGCCGAATAATATTGCACGCCCCACTTTTCAGTTTTTTATTTGTTAAAAAAGTTTAAATTAGCGAATAAATTTCGTTCCACTTCACGATTGTGTCCCACTTGTTGTTGATTCTTGACAAAAAATGTAATTTTTACATCTTTATGTTTGAAGCCTGAAATGTGGCGAAATGTTGAAAGGTTCGAGGGGGCCGAATACTTTCGCAAGGCACTGTATATGGTCTAGGGCAGTCGTTCCCAAAGTGGGGGTCCCGACCCCCCGGGGGGTCGCGGGAACCCCTGGGGGGGTCGGAAGATGATTTCCACACACACAAAAAAAAGATTTTTTTTGCTCAAAAAAAAAAGAGTTTTTTTTTTTATATAAAAAAGGGCTTTAAAATATAAAGCCCTTAAATATTTATTTAGCATTTGATTTGATTCAAAAGGACTACTTGTTAAATTGTGTTTGACTATAATATGACTATAATATATTTTAATAACGTTAGTAATTTTGTCCCAGTCATTGCAGCGTCAATCAAAATCATTAGGGGTTGCCCTGCTAACCCTGCGGGTTAGCAGGGCATTTATGATGGGGGTCGCGGGCTAAAAACTTTGGGAACCCCTGGTCTAGGGTACATGGTCCTGTGGGTGTATATGGTCTAGGGTACATGGTCCTGTGGTGTATATGGTCTAGGGTACATGGTCCTGTGGTGTATATGGTCTAGGGTACATGGTCCTGTGGGTGTATATGGTCTAGGGTACATGGACCTGTGGTGTATATGGTCTAGGGTACATGGTCCTATGGGTGTATATGGTCTAGGGTACATGGTCCTGTGGTGTATATGGTCTAGGGTACATGGTCCTGTGGGTGTATATGGTCTAGGGTACATGGTCCTGTGGTGTATATGGTCTAGGGTACATGGTCCTGTGGTGTATATGGTCAAGGGTACATGGTCCTGTGGGTGTATATGGTCTAGGGTACATGGTCCTGTGGGTGTATATGGTCTTGGGTACATGGCCCTGTGGGTGTATATGGTCAAGGGTACATGGTCCTGTGGGTGTATATGGTCTAGGGTACATGGTCCTGTGGGTGTATATGGTCTTGGGTACATGGCCCTGTGGGTGTATATGGTCAAGGGTACATGGTCCTGTGGGTGTATATGGTCTAGGGTACATGGTCCTGTGGGTGTATATGGTCTAGGGTACATGGTCCTGTGGGTGTATATGGTCTTGGGTACATGGACCTGTGGTGTATATGGTCTAGGGTACATGGTCCTGTGGGTGTATATGGTCTTGGGTACATGGCCCTGTGGTGTATATGGTCTTGGGTACATGGTCCTGTGGGTGTATATGGTCTTGGGTACATGGTCCTGTGGGTGTATATGGTCTTGGGTACATGGTCCTGTGGGTGTATATGGTCTTGGGTACATGGCCCTGTGGTGTATATGGTCTTGGGTACATGGTCCTGTGGGTGTATATGGTCTTGGGTACATGGTCCTGTGGGTGTATATGGTCTTGGGTACATGGCCCTGTGGTGTATATGGTCTTGGGTACATGGCCCTGTGGTGTATATGGTCTTGGGTACATGGTCCTGTGGGTGTATATGGTCTAGGGTACATGGTCCTGTGGGTGTATATGGTCTAGGGTACATGGTCCTGTGGGTGTATATGGTCTAGGGTACATGGTCCTGTGGGTGTATATGGTCTTGGGTACATGGTCCTGTGGGTGTATATGGTCTTGGGTACATGGTCCTGTGCGCTGCTGTGTTGTTCTCAAAGCGGCTCACAGCCGCTGGACGCTGGAACCCGTTTGAGTCAAGCCCCGGTGATCCAAGATGGCGCCCTGTTCAAATGAACGGCTTGTGCTCAGTAGATCATGGGACTTCACGGAGACCGGGAGATTAGCGGAACTCGTCTATATTTGGGCATCGTCTGGTCCTCCCGGTTCTGCAGTGGACGAGCTCCCATAATGCTTTGCACTAAATACGCGTGTGTGGCTCTCATGCACGTGCACAGAGGGGCTCGGCAGCTCTCTGACCAATCAGAGCTGCTGATTAGAGCAGCAGCAGAGCGGAGTCAGAGCGGGAAGGACAGGAGCAGAGTTTATGGCACTAAAGTGTGGATTTAAAGGAAACCGAAGTATTTAAGAAGAAAAAAAGTTCAGGACGACAAGAAACACTAAAATCCCCACAAAATCCGATCTTTCTGAAAGCTGAGGTCGAGCTGTTTTAGTTTACATTGAGTTCTATGGGACTTTTTTCTGTGTAGCCCTCGTGAATTTGGTCTGCAGTACCACAGCGCCCCCTGTGGCCATGGGTGGGACAGCTATAAGCTAGTAATACTCTATCCATTTATTATTATAGATCCATGGTTTGAGTACATAGAACAAACAAAAGCAAGTGCCCCGCGGTCCCGCCCCCCTCAAACATTTCTCAACAAGTTTACACAGTACTCTGCAGAATGACAGCATAACGAGTTGTGGAGCTGTGTTTGGGGGAAAGAAGCTCTGACCTCAGAGTTTGTTGCATGGACTGCTCTTTCCTTTTGGAATATGTCCTTGTGAAAAAACGGTGGAAAGAGTCTGCACTGCTCCACAGGGATGAGAGACTCTCTGGTCTCTCTCTTACTGGTCTCTCTGACATATGGTCATGTTTCTGCAGATGTGGATGAGTGTGCAGATTCCTCTGTGTGCACTAGGGGGCACTGTGTGAACACTGACGGCTCCTTCAGCTGCGATTGTGGCCCAGGGTTCAGGCTGTCGCCGACCGGTCACCAGTGCGACGGTAACAAACACACTCTGGTCTCTCTCTCTCTCTCTGGTCTCTGTCGGGTCTCTGGTCTCTCTCTCTGGTCTCTCTCTCTGGTCTCTCTCTAGTCTCTCTGGTCTCTCTCCAGTCTCTCTCTGGTCTCTCTCTGGTCTCTCTCTGGTCTCTCTCTCATCTCTGTCGGGTCTCTGGTCTCTCTCTGGTCTCTCTCTAGTCTCTCTCCAGTCTCTCTCTCTCTAGTGTCTCTCCAGTCTCTCTCTCTCTCTCTCTCTCTCTCTGGTCTCTCGCTCTCTCTGGTTTCTCTCTCCAGTCTCTCTCCAGTCTCTCTCTCTTTCTGGTCTCTCTCTGGTCTCTCTCTCTCTCTCTCTCTCTGGTCTCTGTTGGGTCTCTGGTCTCTCGCCGGTCTCTCTCTTTCTGGTCTCTCTCTTTCTGGTCTCTCTCCGGTCTCTCTCTTTCTGGTCTCTCTCTAGTCTGATGTCCTGTCCTCTTGTCAAAGTCTTGGGATTTGATCTGTCACATTGTGCCCTGTTTGTATTGTGCGATAGAATAAATAAATAGATCTCCCTCCTCTCACAGACGTGGATGAGTGTGTGTCGGCCCCGGGCCCCTGTGGTTCTGTGGGGGACTGTGTGAACTCTGTGGGCTCCTACTCCTGTCTCTGTACCAGTGGCTTCAGGGAAGGACTGGACCAGAGGAACCAGACCAGCTGCACTGGTGAGAGCCACACTGAGACTAAAGCTGGGGTCTCTCTCCCCCAGCTTTAAGGTGTCGGTGTTCCCTGATTTACAGATGTGGACGAGTGCTCCGACCCAGACCTCTGCTCTCCTCACGGGGACTGTATGAACACTGACGGCTCTTATGTGTGTGTGTGCGACAGCGGCTTCACCCCGAGCTCCCACCCAAGCACCTGTGAAGGTACCCCCTCTGTTCTCTCCCTGGTCTCTTGCTGGTCTCTCTCTGGTCTCTTGCTGGTCTCTTGCTGGTCTCTTGCTGGTCTCTTGCTGGTCTCTAGCTGGTCTCTTGCTGGTCTCTTGCTGGTCTCTAGCTGGTCTCTTGCTGGTCTCTTGCTGGTGTCTTGCTGGTCTCTTGCTGGTCTCTTGCTGGTCTCTTGCTGGGTCCCTCTGATGGTTTTCTCTTGCAGACATAGATGAATGTTCCCTGAACGACACTCTCTGTGGACCTCATGGTTTCTGTGAGAACAGAGTGGGATCCTACAGGTGTCTGTGTGACCAGGGATACCAGGAAGGACCCCATGGTCACAGCTGCACTGGTAACACACACGCACACGGTCTTCTCTCTATAATAATACTTTGTCTCTAGATCGAGTGATTTGTGCTATTGTATTATTTCAATGTGACTTTAATGTAAGAGCGGCGCTGTGAGGCGAGCCTCACTTGGGAGACATAGAAGCAACAGCTCACCTCGCGGTTTACAAAGTGCAAACATATTTCTTTTACAATCTACAGTCTGCAGTCAAGGGAATGGGTCATAAATTGTGTTTTTGATACAAATATTGGGTCTTTATCGCGCTCAACCACGGCTTGTAATGTCACCGAGTGAGGCCTGCCTCAGGGGGGCGCTTCTGAGCCCAGAATTCAGCTGCAAAAAAGCAGCTGAAAGCTCCTTTCTTGTTCTTCATCTGCTGAGGGCAGCGACAGGTTTGGCTAACATACATGTAACACATTTAAAGATAATTAGGCCGAGCCAATACGAAGTATTGGGGAGGCCTATTGTTATTCACCGGTTTCATATTATTATTCTTTTTCTTTTTCCGCAACTTCAATTCGATTTTTGACCCTGAAGACATGCACGAAAGTCTGCACATGGGGGGTCTAAAACGACCGGTTCGGCGAAAAATTTGATAAAATGAACGTTTCCAGATTGTCCGACGCTCGCCGACTCTATAACGCCCCCTAGAAATTTCATTTTTTTGGACCCTCTGGGGATTTTTTTTCAAATTTTTGAGTAGGTATACGAAATTCGGATGAGTGATAGATCTCTATGAGACGAGCATAAAAGCCGTTCTAAGCACATGTCTGGGACCAACAGGAAGTCGGCCATGATGGGCCAAAGTTTCGCCACTAATTTGACTTTTCATTTAGAAATTCGAACTAGTCCCTGGTTTTTCATCACACACAGTTCTACCACGTCATTTCCCAATCTGGACGGATTGAAGTTATATAATCATCGAAAAAAAGTTAGAAAATCTTCACCGTTTTTGTCCCTCGCCATGGCGAATAAGGCCTTCGTTTTGGCCATTTTCGCTGAGCCCTGAGGGCCACAGGCTCAGACCTACAGAGCTGAGACTCACATCAGTAATATTAGGTTATGGCCTGAACGCAATGACACTAAAATCATTCGCCCAATTTGAGCTCTTTAGCGCCACCTGTCGGAAAGTAATAGGGCACTAGTGCTCGGATCGGCCCGAAAATCGCTGAGTGTATTCTCTGGACCGAGACGAGCAAAACATTACATTACGCAAAAGTTGTACGTCCCACACCTGACCACTGGGGGCGCCGTAAAGTGAATAGATGAGCTTTTTGGGGCAAAATGTTTGTCCGATGAGGCTAAAAATGGATTCAGAAATACAGCGTATGACCCTGAACACAACGATATACAACACACAACTGTGAGTGCAACAGCGCCACCTACAGGCAGTTCAAGGTGTCGCATTTTTGGCTTCGTACTAGTCCCTGGATTTTCATCGCACAGACTTCTACCATGTCATTTCTCCATCTGGACGGGTTGAAGTTATGCAATCATCGCATAAAAGTTAGAATTTTGTTATCGTTTTCATGCGAGGTAGTGGGGAATTTCTCCATGTTTGATGCTCTCCTGACCACAGGCTCAGACCTACAGAGCTGAAACTCACATCGCTAACAGTTGGTAATGGCCTGAGAGTAATGGTGTGAAAACACACACCTAATATGACTCTACAGCGCCACCTATGTAAGGCTTCTGACCTAAACTTTTCCGATCTTCACCAAAGTTGCAAAATCAAATCTTTACATCTGTACGAGCAAAATACTACTCTACGTAGAGGGTGCATGTCCCGGAGGTGACCACTAGGGACGCACTTTATCATATAAATGAGCTTTTATATACGTAATCCTGGTCAGATCGGGCTGCCAATTCCTCGGTGTGACGCTTGTGGGACTGGCGCCCAGGAGGCGGTCGCAAGAGGGGCGAGGCCTTTCATCGCCGCTTGCGGCTTTAATTTAAATTGTACTTAGGGTAATGTTGTGCTTCCAATGATGATATAAATGATAAGGAAGAGAGGTGAAGGTTGATTTTAGAAATCGGATGCACCCGAGATCCGGCTGGAATGGAGGAGACACCCTTTTGTTTTTACTTTTCAAAACTAATTGGACTTATTTCCATATGGAGGATATCTACGCTCAAACTAATATCTGGACTTAAACATGAAACTGGTCTGAACCGAACTGGTCTGTGCCGTTCAAGGTAAGGCCCATAACCAGTGTTGGGCACGTTACTTTGAAAAAGTAATTAGTTATAGTTACTAGTTACTTCTCCCAAAAAGTAACTGAGTTACTAACGGAGTTACTCCACTATAAAAGTAACTAGTTACCAGTAAAAGTAACTATTGCGTTACTTTTTCATTTTGTTCTGGAACATAATGTGCACTCGACGTGCACATGTTGACCTTTAACCTCAGTGAGTCTGAAATAGTGCCAATATTTCCATCTAGAAAAGACTGTTTTTCTGCTGAAGTCCTGTTCACTCTTCATCTCTCTCTGTGCTGTAAGCACTAAACACCAACACTGTGAATGTGGAAACACCGGTGAAGCACTGACTTCAGCCCAATCAGATGAACATATATATATATATATATATATATATCATATAAATCAAGTGGACAGTTTGTTTGGCTACAGCAGAATATGTTTCATGCATTGTTTGTTCATACAAAATGCAAAAGTAAGAGTTATGGGTCTTACCTTATAAATGACCTGCACAGGCCACTTCTGTTCAGACCAGTTCTGTGTTTAGGTCCAGATAATAGTTTGAGCGTAGATATGTAATCCTCCGTTTGGAAATGAGTCCAATGAGTTTTAAAAAGAAAAACAAAACGCGTGTGTCCTCCATAAACTCCTCTGTTTTGCTAGCGGCAGCCGGGTGCATCCAATTTCTAAAATCAACCGTCTTACACTTCACCTCTCTTTCTTATCATTCCTATAGTCATTGAAAAATTACCCTAAGTGCATTTTAAATTATCTATCTATTATATAGAATGTGTTATATGTATGTTAGCCAAACCTGTTGCTGTCCTTAGCAGATAAACCAGGAAGAGAAAGGAGTTTATCGATGGAATTGTATGCAGCCTTCTGCGCTCACATGAGCTCCTCTGAGGCCTCACGGTGATACAAGCCGTGGTTGAGCGCGATTAAGACCCATATTTGTTTTTAAAAACATAATTTATGACCATCCTCTCAGCTGTAGACATGTAGATTGTAAAGGAAATATGTTTTACATCAGCCAATAATTGCTGAGAGGTTTTCTCATCCTCCTTCTCTTTTTACTATAGGACTGGTGCGCGTTGTCATGAGAGAAGTTCATTGTGCGTCTTGAGTAACGCGCAATAACGGGATGTCGGAAATGATAACGGCGTTATAGTTACAGTCAAAGTAATTAGTTAGATTACTCGTTACTGAAAAAAGTAACGCTGTTATTCCCATCACTGCCCATAACATAACTTTGAAACGGGCTTTTTCATACTATTGCGTTTTGTATGAGCAAACAATGCAGGTATAAAACATAATCTGCTGTAGCCAAACAAACTGAATAAGCCGCTCTGTCGGTCGTGTGGATTTATGTGATATAAGTTCATATTGGGCTGAAGTCAGTGCCACGATCACCGACCGCACGTCACTGGTTGTTGCAGATGTGGATGAGTGCTCTCTCCTGGCCTCTGTCTGTGGAGCTGCTGTCTGTCTGAACGTGGAAGGATCCTTCACTTGCGTTTGTCCCGCGGGTCAAATGTACAACGTGATGATCGCCCAGTGTGAGCCCGCCCCCACAGGTGAGCCCCCCCCAGCCTCCCCCCGCCCACAGGTGAGCCACGACCCCTCAGACACACCCACTCGTACCTGTGTGTATTTTGGAACCATTACTTTAAATGGTGTTTAACATTTTGCAGAATGTCAACTTCAAAAATCTTTCTAACCTCTCCCCCTCCCCTTTGTGCCCCCCCCCCCCCCCCCCCCCCCTCTCCCCTCTCTCCCCCTCTCCCCCCTCTCCCCCCTCTCCCCCAGTGACCTCGGTGCAGAGAAAGGAGTGTTACTTTCGTCTGAATGAGGAGACTCTGTGTGAGAGCGTGCTGACGTCTGCAGTGACTCTGGCAGAGTGCTGCTGTACACTGGGGGCAGGCTGGGGGGACAACTGTGAGGTGCACCCCTGTCCTGTCAACGGCACAGGTACTCTCTCTGGTCTCGCTCTGGTCTCGCTCTGGTCTCGCTCTGGTCTCGCTCTGGTCTCGCTCTGGTCTCGCTCTGGTTTCTCTCTGGTTTCTCTTGGGTCTCTCTCACTCTGTCTCTTTTTGGTCTCATGTGACTGTGTTGTTTCAGATCAGTTTGAGCAGATGTGTCCTTCAGGACGAGGCTACGTTCCAGTGGGAGACTCTCTGTACGGAGTCCAGACCAGGACGGTGTACAGAGGTATCCCATACCCCTGACCCTGACCCTGACCCTGACCCTGACCCTGACCCTTACTCCTGTGTGATGTTTCAGATGCAGATGAGTGTGTGCTGTTCGGTCAGGAGGTTTGTAAAGGAGGATTTTGTCAGAACACTGAAGGAAACTTCGAGTGCTACTGTAAGAGCGGCCAGGACTACGACCCCGAGCTCCTGGAGTGTAGAGGTTAGACCTGCTTTAGTCCTGCTTTAGTCCTGCTTTAGTCCTGCTTTAGTCCTGCTTTAGTCCTGCTTTAGTCCTGCTTTAGTCCAGCTTTAGTCCTGCTTTAGTCCTGCTTTAGTCCAGCTTTAGTCCTGCTTTAGTCCTGCTTTAGTCCTGCTGTAGAGCTGCTTTAGAGACTGACTCTGTTTCTCTGTTTCAGACATAGATGAGTGTGAGGACGAGGCGTTCTGCTCTGGGGGACAGTGTCTGAACACAGACGGATCCTTCATGTGTTTTTGCACCCTCCCTTTAATCTGGGACCAGACACAAAACACATGTGTCCTACTGTCAGACAACTCCGGTACTACTGCTATCCCTACTACTACTACTACACTACTACTACTGCTACTACTGCTACTGCTACTATCACTACTACTACTACTACTACTACACTACTGCTACTGCTGCTATCACTACTGCTACTGCTTACTACTACACTCCTCCCTCCTCTACTGGGTCTTTGGGTTTGGTCCTGGCCTCGGGCCTGGTTTTCTCCTGCTCCTCTCCTGATCCTCACCTGGTCCTCACCTGGTCCTCACCTGGTCCTCTCCTGGTCCTCCACAGATGGTGAGTCAGAGGAGGAGTTCCAGGGCGTGTGTTGGCAGGTGGTGACTGAGGGGATCTGCTCTGAGCCTTTGGGTCCTGACCGGAGGACCACCTTCACAGAGTGCTGCTGTCTCTATGGGGGGGGCTGGGGGCCGGACTGTGCCCTGTGCCCCCCCCCACACTCAGGTCTGTACCCCCTGTGATGTCACACTGTGCTGATGTCACTCCTCATACCCTCTAAGGTTCATTATGTGTGTTGGTGTCTTGCAGAGGACTATGCACAAATGTGTAACCTCCCGCTCTCGCGGCGAGCGTTTGGCAGAGACGCTCTGGAGGCGACGGTTTACTACGACTACGACCAACGTGAGTCACCCCCAATGTAAGACCCCCCCATGTAAGACCCTCCCCCATGTAAGACCCCCCAATGGCAGACACCACTGTTACACACAGATCTGTGACCTCTGACCCCTGCCCTGTGCGCTGTAGCCGCAGCTGCCTCTGAGGCGCTGCAGTCGGACGAGTGTGGAGTCCTAAACGGATGTGAAAATGGCCGTTGTGTCAGAGTCCAGGAGGGGTTTACCTGCAGGTGCTACGGGGGCTTCAGGCTGGAGCTGCACCGCATGGTCTGTGTGGGTGAGTCTGACCCGTGTGAGACCCGTGTGTGAGACCCGTGTGTGTACCATGTGTGTACCGTGTGTGAGACCCGTGTGTGAGACCCGTGTGTGTACCGTGTGTGTGTACCATGTGTGAACTATGTGTGTACCATGTGTGAACTATGTGTGTACCATGTGTGAACTATGTGTGAACTATGTGTGAACTATGTGTGAACTATGTGTGAACTATGTGTGAACGATGTGTGAACTGTGTGTACGATGTGTGTACCATGTGTGAACTATGTGTGTACCATGTGTGTACTATGTGTGTACCATGTGTGAACTATGTGTGTACCATGTGTGTACCATGTGTGAACTATGTGTGTACCATGTGTGTACCATGTGTGAACTATGTGTGTACCATGTGTGAACTATGTGTGTACCATGTGTGAACTATGTGTGAACTATGTGTGTACCATGTGTGAACTATGTGTGTACCATGTGTGTACTATGTGTGTACCATGTGTGAACTATGTGTGTACCATGTGTGTACCATGTGTGAACTATGTGTGTACCATGTGTGAACTATGTGTGTACCATGTGTGAACTATGTGTGTACCATGTGTGAACTATGTGTGTACCATGTGTGTACCATGTGTGTACCATGTGTGTACCATGTGTGTACCATGTGTGTACCATGTGTGAACTATGTGTGTACCATGTGTGAACTATATGTGTACTGTGTGTGTTGCAGATGAGGATGAGTGTGCGGAGGCCGTGTGCACCAATGCGCGCTGCGTGAATACGTTGGGATCGTTTCACTGCGAGTGTCTGCCGGGGTTTAGACCAGCTGCACCGCACCAGTGTGTCAAGGAAAAAGAGTACCAGGAGAGATTGCACCAGGAGAGGCCGCACCAGGAGGGACTGCACCAGGAGAGACCGCACCAGGAGAGACCGCACCAGCAGAGAGCACAGAGGCACCGGCACAGAGCAGCCGCGCACTGAGGACACAGAGCGCACTGGACTCTCACATCCTCGGTCCATTACTCAGGCTCCTCCCTCTCAGTGGGCGGGGCTAGCATCACTCAGGCTCCTCCCTCTCAGTGGGCGGGGCTAGCATCACTCAGGCTCCTACCCTCAGTGGGTGGGGCCTGCATCAGGATCCTCCCCATTAGTGGGCGGGGCCTGCATCAGGTGAACAGAAACAAACACAGCTTCACACCACATGGTACAAGTACCAGGAAGAGGCATGAGGATTAGAGCTGACTCACAAGTTATTTGGAGCCAAATTTAGGCAATTTAGGTTGTTGGTAGCAACGACCAAGCAGCCAATCAGGAGTGGCACAATCCCATTTGCACTAATCGTCGATGAAGTCACATCTGGATTCACAAAGACAATATCACATACAAACAGCAGGATCACAGAGAAACCACATATTTTAGCCCAAAATGATGTCACACAATTGTTACCGAGCTAAAGGAGTTAACCAGCTAGTTGTTCGCATTGAGCTACAGTGGGATAGCATTGATATAGCAGGTTAGCATTCTCCGCCAGTGTAGTCTATGGTTGTGACGTGTTCTGCAGATACGTGACCCTTGACCCTGGTCAGCCTGTGTTTGTCTGTGTTCAGTAAATAAACACAAATATTGTTGTAAGCTAACGATGCGCTGAGTGGACAAACCTCGCACTCCGGGGGATTCTGGAATATTTAAATGAGCCAAAACACGCCCACTTCTTGTCAGTCTGCGCCCTTCGCAATAAAAGCGGCATCTCTGTAGTTCACATGTTTGAATTTATGATCAAATAAACCCCGTCACAACAATTCAATGTCTTTGTGTCTTGCCCTAAATAAGAGGACTTTGATCTGTTGGTGAATCCACAACTTTGTAGAGAATCAGAGAGTACAGAGAAGAGAGCCTCCTTTATATCCAGGAGGACACCAGTATCTCGCAGCATCAGCTCGATGGCACCTCCCTGAGGACAAACACCTGTCGCATCCCAAGCCTCGGTGATCATGACGCCCTATTCAAATGAATGGCTTGTGCTCAGTAGCGCATGGGTGTCACTCCCGGATTTGTCCCGGAAACCGGATTCGTCCGGAAGTTCAGTTTGCGCATGTCAAAAAGTCCTTAAGTGGTGACTGGTTAAGTTTAGGCGTCTGAGTAAGATGGTGAAGGTTAGGGTTAAGGTGGTCTGAGTAAGATGGTTAAGTTTAGGGTTAAGGCTGGGTTGGGGTTATTTTATGTAATGTCTGGTTAAGTTTAGGCATGAATAGGTAGTTTTTTATATTTACTTCCGCTTCCGTCCAGATTCCGTGACGTGATCTACTGCTGCGTATGCTCATTGGATCAAACTGAACTACCGGACGAATCCGGTTTCCGGGACGAGTACGGGAGTGACACATGGGACTTCACGGAGACCGGGAGATTAGCAGAACTCTGCTATATTTGGGCATAGTCTGGTCCTCCCGGTTCTGCAGTGGGCGAGTTCCTATGATGCGTTGCGCCCATGGATCTATTATAATAACTGGATAGGGTATTACTAGCTTGGTGCTGAATAACCCATGTGCTCGGGGTATTCTCACGGTACTGCAGCCTGAACCAGACTACCCAGAAATTTTCCCCATAGGACTCATGTTACGACCCGGCTCAGCTAGGTGTGAGGAAGTAACAAAATAACCAAGATGGTAGAATGGTAACTAAAATCATGATTTATTTAGGTGACAAAGTAGGTAAAACTAAATAGGATTAATATCTACATAACACACAGTAAATAAATAACCTATTAAAACAAGTAAGCATTTTACAAAACCAAAAGTGTAACCTAAACTAAAGTGTCTCAACATAAACTAAACGAGTCACTGATCTAAGGTACCGGCACAAGTGACAAAACACAGACAAAACTAATGGCGAACTGGAGTCCACTGACTCCAGCTGCCCCGAGCCGCGGAAGATTGGCAGTTTATAAGGGCGGGTCCTCCAGGTGAGCGCACGCTGATTGGAGGCCTGCCTCAGCTGCTACCCAATCAGCACCCAGGCATCGCGGTCAATCAGCTACAGGTGGGGAATGACTGGCCAATAGGAGCCCAGGACTCACGAGCGTGATCTTCTGAAAAAAGGGAGGAAACACAACCACACAGAGACACCACGGGAGAAACTAAAGTGATCCCCACAATAGGGAATTACGGGCCGTGGGCCGTAACAACTCAGCTGACAGAAAACCTGACAGAGAACCTACAGCTTTTATAAAGATCGGATTTTGTGGAGATTTTAGTGTCTCTTGTCATCCTGAACTTTTTTTCTTCTTAAATCCTTCATCCATCCATCCATTTTCTTCCGCTTTATCCGTTGCCGGGTCGTGGGGGCAGCAGTCTAAGCAGAGACGCCCAGACTTCCCTATCCACACACTTCCTCCAGCTCGTCCGGGGGCAATCCAAGGCGTTCCCAGGCCAGCTGAGAGACATAGTCCCTCCAGCGTGTCCTAGGTCTTCCCCGGGGCCTCCTCCCGGTGGGACGTGCCCGGAACACCTTTCCAGGGAGGCGTCCAGGAGGCATCCGGAACAGATGCTCGAGCCACCTCAACTGGTTCCTCTCGACGTGGAGAAGCAGCGGCTCTACTCCGAGCTCCTCCCGTGTGACTGAGCTCCTCACCCTATCTCTAAGGGAGCGCCCAGCTACCTTAGAGATAGGGTGAGGGAACGACCATAGGTGAGGGAGGGAACGAAGATTGACCGGTAAATCGAAAGCTTTGCCTTTCGGCTCAGCTCCCTCTTTACCACAACGGTCCGATACAGCTCTGACTGCAGACGCTGCTCCCTCTTTACCACAACGGTCCGATACAGCGACCGCATCACTGCGCACGCTGCACCGATCCGCCTGTCAATCTCACGCTCCATCCTTCCCTCACTCGTGAACAAGACCCCGAGATACTTTAACTCCTCCACTCGAGGAAGGACCTCTCCACCCACCTGTAGAGGGCAAGGCACCTTTTTCCGGTCGAGCACCATGGCCTCGGATTTGGAGGTGCTGATTCTCATCCCAGCCGCTTCACACTCGGCTGCAAACCGTCCCAGTGCATGCTGCAGGTCCTGGTTCCTTGGAGCCAACAGGACAACATCGTCCGCAAACAGCAGAGATGAAATCCTGTGGTCTCCGAACCGGACCCCCTCCGACCCCTGGCTGCGCCTAGAAATTCTGTCCATAAACACAGTGAACAGAACCGCTGACAAAGGGCAGCCCTGTCGGAGGCCAACATTCACCGGGAACAGGTCTGACTTACTGCCGGCAATGCGAACACAGCTCTGGCTCCGGTCATACAGGGATCGGATGGCCCTCAGCAGAGGACCTCCCACCCCGTACTCCCGGAGAACCCCCCAAAGAACACCCCGGGGAACACAGTCGAACGCCTTCTCCAAATCAAAAAAGGACATGTGGACAGGTTGGGCGAACTCCCATGAACCCTCGAGTATCCGATGGAGAGTATAGAGCTGGTCCAGTGTTCCGCGGGCGGGACGAAAACCACACTGCTCCTCCTGAATCCGAGATTCGACCATCGGCCGTAGCCTCCTCTCCAGTACCTTGGAGTAGACCTTAACGGGGAGGCTGAGGAGTGTGATCCCACGATAATTGGAACACACCCTCCGGTCCCCCTTCTTGTAGGGAGGGACCACCACCCCGGTCTGCCACTCCATTGGCACCGCCCCCGATCGCCACGCGATGTTGCAGAGACGTGTCAGCCAAGACAGTCCTACAACATCCAGAGACTTTAGATAATCAGGACGGAACTCATCTACACCCGGAGCCTTGCCACCATGGAGGCTGCCAACCACCTTGGTGACCTCAGCCAGGGAGATGGATGTATCTGCCCCAACATCCTCAGCCTCTGCCTCTGTAACAGAGGACGTGACGGGGGGATTGAGGAGAACCTCAAAGTATTCCTTCCACCGCCCGACAATATCCCCAGTCGAGGTCAGCAGCTCTCCACCCGCACCGTACAGGGTGTTGGCAAAGAACTGCTTCCCCCTCCTGAGGTGCCGGATGGTTTGCCAGAACCTCTTCGAGGCCGACCGATAGTCATGCTCCATGGCCTCTCCGAACTCCTCCCAGTCCCGGGTTTTTGCCTCTGCAACAGCCCGGGCCGCGGCACACTTGGCCTGCCGGTACTGGACAGCTGCCTCAGGAGTCCCCCGAACCATCATGGCTCGATAGGACTCCTTCTTCAGCCTGACAGCATCCCTTACTGCCGGTGTCCACCACCGGGTTCGGGGGTTGCCGCCGGGACATGCACCAGAGACCTTGCAACCACAGCTACAAGCCGCCGCATCGGCGATTGAGGCAGAGAACATGGTCCACTCGGACTCCATGTCCCCCTCCTCCGCCGGGACCTGGGAGAAGCTCTCCTGGAGGTGTGAGTTGAAAGTCCGTCTGACAGGGGGCTCAGCGAGACGTTCCCAGCAGACCCTCACTATACGCTTGGGTCTGCCAGGTCTGACCGGCTTCTTCCCCTGCCAGCGGATCCAACTCACGACCAGGTGATGATCGGTTGACAGCTCCGCCCCTCTCTTTACCCAAGTGTCCGAGACACGTGGTCGAAGGTCAGATGATACGACAACAAAGTCGATCATCGACCTCCGGCCTAGGGTGTCCTGGTGCCACGTGCACTGGTGGACACCCTTGTGCTCGAACATGGTGTTCGTGATGGACAAACCGTGACTAGCACAGAAGTCCAACAACTGAACACCGCTCGGGTTCAGATCAGGGGGGCCGTTCTTCCCGATCACCCCTCTCCAAGTGTCACTGGCGTTTCCCACATGGGCGTTGAAGTCCCCCAGGAGAATAACGGAGTCCCCGGTTGGTGCACCGTCCAGCACACCTCCCAAGGAGGTGGCCTTAGGCCCGTAGGCCGTCACAACAATGAGAGACTTGTCCCCCACCCGGAGGCGGAGGGACGCGACCCTCTCATTCACCGGGGAGAACTCCAACACGTGGCGGCTGAGATGGGGGGC